TACATCCTGGGATGGATGGGTAGCTGCCAGGTGATGAGCAACTCGCAAGCATCTAGTGACATGTTTGACATTGCACTTTCGTAGCGAAGCAAGATTGCCTAAGCCTTTTGAACAACGTGCAGGGTGTGACATTGGCCAGGTTACCCACCGATATTGGACATTACCGTCCTGCGTATCGTACCGTAAGATGATGGTCTTTGACAGATGCGTGTGGTGCCTGCCTGCCTGCCTGGCCGCACGTAGCAAGAACACCTGTTCCCCACTCCCCGGCGTGTCAGTCACCCAGCCAGAATCCACCAGCATTTCGAGACAAAAGCTGTGAGAGGCATGGTGAATCCAGAATCCAGTATGTTGCTAATATCGGTCTTGATCTGCATCACCAACCACCACCGAGCGTTTTCTACAGAGTACCTAGGTAGGTACAGAGAGCAACCGTGCAGCTACAGCCAGCCCTGGGCCGCTTCCAACCTATCATATCAGGGGCCTGGCTGGATCACCCCACTTGTCTGGGTGGGGCATCGCAAACCCGTCAATCCTTCCCCTACTGTAAATACTAACTTTAGTTGGGGTTTCCTTTACCTTCTTCGATGCCGCAGCGCATTTCCTGATGACCACCAAACCCCTTCTGCAGTCAGATCGGATTTTGCTGATGCTCATCAGGAACGATGATATCAGATCCTAAACAAAGCGAGATAGGATGCCGGACCCCCCTCACGACGACGCACTGGCGTCCAACCTTCCCGTGGTTAATTGGTGGTATTTGTTCAATCTCGATGACTAGGGATGGGCGTTCGCGATCGAGATGTTGGAATTGACAGTGTCGCAATCGTTGCGTCCCTCCCCCAATTCGTCCGTAACATACGGTTTTGCGCTCGCGCTGGCTACTTAGCTTAGCTGCCCTGTCTGGCGATCTGCGCTTGCACCTGCTTTGGCGACCATGAGACAGACACCTTCACATACCTAGGATATTCGGCACCAACAACCTCAGGCTTGGGAGTCTCCAAAGGCAGCGTCAGCCCTGTTGCCCGTGTCCCGTTGTGATCGTCTGTGCCGTCCGCGATCGTAATTCTCATATCCATCATGACGATGCGCTTTTGGAGCATGCGCAAACTTCCACTGGCTGCCCAGTTTTGTGGTGGTGTTTTGTTTCCTCCTTCATTCTCTCACACCCATGGTCTCCGTTCCCTCGGCGCCAGGAGAAGCCGATCACTTCCATCCCTCGGCTGATTTGCTGCCCGTTATTTCCCGTTTTTTTCCATTCATGCAACCACCGCTCACGACGGCCTTGCCGTGGCCTTGTGTACTCCCCAATGTCAGCCGGCGTGGGCATCGTATGAGGAATCGAGCAATCAAGGGTGGTAAGCCCGAAATGTCAAAGTTGAGTTGGGAGGTGGCTGACTACCTACACTACTTGCTGTGTTGACGCTCTGTAGCGTCACTTGCCGGCTAGTAGCGCGGTCCGCTGCGAAACCTTCTCTGTCCTCCATGGGAAGGCTTTGATACGTCAACGCCACCCTCCAGTCGCGTCTGGGTGTCCAGCAACAGCCTCGAGTGCTGGTTGCGTTCGGTATACTGGCGTTCCCTCGTCTTCCGCTTGACAAGTCTAGAACGTTCACTGAACCTTTTGGATGGGCGAAATCCCACAATCATGACGATAGGTGCATGAAAAACACAACCATGGTAAGTCACGACCGAGAATATATGTGGTGCTGCCACTGCAACACTCCGTCATACAATGTACCTCGCTGGGTTGGTCCATGATTCATCCTGATTTGAGATCGCCAACTTCATGAGATGACCTCGGGATACATGTCCTCTGTTGCGTGTCCGAGCGTTACGTTTACCTTGGGTATTGTCTGCCTTGGTCAACGTGGCCCAAGTTCCAGAACGCTTTGAATCGCGGAGATGGGATAACCCGGGAAAGGTACATGTGCTCCCAGCGTCACTTGGCAGCCAAATACCATCTTCGGCCAAATGCGCAATCTCCAAGTTGGCAATGGCCTTCGTCCTTTGCCCCTCCATCGCATAGCAATCCTATCGTTCGAATGGGATACCTAGTTATTTGCCAAGTAGCTGTTCATTTCAGCGCCAGAGTTACACGGCATGCTGCATGTGCCATGAGTAATCACACTGGGAAAGCCGATTCCTCTACCAGCATCTGTAACTTGTTGGCTCATCGATAGCACTGCTCAGGGGATTAGTTTATTTCTTCGTGTTCAATGTCGCAAGCAGCCTCTTGGGGTCTTGCAGTCGAGGTCTCGGTCGCTGGCCATCGAAACATTAGCGTGTCATGTACGTGGTTCTTCCCGTTAACACAACCACTTAGTTCACAGGAAGACTTCTGCCAATCGAACAAGGGGTGGGTGGGTGTGCAAATACTGCATCGTCTTCGCCACTGTCTGTTGTCTCATCCGCACACCGTGACCTAGCTAGCTACGAACGCGGTGCGTTCCTCGATTATTGTGGTCCATAGCGGCCAGATACATCCGCGTGAGCGTGCTGCGGCAAGGGGGGGGGGGGGGGGGTTACGGCGTTCGATCGCGGCACAATTGTTCGATTTCAGGTGCCTTTCCAAAGTTGGCCTAATGCTCCGTCTCCCCGCAGAGAGGTGTGGCCCTAGCCATGTACAGTGGTTGAAGTAGCTTGTCTGGTTAAGCAACCGCTGACATGTCGAAGAGCGCGGTGATTGTGGCCTGTCAGGAAAGTACTGTCGACTGCTGCGGTTGAAATGGGCATCTAAACTAGATTCGGATCCACGATCAGCTTTCTGGTACTTGACCTTCCCCTCAGCATGCTCGTATTGCGTAGTTCCATCTCTAGTGTACTTGTATGCTGGGCTCCGTTCGGTAGACTAACGTCGTCCCCTTGCAGTGTTTTTATTGGTGGGACCGGTCCCGTCGACTGCTTTACAAATGGAATGTCACCGTGGCTTCTTCATCGCCGAGCGCTGCGACAGTCCCGTTCTTGGTCAACGATGCTGAAAAGTGGTATTCTACCACCAACACATGGCGAGAGAGGCCAAAATGGAAGTTGGCCGTTATCATGAGGAATAATGCTGCCAGAGACGGCTCGAAAACCCTTGCTGGTATGAATATTGCGACAGAACGCGGCAGTATTGCAGCCAGCTACGGTATTGTAGATACAGAAGCTGCACGCCCAATGGTCAGTCAGCACGGATTTCCAACAGCGGCATCTGCAGGTGAACGGCGCGGCGTGTTTATGTGTGGGTGGTAGGTACATACCTGTAGTACGGCATCCCACTCGTATGCCAGTAGTGAGCTACGATGTATCCGTAGGTAGGTAAGGAAGGACAAGGACGAGGCAGGTGGAACGATTGATGGATGAACCCCCCCCTCCCCCCTTCCCCTTTCCTTCCTCATAACAGCACCCTCCCTCTCTTTCCTGGCCCCTCTCTGTTTCTCTCTCCAGGTTGGCCCGCTTCCATCTCTGTGCCCTTCTGCCTGAGGCGTAGATGCGAATGAATGCCCTGCCACCTGGGGCAGGATGGAAATGGAAAGGGACATGGACCAGGCACGCGCCTCATGTACCGGTACGGTCCCTGCAAGTGCCCCGGGGGTCCATCTTAAGCGGCCGTTTCCTGTTCCTGACTCGCTGAGAACCCATGTCTTTCCATCTCTTCCCAACGTCTCCATATTTCCTTTGCTGGCTGATTCCGCTTTTATTTGCAATGGGCTTCCAGTAGAGATGCTTTCTGATGCTGGAATCCTCTCCGACTTCCTAAAAGTCGATTTCTGCGATCAGACGCAAGGGAGCTTGTCTTGGGTACCTTGAGATATCCATCAGCCTGTTGCTTTAGCTTCTCTGCTTGGGCCACAGGCGTGCCACCCCGGATCATAAGTCTGCGGCGACGTCGAGGCTACCTACCCAATACCCAGTACATCAACACACACACACACACCCTACCTTTGAGATTCCCTTTTGACACCTCTGACCTCACTTCTTAATCCGCGGCGATCACCGCGGGGCTCCTTTCTGCGCCTGTAGCAGTCAACCGTTTACCTAACCCTCCGTTCTGTCTCCCTTTCTGTTCTGAAAAGCCGTCGGTCCGTCTTCCCAGACGGTCGCCAACCCTAGTATTTTTTCTTCACCGTTCCAGTCCCAATTCCGCAAGGGGGAAGAAAAAAGACTTTCGCTGCCGGCTTCTTGCTTTCTTCCTCAATTTCACCCTTTCTCCCTCTTGAAGGGGCAGCACTGAGAGACGTCTTCACCTTCGTCTTCACGCGTCCTGGGACCCTCCACTCATCTCGCTGCTTCTTCCTGTCGTTCATGCGGCTGTAAACCGCCGAGCCGGTTCAGAAAACGCACTCCAAAGCTGTACTGTACGTATCCTCCCACAGCGCATCCCACCTGGGTCTCGAGGCCCCTCTCTGCCTGGGCGATCCCGTTGTCCCACACCCCGGAGCTCGGTCTCCTTCATAATGTCATCGAGATCCGTCCTCTACGTGCAGCCACCCCAACTTGGTATATCCACGCTACGCTTGCCGCACACCTTCGACTTTGACGAACATCAACATTAACCTTCCCAGCAGACCCAGACTTAGCATATTCTTCGCAGTCTTCGCCCCGCCACCACCACGACATCACTGCCGCATCATTAACCGTAGTACTGAACGTCCACGAGATTGCTTCCGAATCGCTTGCCGTGTTGACAAAATACATCGCATTCACCGGTCGCTGCCCAACCTTGTCGACTTGATCTTGAGAGGAGGACTTTGACGGCAGTGGGCCGCACCCAGACTGCCTGGAATTGATTCGCATTCGAAGAGCAACCCGAACCTACGCGTAGTGTTTCGAAAATAGCGAGTAGATGGGAACGAGTCGTCAAGAGCCGAATCGAACGAAGGACGTAACGGTCGTACGCCGAGTCGTTAGTTAAACGTCGCCGACGCCAGAACACCGCATCGACATCGATCCTCGATTCGTTGACGCCGGCCAAACAAATCGATAATCTTGAGGCATCGCCTCCATCCCTTACTACCATGGCGCATGAACTGGAAGGCATTTTCTCAGAGCTGGGCATTTCGCAATACCTCGGCATCTTTCTTGAGCAAGGTTTCGACACATGGGAGACGATTCTGGACATCACCGAGTCCGACTTGTCAGTGCACCATCCGGCTTGTCTACTTTATCCTCGAGGCTAACAGAGACTGTATCAGGGATGCGCTTGGAGTCAAACTGGGACACCGACGTGTAAGCCTAAGAAATGTGCAATGGCTTAATGGAAACTAACAAACCGGTCCAGAAATTGCAAAGGCGCATTGCCAACTCGCGAGGCCTTGCCCCCGATGCGTCGCTTATATCGCCCACTAGAGCAACAGCCGAGGAGCCCAAGCTTGAGGCTCAACGGTTTGAACAACCTCGACTCGAAGTGAAGGACGGCCCTGTCGTTACCAAACGCAAGTATCGCCGTCATCCCAAGGTTCGTGCCGACTCCGGTCTGTTTGTACCCCTGTGCGCGAATACCGCTGACGATATGATAGCCTGATGAGAACGCACCAGAACGGCCGCCTTCAGCTTATGTACTGTTCTCTAACAGTAAGTTTTTCAACGCTAGCCGGTAAACGGTCATTGTCTCGCCCTTCAGCTAATGAGTGTTCAGAGATGCGCGATGATCTCAAGGGCCGAAACTTAACCTTCACTGAAATAGCCAAACTTGTTGGAGAGCATTGGCAGAACCTGACGCCGGGTGAGAAAGAGCCTTACGAGACATCGGCTCTCAAAGCAAAGGAAAAGTACAATCACGACCTAGCTGAGTACAAGAAGACTGCAGAGTATAAGAAATACAATCTTTACCTGCAAGATTTCAAGGCGAGGCAGGCGTCTGCCAGTCAAGGTATGTTCTCATTCGCCTCTCAACCGTGGTTGTGAGGCTGACTTTGAATCCAGCAAAGGAGTCCTCTAAACGTCAGAAGCTGGACACTGGTGCCCGGCTGCAAAATGGTAGTGCAAGCGCAACACCGGGTAGCCTGAGCAGCACCGGGAGTGGTACTGAGAGCCATCAAGGGAGTGAGCCGCCTCCAAACCGGAAGCAGCGAGTCGGCTCTGTGGTATCAGTATCTGAGTCTCAATACTCCACGGCTGTCCCGACGCCAATCTCGCACCATCATATCGCAGACGATGCAGTACACTCGCCCACCAGCACTCAATTTGACCGAGAGAGCTTGCACTCAGCAAGCCCCCGTGCGTCCCAGAATCGTAGTCGTCGCCCGACATGGACGGATAACTCACTTAGCACAGAGATGGCTGGGCCAACGACTCATTTGCCGTCGCTGTCGGATATGTTCAGCAATGGGCGGGTGATGAATGGAGTCTCGAGATCTCCCGAGGCCAATGGACTCGGTGGCTTCGCACCACCTCAGCACCCGGGCTCTTCGGTTCCCCCGCCGTTGAAACATGAATATTCGTCGACAGGAAGCTCCACGTCGTCCGGCTCGTATCCTCGCACGCCCAGTGAATCTTCACTCCCGATCCATGCCTTATTATCCAACAAACCCCCGCTGGCTTCACCGTACGAGCTGCAGCCATCTGCCTTCACAACCGGTCCTATGGCGCTCTCGGACCAGAAACCAGTTTTTACAGGTCAACCGCAGAGCTCTCATGGAGCTACGAATGGTATACACAGTCATCCTTCGCAAAGCTTTCCGCCGAAGCTAATGAGGTTTCAAGGTTACCACTCGCCGCCACCTGCCTTGTTGCGCTTCCAGTCGAGCTCCTCATCGGGGACAGAGGGGTCCATTGCATCGTCGCATGCGTCTTCCCTTGCGTCATCCCACGCATCGTCTCAGACCTCACTCGGGGTTCAAGAGAGAAGTGATCCGAAACTCGACGGAATGAGCGCTTTGGTGCGCGCTGGTGAAATCGTTAACCGGCGCGTTCAATGAAGGCTGCGCATTATCAACCTAAGACCCATTCTTATGGACTCTCAAAACGCTCTCGAAGCTGGCGGCATGTCGGTGTCGTTTTTGACATCTTGCTTCAAACTCTTGGTTATTTACTGTTGGCTGTGTATTGTCGATGGGATGAGCGCGATGGCCAAAAACAAGCCACAGCGCTCAAGTTGGTATGTTTGAGTACTTGAATACCCTCATGGATTGGCATCTTGCTGGGCATCATTTCGGAATCTTATTTTAATGGCGGCGTTTTCGGAAAACCTTGAGCGGCGTTTGGGTTGTGCGGACACGGCATCTTTTCTTCTCGCTCTGATAGGGTTATGAGCTGCGTGGCACGACCAGACGATACGGTTACCGTGGGATATAGGAACGGAAAGGGTGACGCTTGAGACGAAAAAAAGCTCTCTAACAGCTAGAGATCCCCCCTCCCCCCAAAATTTTTTACAAGTATCAGTATGAGGGGCGGCTTCAAATAAAGTGAATCGATTTCTAAGAAGACAATGAATCGCGAGTAATGTGTGAGGAAGATGGCTGGTACGATATGACGTCAAGGGCAATGGTGTCTGGGCAGCGACGAAAACAAGGAAGTATAGAAAGACGCCCACCAACCTCAGCTGGATGCCCCCCAATGCCATCTCAGCTACGTATCCAAGGCGGTCCTTCTTAAGGGCGCACAGGCAATAACAGTCTAACACATTTGGAAAACCACAGTATCATGCCGGATACTGTAGACATTAGAAGGTTGTCGTGCCTCCAACGTCATAATGTAGTCAACATTTCGAGGCCTTGAATCCCTTCCCCCCCGGACTAAATCCCGGCTTGTCTTGGCAGGATGGGTTTCTCGGTGAGGCGGGGTTTGGGCGTTTCGTAATCCAATCGCTGGCCAAGTGGGGACAGCCAAAACGACGACATGGCCGCTGCTGGCTGCCGCGGGTTGGTCCCTGCGACTCGTGGTAGGCGTGGTCGCCCTCCACGAACTAGCTGCTTAAGATGAGCGGCCAGGTTTTGGATATGTACTTGAATGCTGATGGAACGAGACAAGAAATATCCGTAGATGAAATCCGAGACGTTAAAGGGGTAACTGGGCCGTCAACGCGTTGCCAAGGCCCAAAGGGAATAAGTACCGGTTCCCGTGTTGGGGGTGCCAGCCTTCCTCGAGGTGATTGAGATGACCAGAACACTAGAGATATTTGCGCACGAGGCAATATATGGTTGGGCCGTCAACTCCAAACTCCCTTAATGCTGATCCGGGTTGTTTCTCTACTCATTCATTACATAAGACATCACATCAGACTCCCTCCCCAGCTCAAGCCGCTTGGAATGTCAGACAGGCTTCATCAATAATTCTTTGCCGCCCAATTCATTCATGGTCGAACGTACCCAACCGTACAGAAAAAAAAAAACCAACGTGTCGTCATAAACAAGAGTAAACGCCCGGCCCCGGCTATACAACATAGCGGTGAGTCTGATCCCAAGTCTTCTTCTTCTTCTTCTTTTTTAAAAAAAGAAAAGAAAAGAAAAAAGAAAAAATCTCCGGCCCATCCTACTCCGCCCCTGTGATCTCAGCAGTCCAGTCTTTGCGGATGTTAAGTTCCGTAAGCTCAGGAGTCTTCTCGATGACCAAGCCCTTTTCGTTGGCGAGATGTAGCAGACTGATAAAGCAGAAACTCGTCGAGATGTCCTCCATCATCTGCTTCGGATAGACCGAGTGCAGACCATTCATGACCTCCGTGAATCTCAGCGATGTGTCCTTGGACGTTTCTTCGGGTGTGGCAGCCGCGGTTTCGTTGGTCGGCGGCGCAGAGTCCTGGTATCTGAGTCAGTACACATGCCGCAGTGCGAACACGAGCCAAAGGGTTTACTTACACCATCCAGCCGTTCGAGGTCCATGCCCTTCCAAATCTCCTCCTTCAACCGCCGGACGTCCACCCTCTTGGCCACACGTGCGTATTGCACGTAGTCTGGACGGAGACGGCGAGTTTGCGTGACTAGCGTCGTCCCGAAGGCACCGGTCAGAGCATTGGTTGCAGTATCGCCGCCGAGCAGGGCTGTTAAGCCAGCTGCTTCGGTGGCGCCAGCATCACCCTCAGCCATGGGCGAGAAATGCTCACGGGCATCCGCAAACTCATCATCCTCGTCCTCCAGACCTCCAGCGAAAGGAAGAGCATCGTCCTGGAAGAAGTTGGCGTCGTAGTCTCCTTCCGGCAACGGCGTCTCCTCCTCATTTTTCATCGGTACTTTTTGTTGTGCCCAGAATGCCTCGTCCATCTCGCCTTCTGGTACATCCCTCTCTGGCCCAGCAGTGCCGAACATACCGCCCCTGTTGCCCAAGACTCGCCGTCTGCTAAGGCGAGCCTTGGGCTTGAGGAACAGGTTGAGAAGTGACTTGGAGTTGAAGTGCTTGTCGTCTGGAAGCAGGTTGCGTGACTTCGACTTCCAGTCCTTCTTGGGCATGGAGATGGCCGAGTTGCTGGAGGCCTGAGTAAACAATACATCGGCTAAGCTCTGATCGAGTGGCGCAGAGAAGTCGATTTCGAAGGGCTCCTTCTCTTTCCGCACGCGGGCGGGGCCTACGGGCTTGTTGACATCCTTGATCTTTCGGATTCTCCAGTGCTCAGCACTGGACCAGTTCTTCTGCAAGGCCTGGTCGAAGTAACCGAGGATATCTTCATGCATCTTGTCGGCGCTTTGTGCGTGGGACATTGACACGACAAAATCGCCGTCGCGTTGATCGAGCATTTCTACGCCATCGCCTCCAGCAGCATCCTCACCAAGGCCGGCGTCGTAAACTCTCATCTGCGGCTCAAGCGCAGCTTCCCTCGCCCAAGCCTCGCCGCCCTCACCGAATGCGACGTCCGCGCCGATTTCGAAGCCGCCGAGGCCAAGGTCGTCGTCGTCGAAGCCAGCCGCGTTGTCGCCGTCAATAAACATGCCAGAGTTGTCTCCGAGCAGGTCCGGGGACTTGTCCTTGTCCTGGTCTCCTCTCCAGTCCTCTGGCGCCTTGAGAAAAGGAATATCCATAGACCCTGAAGGGTTACCGAGGTCAAAGTTCTTCAAGGACGGACAGACGTCCAGCTCGTCAAGACGGCCCAAGTTGGGGAAGAACTTGGCACCTAACGCTCCAAGGTCGATTTCCACGTCTGCAGTGTCCTCCTCCTGCTCTTGTTCTTCTTGTATCGCCGAAGCATCTTGCATTTCAGTGTCCTCGTCTTCAGCCTCGTCGTTCTTCTTTCTTGTTTTCGAGGTATGCGCGTCGCCGACATCATCGCTGCTGTCAAAGACGATACGTCCCTGTGCATCGATCATTAGATGGTTGAGAAGCAGGCCCTTGGCACCTCCTTCGTCGAAGTCGGCCGAAGTCTTCTTGAAAAGAGGGTCTACGGCGAACTCCAATTCGAACTTCTTGAGCTGGAGCGAAGAGAAAGAAGGCGCGAGGGTCGCTTCGGAGGATCGCTGGGTCTGCTGGAGTTAGCATTTCGTTGTGTACAGGGAGCTCTCACACATACCTTCCGCTTCGGCTTCTTCGTAACGTTGCCGTTCTCATCAATCTCCTCCTCACTCTCCTCACCCTCAGCATCGTCACCTTCCTTGCCTTTCTTCTTGTTGCTGTCCGCAAGACCACTCAAAAGCTTGCCGGTCTCAGTTGCGACACTGTCGACTCTGCTGGTGTAGATCTTTACACAGCCGTCTAACGTACAACTGGCTTTCTGAAAGTTGACTCCGTCGCCCTCCTTGAGCAAGGACATGTCGTGAAAGTAGTCGATGAGTGCGAAGTTCCAGGAGTTGTTTGCGTTGATCTTGTTGTCCGTTGCCATCTTCATCCATTCTTCGAAGTTGGCGAGAATCGGAACGCGCTTCATAGGCGTGACCGCGCTTCCGCTAACGACGAAGCCTTCGTCATCGTCGTCAACAATCTGCCTACCGCGACTCCCGCGAGCGTGTGGTGTCTTGGGATTCGAGCCTGGTGTGTCATTCTCAAGGTCTTCCAAGCTGCCGTTATTCCTGCGCAAAGGCGTCGCGGCGGCCGCCTTCAGTTCGTTACGCTGGCGCTCGTGAAATGCATGGCGCGAATGCGCTCGCCGCGCTTTTTCTTCCGCATCATCGTTGAGGGGGATTCTGCATGGCGTTTAGTCCCGTTGCTAGGCAATATGGGCGGATGACAAGGTCGCAAACATACTTGACCGGTGAGTTCTTGAATGGCGATGCATTCATCGACCCGGAGGTCGCTCTGACGCTGCTGGCGCGCGGTACTTGGGCCACTCGAGGCATCTTTGTGCTGTTGGCACTGAGGTTGTCGTCAGATTTGTTGATTGTTGCTGTGCTGTGTGCTCTGAGCGCCGGCCTTGTGTTTACTTTCCCCACCAACCACACCCCAAGCGACGGGACGCGAAACAACAAAAGGGTTTTGGCCTGGAATACCAGGAGCAAATGCCATCCTTTCGGGCCGGGGCGGGGAAGCTGAAATCCTGACTGATCCGTTTCGTCCAAATCCCAGCATAAATTACAAGCACGTGACGCAATATGGTTTCCGCTGGTTACTGTAGAACTATTCTCTTGCAGTTGCCGTTCCAATCAGCCCCTCTCTCTTCGAGTTGCCGCTTCTGTGATACACAGCCACGTCGCTGACAGTCAGCCTGTGCCTTTGTTAGGCGTTGGCTTGTTTCAACCGGGGCACTGCCTGTGGTCTTGGCCAAGAACTTGGGACGCCCCCCCCCCCCCCCCCGGTTCCTGGGTTCCCAGGCAGGTTTTCGCGGGCTGCCTCCCTCAGATCTCAATGAACCAACCGTACATGAATATGGAAGAGCGCTGCGCATTTTCGCACTTCAGCTCAAACCCGCCGTAGCCTTTTTCTTGTATGTATTGCGACTCTGTTGAGAAACACACATTCCTCTTCGTGCAGCGGAACGAGCGGTATCACACGGACGCCAACACAAGTGCAGTCTGCCATGGCTTCGGATGAGCCAATTGCACACCAGGTTTGAAGTCAGCATGCCAGCGGACTCCAAGCTTCGAGGGAGCGGCCTCCGTTTGCGGCCATTCTATGCGACCGTCTTTCTCATATCTCTTTTGGCATTGTGGTCCCTTTTGAGCAAGACGACCGAGAGACAACTTCGCCTACAAGACACCTCACCCCTCACCAAGCGATCCGAGCTCACAGCATGCCGCGATGTCCACCGCGCCAACGACCAGTGTGCCTTTGTTAAGGCGCACTGCGCCGATGACGAGCCTGGCCTCATCTCTTACCTGACGCTTTATTACTGCGGCCTTGCCAAAGTCCAGTCCTTGGCCTTCGTTATCCTCGTGTGCTGGCTCGGCCTGCTCTTCACCACCATCGGCATCGCCGCCAGTGATTTTTTCAGTGTCAACCTCAACACCATCTCTGCCATCCTGGGCCTCAGCGAGAGTCTAGCTGGCGTCACGTTCTTGGCCTTTGGCAATGGATCTCCCGACGTCTTCAGCACCTTTGCGGCCATGAGCTCCAACAGCGCCAGCATGGCGGTTGGAGAGCTGATCGGCGCAGCGAGCTTCATCACTGCCGTGGTAGCCGGATCAATGGCGCTGGTCCGCGAGTTCAAAGTGGGGAGGAAGACCTATGTTCGGGATCTATCCTTCTTCATCGTCGCCGTATGCTTTACCATGCTGTTCCTGGCCGACGGCCACCTGCATCTATGGGAATGCATAACGATGATTTGCTACTACATGTTCTACGTGGTTACCGTTGTTACCTGGCATTGGTATTCAACGAGGCGGAGTCAGCAGCGCGCCCGTGAAGCAGCAGCACGAGGCCATGTATACGGAGCGGTGGGGCATCTCAGCGACGAACTGGCTCCGGAGCCGTACCGGGATGATCCCGACGAAGAGGACCGCCGCGTGATGTCTGTGGCCGCCTCTAGTACCAGGGATATCAATATGCTGGAAGCGGGACCAAGAATTGAAGTTGATGGTCATGCTGAAGAACAAGATGAGGTGGAGGATAGCGACCACGGGCGGCACGTAGTGGCGGAGATGGCAAGCAGCATGCGAGTGCTGCGACCTAGAGGCAGACGACGCAACACTCTCACGCCTATCCGCCCTAGTTTGGTCGGTGCCTTGGAGTTCCGGTCAACTCTTGCACAGTTACAGAAGGAAAGCAACCACAGAATGCGGCCGATGCATGGCCGGGCGCACTCGGTCAATCATCTCGGGGGTGTCAGCGAAACAAATACGATACTGGGGCCGCCCTCTGACTCGGGAAGATACACAATCGGCGCGGTTGAAGAGTTTGGGCAGAACAGGAATCGTGCCTTGTCATCTGGCGACGTTCCGGGTTCCGTCACCAGCCGAGATCCCTCCCCTTGGCGTTTTCCCCCTTCGGCGGCCCACGCCAACCCAATCCAACAGGTCAAGGCCCAAGACGCTAGGAACCGAAGTCGATCGCCGGCTTTCAAAATCGGTGGCAATTTGGCACCTCCCCCAGTTGATATGGTGCCACCCCAACGTCAAGATTCAGGCGGTAGCGATGCCATCGAGCCTCGGCCGTCCTCTGGTGTTCTACTTTCACTTCAAATACCAAGTCGGCGCGGAAGCTTCAGTGACAGGTCCTCGCCTGTGTCACCTTTCCCTGGCTATACAGAGTCGCCTCTAGCCCTGACGCCAGCTGCCCAGAATGAGCAGGCTGACTACTTCACGTCGCCCGGCGTAACTCGCCTAGAAGTTCCTTTTGCACCTTATGAAATGGCCGCTCCCAAGCCAGTGAAGTGGTGGCCATACGCAATCTTACCCCCGCCGCACATCCTCTGGGCAACGTTGTTCCCGACCTTGCTGGGCTGGAAGCAGAAGAGTCATTGGGACAGATTTGTCAGTGCAATCTCTGTCCCAAGTATCTTGCTCCTGGTGGTGACGCTACCGGTGGTAGAAAACGAGAGCGCCGACGATGCCTTGGATGAAACTGCCGCTGATCCGTTGATGCGGGAACATGATCATTGCGATGTTATGCTTCCAGCAGCTGCCTACTACGGTATCGGGGAAGAGACGGAGTGGCAGCGCTTCAGACGGAGCACCATGTCACATTCTCGTGTGCATTCTGTGCATTCCATTGATCAGTCGCCGAAGGATTACTCACCGAAGGCTTCTCCAGCGCTCATCGCAATCGACACCCCGAATGGTGCGCGTGTGTCGGCGGAAATACATCCGCAACACACCAAAAAAGCAACAATGTTGCCCTCGGAAAGCAGCCTTGCCGCTGCCGATGATTCTGGACATTGGAACAGATGGCTTGTCGTGATCCAACTTTTCACCGGTCCTCTTTTTGCCGTCATTATACTATGGGCGAACATGAAAGAGGACTTCGACCAACCGTACAAGACCCTTGTTAGGTTCGTTCTCTATACACTCATGGCGTCCACGGCACTACTTGGATTTCTGCTCTTAGCAACGAGCCCCGATAAACGGCCCAAATATCACTTCCTGCTGTGCTTCATGGGATTTATAATCGCCATCGCCTGGATCTCCACTATTGCTAGCGAAGTGGTTGGCGTCCTGAAAGCCTTTGGAGTGATCTTCGGCATCTCCGAAGCACTTCTCGGGCTGACTATCTTTGCAGCGGGAAACAGTGTGGGTGACCTGGTTGCCGACATCACTGTTGCCCGGCTTGGATTTCCCGTTATGGCTCTGTAAGTTCCCCTATGGTTCGTTTTGCCCATGTCCATGCTAACAAGTCATCAGATCCGCTTGCTTCGGCGGTCCCATGCTTAATATCCTTCTTGGTATTGGCATCGGCGGCGTGTACATGATGGTCCAGGCTGCCAATCATCGGCATAATAAGCACCCTGACAGGCCACTCAAATACCACTCATATGAAATCCAGATCGGAGGCACATTGATGATTTCTGCTATCACTCTGCTTCTTACATTACTAGCCCTCTTGATCATTGTTCCGATGAACAAGTGGGTGATGTCACGCAAAATAGGATATGGATTGATCGTGCTGTGGACGGTTAGCACCATTGTCAACGTCGCTGTTGAGTTGACCGGGGTTTGGACCGACGTGTCCTATTTTTTAACCATTTAACATTACCAGTATCTCCTTGCTAGCGTAAGTACACGAGGCCGCATCAGTATTAGTGCCAGTATATTACACATATACGTATACCCCAGCACATTGTCCGATGAGAAACAAACAATTCTCCGTTTTCCTGTATACACAGTCTTTACCTTAGCAGTACAAAGGAGGAGAGCCCAGGCAGTCACGTAAATGTTCGATACACAGAATTTCTACCGTATATTCATCTTGACGACGAGTCTGCCGTACATCGGTTGTTTCCTTCCGCTATTGGTCTTCCCAAAGACTAACATGCCCAACGAGGGACGAGCATTGTTTCGTTTAGCGAACAGATATTCACATTGGTCGATTCTTCTGAATCAAGGCACAGTCCCACGTTGCGCACGTCGATGACCATCTGATACATCTGTTTCGCACAGGATTGTGACGCGCCGTGCTCCTCAACGAGAGGCATCCACAGCCGAGCTGTAGCCGCTCATCGAGACGAAGTTCCTAAGTTCTTCGCAATGTGGGGGCCCAGGGTTTCGTCTGGCGTGTTTGCTCTCACAGCTCGGATGCGTATGCCAGGCCAGACTTTTGGATCGTCGATGTGTTTCGGTGACCTTGTGCCCATGAGAGCTGGACTCGTGTGATGATACCGTGGAATCTTCTCCGTGCCACCACGGCGAGTGAGAGATATAAAAGATGCCAGTATCTGTCACAGCCTCTTGGTTCCTCGCCGACATAACAAGCTGTCAATCCTCACATCCTCTTGGCAAGTAATTATACAAATGCATCAGTTTGATACTTAACCAATAAGAGCTCTCCTTATCATCAATAAACCCCAAAAGCACAATGGGAGGCTTCAACAAAGTCACCGATCTGGCACAGCAGCTCGCCGGCAAGGAACAAACCGGGCAAGGCCAAGAGAACCAACAGGATTCGTCCCAAATCTCAGGTAGCAATCAGAAATGGGCAGAGGTTGGTTTGGAGGCCAAAAAGGCCTTTGCCGACTACCAAGCCGACCAAGCCGCCGGCAAGGGTCCAGAGTACAATAGAATTGGCGGCGTTGCCCAGAAGGCGTTTTCTGCCTACAGCAGCGGCGGGGAGAAGAGAGATCTCGCTGACATCGGGAAGCAAGTTGCCGCTGGTTTCGGTGGTGGCGAAGAAGTTGACACGGCCCGCAACTCTAGTGAAGTTGGGAATGGCATGTCTCAAAGTGGCCGGGGCCAGCGCAGTTTTGGGACGGATGGAAGTGATGTTGATCTCGGGGATGGGACGATGGGCGATACACTGCACTCTACGACGGCAGAGGCAAAAACAAGTTCAAAGAGTGAGAGGTTCTCGGGACAAGAAGCGCTCTACGAGGCGGCAGGGCATGGGTTGCAAACTGAGCGAGATACCCAAGATGGCACCGTGTTCGAGAAGGGCGATTTGGACGAGGACGAAGGCGTTTGCACCGGAGGCCAGGGTAAGAGGCGGGAGGCTACGAGTGGTACAGCGGCCAACCAAGGCAAGAAAAAGAATCACACGACTTGAGCCATCTCTTCGTCCTTCAAAACTAACGACGACTTTGACAGGACCTAACATCGAGAGGGTTGTATCCACACCTGAAAAGGAGGGTTCTCTCGAATCGTCCGTTGACACTGGGGTAGGTTTGACAGCTTGATGCAAGTGGCTTTGACACGTTGACTTACCAGATGATTCTTAGGGTAAGACGACATACTCGGGTCGCTCTAATGAATGGGAAGAGTGAGTCATTCGTGGCCTACATGTTTCATTAACAGAGAGGCGCAGCTGGGTACGGGTCTCCTTATTTTCATGTCTACCTAGCTAGATCACAATAAACCGCAATACTCTTGGCCTTTCCAGCCAATACGTCCTGCAAAGATGCCATGCTGTCTATGGTATGTTTTGCTCAGAACATGAGCCCCGATGCGACAAGTCCAAGTGAATGACCGCCCAATCATCGAATCGGAACGGTGCACAACCCCCCCTGTGCCGTCCCGACTCCACCATCAGACCCGAAGCACACATCCCTGTTCGGCTGCGCCAAAGGGGGATTTATTCAGGCTAGATGAGCGACGATCAACCACGGTCTAGCGTTATGTTAGTGCTCTCTCGCCCGCCGGAATCAATGGTCCCTTGCGCCTCTAGTGACTTCCAAGGCAGGCCAGGAACCTTGCAGAGGCCACGATGGCTTCATCCAATGTGTCTTAGCATGGGAGATAAATGTGACCACGTTCCTGGGACCGCAATGTAAACAGGTATATTCGTCATCGAGCACTGCCACAACTTGCGTGGACGCGCAGCCGGGTCGTTTCGGAAATGATCCTCCTCATCTCGCCTCAAAGCCAACGGTCTCAATATGGACGGCCCAAATATAAACGTGAAGAGCAAGTTGTCCTCGGCATCGTAAGGCCAGCGTGGACCTTGGAAGGGGATGACAGATCGCCATGGGCGTCAGTCACTCTGTGAAATCTGTTGAGGAATTGACAGGTTCAGTCAGGGCGGTACTGACTTCATTGTCGAATCACATGCGTCAATGCCATAAAAAGGTCACTATATAGTTCTGATCAAGGATATAAAGCAAAGGCAACATCGCCATGGATGGCAGTGGTTGTTTGTTAGTTCTTTGCACCTGCAGCTTCAAACCCAATCATCTCTCTCTTGCCCCAGAGACCCTTGAGCAGCAAAACAGCCCCCCCTTTGCCCCGCCATCCCAGAAGCAACCCCGCGCTGTGCCTGCCACATCCCGAAGAGAGCTACGACCTTCTTCTTGACCGCCTCCTTTCCAAAAAGAAATCCCCTTTCTGGTCTCTTTCTCTCTCTGTGTGTGTGTGCATTCCCAAGGAAGCTTGACTCGACTTCAAATCCACGATACCCAAGCTGTTGCGCTCCCGACCCGACCTCTTTTGTCTGCGCATTTACAGATCAGTTTGTCGCAATGGCTACCACCCTCCCCAGTTACCCTCCTCTTGAGGATCGTCCTCTTCGCAATACCATCTGTCTCTTTGACGTCGACGAGACTCTCACTCCCGCCCGTCGTGTAAGCTTTCATACCCTTCTTCTACCCCAGACACATCTTCCCAAGCTCGCATGCACCGCCCTGCCTCCTCTAATACAAGCTAACTCTTGTCCCCTCCTTGTCCTAGCATGCCTCCCCCGAGATGCTCGAACTCCTCGCCCGCCTCCGCCAAAAGTGCGCCATCGGTTTTGTCGGCGGCTCCGACTACTCCAAGCAGCAGGAGCAGCTTGGCAACGCCTCCACGCCCGTCACCGCCCTCTTCGACTTCTGCTTCTCCGAGAACGGCCTGACCGCCTTCAAGCTCGGCCAGCCCCTCACCTCCAACAGCTTCATCAAGTTCATCGGCGAGGACCAGTACAAGGAGCTCGTCAACTTCGCCCTGCACCACATCGCCGACCTCGACATCCCCATCAAGCGTGGCACCTTCATTGAGTTCCGCAACGGCATGATCAACATCTCACCCATTGGCCGCAACGCCTCCACCGCCGAGCGCTTGGCCTTTGAGGAGTACGACAAGGTCCACAATATCCGCCGCGACTTCGTCGCCAAGCTGCGCGAGCGCTTCGGCCACCTCGGCCTGACCTTCTCCGTCGGCGGCCAGATCTCTTTTGATGTCTTCCCCGCCGGCTGGGACAAGACGTACTGCCTGAAGCACCTTGAGGACGAGGCCAAGAAGGAGGGCGGCATCAAGTACGAACAGATCCACTTCTTTGGCGACAAGACGTTTGAGGGCGGTAATGACTACGAGATCTATGTCGACGAGCGCACCATTGGCCACTCCGTCAACGGTCCCGAGGACACCATGCGCGTTATCAAGGAGACCTTTGACTTGTGAACCGCGCCGTCGGAGTGCAAGCTATGAGGCAAGCGTGGAGCGAGCGACCTACGGGTTTGAGTAAATTGGGCCTGAAAATGGTCCGACAAAATGTGCGGCTTGGAAGAAGGAAGAAGATTATGGGCTAGCTTCTAGACTTGGGCTGTATGTAACACAGGAGGGAAAACAGGCCTCTCCGCGTGTCGGCGAGCGGCGGAACAACCTCTCGCGGCTTGGGGTTTTCGGTAGAGCGACTGGGAACGAATCACAATGACCAAAGACGCTGCATAGTTCGCCCAAATGTGATGATGGTCAACGAGCAGAACATGAGATCCAGGGACACGCACGCACACGGCTGCTTTGTTGACATGTAAATGTTTTAACTATGGATAGTACCATCAGCTCGTGAGGTTGCCGCCGGGTGCCCTGTTCCTTTCTCTCCAGCTCGCCTGAATTGGTGGGAGAAGAATATTGAAATATCCAAGAAGGGAAGAAAAAAAAAAAAGGGGGGGGGGGGGGGGGACATGGAATGTAATAAAAACAGTCGTTGCCAGCTCAACACAAGATAAAATAAAAAAATCATTAAAAAGAAAAGTCTTCAACCCGTCGTTCACCCTTCTTCCTTCTACCGACCAAACTCCAGGTGGGGCACAATCACCGGCCCGTACTTTGTCGGCGCCGTAAATGCGCCGTCGCCTTGAACCACGAAGTCGACTGCCAGGCTCAGCTTCTGCAGGCCCTGCTGAGGTTGCTGCTGCTGCTGCAGCTGCAGCTGAGGCTGCTGGCCGGGGATGGCGTCGGGGTCGTACACAACGACGGCGACGTAGTTCCTGCGGCCCATGAGCTTCTTGAGCTCGCGCGCGGAGCCGCTGGCGTCGGTGTGGAAGATCTCCATCATGTCCTCCTTGGTGTCCGAGACCTCGTGGTTGGACTTGTGGCCGTTCTGCGGCACGTAGAGGCTCTTGTTGTTGTGGAGAAGCTTGAGGATGTAGTTGCTCGCCGGCTGCGCGACGATGGGCGAAGTGATGACCTGGTACATTGTCTTGTGGTCGCTCGGGTGCGTCGGGTCGTGGACCAGACCCGCTCCCGCACAGTTGACGTCTGGAGAGAGACCGCGTTAGCACCATACGAAGGGAGGGGGGTTCGGGGCATAAACAAGGTGCAAGGCCAACTTACCTCCAGATAAGAAAGTCATGCGGATGCCCTTCTGCTGGGAGATGCCCTGGAGGGTACGGATGAGGTACGTCCTCTCCAGGTCTTTGGACTCGTGCGTCCACATGTCCTTGAGGATCTCGGCGATGTCAATCTCGCCGAACTGGTTGAGGACGTTGCCCATGAGACCGGACTTGCCGACGGCCTTCTTCACTTGGGTGAATCCCTGCGCCACGACGTCCTTGCCGCCGACGACGCCGGCCACCGAGCTCGTGACCTTGCCGAGCAGGTTGTACGACGAGTTGACGACCTTCTTCCCGGTCGCCACGGCGCCGGCCAAGCTCTCGACTGCCTCTAAACGGGGGTAGACGAGCGGCACGGACACCATCCATATGCAGTGCTGCACGCTGGGCGGCAGCGTCGCGACCTTGGGGAAGATGCCCTGGTAGGTCGGTCCGGCCATGACACGGGACTGGTTCCTCTCGGATCGGCAGTCGGGACCGACAACTACCACCGCAGGACCGAGGTACTTGACAAAGTGCCAGCCCTGGCCGGTGATGGTGAAGAGGTCGGTGTCGTTGCTGACGTTCCGGAGGATCTCCACCGTCGTGTGGTGCTGGAAGAGCAGGTACATCTCGACTGCGATGCGGCCGACGTTCTTGAACATTTGCGAGCCTTGCATGTACTCGGGGTACGAGCCGTAGCCATCGAAACTAAAGGGGGGGTCAGCCAATGAAGAAGAATGCCTGGCACCAGGGCTCGCTTTCCGACTTACATGTCGTGATCGTCGATTTGCAGAATATGTGGGATCTGGGCGAAAGCCTCTCGCAAGTAAGGCTGGTCAAAGTGGCTGGTGTAGTAATGGAAGTAGGCGTGGGAGACGTCTTCCTCGTGGCGCGCCGTCCATTGCGCGTTCTTCCTGTTGTCTCGGCCGCTCATTGCCAGCCACTGCTTCAGCAAGGGCACTTCCTTCCACAGCCTGTCGCCGTAAATCTGGTCTCCCAGACCAAGCTGGACGTGGAAGCCGCCGCAGTCGACGTTCTTCTGGAGCACGTCCTTCCACATGAAGCCCACGCCGCCGAGCTTGGAGCGTTCGGTCTGGGACGTTGATGCAGCGAAGTCGTTGTTGGAGTGGGCGATGAACCTCCAGCCGGTCTCGTGACGACCGGCAATGACAAACTCGTACCGCGTACATCCCAGGTGGGATGTGACGGCGTACGTCCATCTCTCAGTTCCGCTCTCGCTCATGGGCAGATCGATGTCATACTTGTAGAACGTCCAGCGTTGATGCGTGAAGATGTTGTGCGGTGTCAGCTGCCGCGGGTTGGGCGAAAGGTCATTGCTCGGGTGGATGTGAATAGTAGGCGGCTGCGGTGCGTCTGTCACAATCATGATGCTTCCCAGCCACGAGCCCTTCTCAAAGTCCATGTTGCAGTATCGCAAGTAGGGGCCGAAGTAGACACCGTTCGTGGGCTGGATCCTGTACATATCGACACCGGCACTCGGAGGCGGTCCGGAGAACCCAGCCGTGGTTGGCGTCTGAGAGGCCGCGACGCTCATGATGCTCTCAGCATAGCCTGGTGTCTGAGGAGGGAACATGGGGGACCCAAGAGGCTGCTTCCCGAACATGGGCGAGGCGAGGGGATTGCCGTATGTCGAGGCGGTAGGCGACAATGGTGCCGCCTCATGCTGAATCGGGTTGGGACCCTTGGGGAACTCCCACTGCGTAGCCTGGGTCGCCAGGTGGATGTAGTAGTACTGTCCGGAGTTCTGGTCAAGATGCGCAATCCAGCCTTCTGGCAGCGGAGGCGGCGAGGACGGACCCGCGCCTTGGAAGCTCGCAGGGGCTTGGACTGTTTGCACGACGGGGGCAGTCTGCGCTGCGGAAGGCTGCCCGCCATTCTGTTCGGGCCTCGGGTCATTGGCGAAGGCCGGGTGACCTTGAAGAGCAGGCGACGCCAGACCCGCCGCAGCAGGACCGGCTGTCGCGGGCTTCCTCGGGGGCGACTGAGCAGCGGATGTAGCAACAGACGGCGTGGAGTCTGCTCTTTGCTGGGCAGGCCGCTGTTTCTCGGCAGGGTAAGACGAGTTGCTTGCGGGTGTGACGCTCGAGTAGGCGGGAGGAGGGTCGTTTAAACCTAGACGCTGGTAGTCCTGTTCGAGTACGCTGACCTGGAGAGCGGGCTGGTCTCCTTGGTTCGCCGCCTGCGGTGGAGGGCTGAACGTGGACTGCGTAGGGCTGGCCACCGGGTTCACACCCTGGTACACCGTCGGCGGTCCGTGAGGTTGGTTCTCTGGGTTCTCGGTTGGTGTCCACGGCCGTGCCGGGGGCGGTGCCCCGCCGTACTGAGCCAATCTCTGCGACGCCGCGGCACTCTGTGCCTGTTGCGCTTGCAGGCTGGTCAAGGTCGCGGTGCCCGAGATACCGGACGCGGCATATCGCGCCTCGATGCCCCCGCCAGGGACAACCCCGGGCTCCACAATCGGGGTCTCTGGCGGGGGTGGAGATCCGCGACTGGCGCGGGTTGTCGAGGTCGAAGCGGTAGAAGCGAATCTGTTCACACTGTTCTGGCCAGGCATATCGAGATGATCAGAGGACGGAGGTGGTTGGCTCTGGTACTGGCTCTGGACAGGCGGCGAGGAGCTAGATGCGCTTGCGGGCGGAGGGTAGTAAGGCTTCTTGGTGTAAGAGGGGTAGTTTGTGGTAGAAGCGGCCGGACGCTGAGGCTGTGGTGCGGTCAGGGGCTTCGAGAAAAGACCTCCGTCGTCGCCAACTGGACTCTGGGGAGACGTAGCGCCCAATGGCCTCGGACCCGTACCACGCCGTTCGGCGAGGGTAGGGCTCTTCGTCTCGACAGGACTGGCATTCAAGCGCGGGGTGGTATCATTGTAGTCGGAACCGAAGCGTTTTGGAGCAGTGATGGTGGGCTTGGTCGGTTTTCCGGGGCGGAGATCTTCTTCGTCGGGGTAAGGCAGCGGTGCAGCGGAGCTCGAGGCGCCTGGCGGCAGAGGGAAGGTCGGTTTCGTCAAGAAGGACGAGCCGGAGGCGGACGGGGGAGCGGGATACTTGAAGCGGTCGTTTGAAGGATTGGGGCTCTGAGGTTTGAATATCCTTAGAGGCTCGACCGTAGGGCTGTCGCAGTCCTCCTGGGCAGGTTTGTGAAGAAACAGCTCGGCGTCAGGGACACCGCGACTGCGCTCCATGACGAATCGTGTCTAGCTAGGTAGGTAAGAGGAGTCGGTATCTTGCGTTCGACTTGCGCAGGTACGCGCAGGCTTGGTGCAGGCTACGCTACGAATGACGCACTGCGAGGGCTCAAGTCTGCAGGCCAGGGGGGAAAAGTTATTTATAGGAGCTGTCGAAGGTCGACGTTTCGTGCCTTGCCGTTGGGTGCTGGAGAGGATCGCAGCTGATGGGGGGTTGGTGGGGTCCGAGTCTTTACGGAAGAGGTCGCATATATGGCCGGCCGGCTTGTCAGGCCCGAGAGATGGACGGAACAGATGCGGCACGGGCGGGATATAGGACACCAAAAAGTGCTAGTTTCGAGAGGAGGGAGAGCAGAAGTTCAACTTGTCATGTAGATGGAAACGCGCTCGTGAAAAAAGATTAAGAAGGTGACAGATAGGACGACGGAAGCGCCAGGTAGGGTTTGGGTCTGGCAGCGGGAAGTATTGAGCAGGATGGGACGGATGGGGATGAGACGGGATGGGGGGGTAACCGGGGGTTTCGTCAGCGGCAGCGAGGGAGGGGCAAACTCGTACGGCACAGACACCAGACAACCAGGCTGGCATGGCATTTGCAGGGGCCAATGGAGAATATGGGCCCTATGGATGATGGATGGATGGATGGATGAGGGACAGCTGCCCACGACCGTTAGGAGCCGAAAGACAGAGAGAGAGAGAGCCCAAGTGGCTCACGTACAGTACACTCTCATCTCTCATGCGGGCGGCATCAGGAGCCACAGAGCCTGGAGCAACCTCCAACTGCTGCATAGGATGGAGCCATGCATGGTGGCATCTTGCCTAGCGAAGCTCCATGATTGGCTGTATGTCGTGGGCGCTTAGAGGTTGGGCGGCAGCAAATGGCGTCTTGAGCTTGAAGTTGCAAGCGCCTGCCCATGAAAGCAAATTGCTTGGCCCAAGAGTCTCAGAGAGCCTACGTAGTATTAGAGCGTGGTAGCGGAGCCCCCCTGGGGCTCGTAATGCGCATTGAGCGAGGTGAGAACGGCTTGTCAAGATGGGCAAAGACGGCATCCAGTAGCCGGTGAGTCGAGATGCGCCGAGAAATACGGATAAAGGGGGAAGGGCGAGGTGCCCGCGCGCATCTGCAACTCTGGTGGTGGACCATCACTTGATGGAAGCACCAAACGGAATGGGTACGGACAGCATAGTAAATGGGAGAAGCGAGTTTTAAAGCGGCAAAGAAACAGTTGACCGTGCAAGTTGAGAAGTGAAGGCGGGCAGCCAGGGTGAGTTTGGAGATAGCCGGGAGGGAACCGAGGAGGGGAAGAGGAAGGCACGGAGGGGACACCTTGACGATAGCTTGGTGGCCCAAGCTTCAGCGGACGATTATCTAAGCAAGCTAATGAGGGCCTTGGCCACCTCTCTCCGTCGTTGGTTTGCCTCTGAGAACCCTGTCCGCCATTCGTCAACCTCGGAGTTGTCATCGTCGTGCCTTTCGCATTCGGTCTAGCCTCCAGGCATAGGACCTACCCCGCTGGTTCAGACTCGGAGTCTGCAAGGCAACCCGTTCCGAAACCTCACCTCAAGAAGGTAGAGAACAAATATTACTACTGCCGAACTGTTAGTAACCAGAACACTCGGGACATGTAATTCGACGGAACTCGCTCACTAAACAAAAAGTATGGTTCAGAGCCTTACCTGATATCTTGACATGGTTTCTGTCTGGTTAAATCTGTTAGTCACGTCTTTTTTGGTGCAAAAAGCAGGGCGGGAGCGTGTCCACGACTAAGTTTCTACTTTGTATTTTTATTTTTATTTTTTTCAAGGACCCAACTGTTAAGGCCTGCGGCATCAAAGAGAACTTGGACGTCTCGTCGACGACATCCCCGCAACTCGATCCAGGCAGACGCATCATCAGGCGCATTTGACTCATACAACAACACACTAGACTGACGACAGCTCCGCGCAACAGTTAGCACCACTGACGACTGTGCATGAGGCCTCGGTCTGGTGTGCGCGGCCTTTTCCACTCCCGGTGGCGAGAGCACCACCACGCTTCACTCCCGAAGGCAACTGTGACACGCACCTCTGCACTTTTTCTTCTCTCCGACATGTCGCCCTCCCGCACCCAGAGGTCTACGCCACTTCCCCCCACAGCGGTTCCCCTGTCAGTCAGCATCGGTCCCTTAACTCTAACCCACCCAAGTCTGGTGGTGTACATACACCTCAGCTCGCTCCCCTTAGTCACTACCAGAAGCTGCCTAATACACTAATATACCCGACAGGGACACCGTCAAACGATGGCACCACGGGCGGTCGAGAAGACGCGGCTTCTCCCAAAGGTAGACAGACATAGTCATGCTGGGCCTACGCCCGACTTTGTTTCCGGTGCCATAGCGCGCTCTTGTCATACGCCATGAACGTCGGGGCTTGCTTGGTGAGGAAAGGCAGCCACACTCCGGCTTCATCCAATGGGTGCTGGGCCGGGCCCCCTACCCGGGACGCGTGGCGATGGTGTGTACCTCCTCCCATGTCCCATTCACTCGAAACCTTTCTGATCCGTTCGATCCAGTAGCTCAAGGTGTATTGTACGGAGCCCTGACTGGCTCGGGATGACTACGCAAGTGTTTTTGCCTTTAATCATGCCGGTATCAGATGGAGACGTACGCATGCTCTTGCCTTGCAGTGATGTGGGTGTGGTGTCCGTCTCATTCACGGTATATAACGTGGTCCTTTCTTCGATGAAGTACCAAGAGATTTCTTCCCCTTTCAGCTTCATCAGCTTTCCGATATTGACAATCCATATTCCATCTCTCTCTCTCTCTCTCTCTCTCTCTTTACATACCTTACACCCATAACCAGGCAGTAGCAATCATGTCTTGGGCAGGGCCAAACGGCAACAATAACCCCTTCAATCATCCAGGTGGCCCCCAGGGCTTCTGGAACTTTATTCACTCTATGAACCCCAACACGCGCGCCGGCGCTGGCGTTGACTACTCCACCCCGTGGGCCAATGTCCCCCCGGGCTTCCCTTTCCACGGCGCCGAGTTCGGTCTGGGCAGCGGCCACGGCGGATGGGGCGCCTACGGCGGCTGGGGCGAACCCCGCCGAGGCGGCTTCAGCCAACGTCGCGGTGGCAGCCGAAGCGGCTACAGAGGCCGCCACGGCCCTCACCGACGCCACGGCATGAACGAGGCCGACGAGGCCATGTACGATGCTGAGGACAACGCGCGTGACACGGCCGAGGAGGAGAGCGGCGAGTCCTCCGACAAGGAAAAGGATGGCTCCCCCGACACCATGCGCGATAGCCCCGAAGATGGCCCCGAGGGCGGCCATCATCACGGCCCAGGCCGCCACGGTCGCGGACGCCACGGCCGCGACCCTGGGCACCCCAAGCGGGGCCACCCTCCTCACGGTCCCCACCCTCCTCACGGTCCTCGCCGCCCACCCTCCCCACCACCGCCCCCTCCCCCCGGCCCTCACCCGCCATTCTTCGGTGGCCACCCCCACCCACCACCGCCCCCGCCTCCGCCTTACCACCTGCCCGGGGAATTGCAGCAGTGGCTGAACCAGTTCGCCGGCCACCCTCTCGCCCAGCAGATCCGCGAGTGGGCTTCCCGCTTCGGCGTCAACACCACCGGTCCCGCCCCCCGCTCCCGCGGCCACGGCCCCGACTTTGCCGACGACGAGTCCTCCTTCACGCCGCCCGCCGACATCTTCGCCACGGAAAAGGCGTACGTCCTGCACTTCGCGCTCCCCGGCGCCAAGAAGGACGACATCGGCGTCGACTGGAACGCCGAGAAGGGCGAGCTCCGCGTCGCCGGCGTGGTCTACCGCCCCGGCGACGAGGACTTCCTTGCGACCATGACGTCGAGCGAGCGCAGGATCGGCATGTTCAGCCGCTCCGTGCCCCTGCCGCCCGCCGGCTCCGTCAGGGAGGAGATTGACGCGCCCTCCATCACGGCCAAGATGGAGGACGGCATCCTCATCGTCACTGTCCCCAAGCTGGAAAAGGAGTGGACCGAGATCCACAAGGTCGACATCAAGTAAACGATGTGCGCCAGCATTCCTCGATGCTTTTCCTTTTCATTTTTTTTTAAAAAAAAATCAATTTTGTTTAGTTTTTGTTTTGGTGTCGAATCGTTTGCAAATTGCAAGGTCCGGGTATTTGGATGATGGTGGTAAATTAAGGGAGTTACTGTTTAGGAGTTTTACTAGGTAGATGGAGAAATACAACCGTTTTGCATTCAATATTCATGCGAGTCCATTAGATGTGATAAACCACTCCTGATTGTGTCGTCCAATCCTTCTCGGGCTGAGCCTCTTTCCTCGGCTCGATCGTGTCTCGATCAAGCCATGTGATGTTCTCTGCCTTCCATGTCGAGCGGAGCGCGCAATATTGTAGTAGGGTGTAAGCGCCTTAGCCATCTTGCATCGTGGCCGTAGCCCTCTCAATCAATAAACTTCTGGGTCAAAACCTAGACATAGAAATTGCTGAAATACCCCTAGTACCTTTTGTAACCCCTTTACACATTTGAAAACTCTTAGTCTAATCGCCGTTTTGCGATACATATCATCGTAGGATACAACCTAGCACAATGTCTTTTCCTGTTCTGTTTTCGTTTTCGGAATCTTCAGGCTTATCAACAACGCGAGCGTCGTTGCGCATCTTAAATTATCGCCTTCATCGCTTTTACCCAGTCTCTACTTGCTGTTCACAAGTACGTCGGCCATGCATAGTCCAATCTTTCCGATACAACCGTCCTTGTACAATAGTCTCAAGTGGACTAAAGATACAGCTTCTGTCGAGGAGATAGCACTAACTTGATGCTGGATGAAACAAGAATGCTACCTTATGTTTCTTAAACCCGGCGACCCGCCAGACTTCACGCACAGCTGAGCTCCCATTGCTTGAAAGCCTCGACCGCCTCAGCAACGGAATCTCGCCCGAGAAGCTCCATCTGATAATCTTTGTCGACCCAGCGCCACCCCGTCGGCGACAGTCCTTCTCGCAACGGCATCCCGCGCAGCTCGGCGTCCCGAGCCTCTTGTTCGGGCCCGTCTTCTACATGATTCCATTTCCGATTCGACATGGCACCCTCCACGTTCGCCGTCGTCCGTGACTTCCGCAGCGATTCATACAGCTTCAGGATCTCGGGAACCTTTTGCTTCATGCTGTCTCCAGCCGAAGCCTTCAGGAGGCCCAGAAGTTTACCGAGCACAGCGCCATCCTCTGCAGCCATTGCTGCGCCTTGCGCCTGGTATGGTAGGCTTGGATGGCACGAGTCACCCAGGAGGGCAAAGGAGCCCTGTCTGGTCAACATGTTGTATCTGACGTTGAGTACCCCGGGAAACATACCTTTGTCCACGTCTCCAACTCTGGATGAGTGCAAAGCTTCCACTTTTGAACTTTCGGTATCAGTGATAGGAGCTTGGTTAGTCTGTGGATTTTAGCATGTGCATTTCACACCAGTGCCGTACTTTCCTGTTACGGCGTACGCTGAACTGTCGATCCGGCGGCTGGACCTACATTTCGTCCCACCCAGTATAGCTTTCTCTCATCTCGTCAATGTCCCCCTCGACGCAATTTTCACTAGTTTGCATGTTATCGGGCCTGATCAAGACGAGATTAAACTCTCGTCCCCCCTTGACGGGATAGAGTACGGTATGCCTGCCGGGGCCGAGCCATATCGTGACCTGCTTTCTGGCGCATAGCTCATCCACACGGGGGTCGTTCAGAGCTTTGATATGCTCGGCCGGAAGGGTTGCTCGATACGTCAGGTCTCCGGTCTCCACTGCAGGCGAGGGTGACCCAAGAAGCTGGTCGCGGCAAACTGAGTTGATACCTAGTCGCGTGAATGGAGGGTCTTTGACTACGGGCTTGAGCAACCCAGCCGAACTGTACTTACCATCGGCTCCAATGATGATATCGCTTCGAATATCCTTGCCATCCTTCAGATGTACGATGTTGTTCTCAAAGTCGATACCTTCAACCGACATGCCCAGGCATAGATCAACTCCGAGTTCCTTGCAAGTCTGCCATAACACAGCATGGATATCGGCTCGATGAATTACCATCCAAGGATTTCCATAGTTGTTATGCAAGCCCTTTTCCGAAAGCGTGTGCAGATGCTTGCCACTGGCATACCTACGCAGCTCGATCGCATCGAGGACAGTCGCACGCTCCGACAATCTGTCCAAGTAACCCAACTGTCGCGCAACTCTTGCTCCGTTAGGCGGTACTTGAATCCCTGCGCCCACCTTCACGAGTGTCAGCTGCCATGAGCATCTTGTATAGATAGAGATGAAACGGGTGACGGGCGTGCTTTCCATGACTCACTGGAATAATCCGATCAGCCCGTTCCAACACCACGACTTCAAATCCCGCTTTTCGACAAGCAATGGCGCAAACCAGGCCTCCCAGACCTGCTCCGATAATCAGCACTTTCATCTTTTGGTTCTTATGATCCGACTGGCAAGCCGAAGGGACGAAGAGGGAAACTGTCAGGGCAGTCTGCTGGTTATAGGTTATTCACCGCTCATTGAAGTCCGTCTCCCCGCGCTATGCATATGTGCGGCGTAGCAAAGCTGTGATACCACCTTCCTTTCATCACCTCCTCTCATCTCACATTCATTATCTACGTTTTCTTTGTCATCATTCAAAACATCTTGTCTCACCAGGCTACACACTCATTAGTCACCTGTTAATAACTTATAAGGAACATTCACTTCACAAAAAGTCACCAGCATTGTAATTGGGGACCCCACGCGTCGTCATATGACACATTGACACCTTGATCAGGAGGAGCTAGGGTAATGATAAGGACATTCATATCCAATATACACAAGAAAATAATACCCACTCATGCGGAGTGGAGGCGAAGCCGGAGTAGGAGGAGCAATGGTCTGAATTAGGTACGTATCCGTGCAATGGACATTTTTGGTATCACAGGGGTATTGAACTAGATCGAAGAAATGAAGCTATCGTAGGTTGCCTTGTTGAAAGGTGAGACATGATATCCACTGCCCAATTGGATGCTAGCCATCGCTCGCTCGCTTGTTCTGTTGAGGGCCCTTGTCCAATTAATTGGCATCCAAGATATCTCATATGAAAAGTTGTTCTTTTGACGTTCAACACCACGCCAGTTCAATTAAACATTGAAAACCCAGAATTCATACAGCTCCTTTTTCTTGTCTACGTCGCTGTTCTAGCTATGCGTCTGGATATTGTTGGTTGACATGACTGCCGTTGTGGCTGATGCACAACAACTAGACAAGTGCTATAGAGGACGATGACACAGCTCCATATTACCTAGACTGTTGGACGAATCAGCTCAAGAGTACATACCACACCATATATGGTGAGAAAGGCAACATATGCTACAATGTATCAGAAACCCAAGACGGAATCCCGCACATCTGCTTGAAAACGAGGCGAGGGGCATTGGTGCCAATCACGCATAATTGTTACAGGTAAGTGCGGAGACTTGGACAGCAGGAAGAATATAACTCTTGGCAAAGATAGGGGTAGCAACCCAGGCAGCCAAAGAATAGAGGGTTCTGCTGTCACGCCTCACATGGACGGATGAACAACAAGGAAGCGGTCGTGCTAGAGACACGTCCACTTTGACGCAAACCAACATGGTGTCGGCGCTTGTTAACTTGCCTGTCATAGGGATCTGTGTTGACGCTTTGCTTTCGTTTTTATGTCTTCGGGGATTTCGGGCCTTGCTGTACCGTCACCGATGTACCCACGTGGACTCACTGTACGGATATAATAAATCCAGATTAAGCATGCCATGTATGCATGGCTAGCTGAGTCTACTGTCGTTGATAGGCGAACGTCCCACTCATGACATATGTACCTGCAGCTTTAAGCAAAAAGGCTATGAAGCAGCCCCGTTTTTCCCCATTGATTTCACAAGAGGCCGTAGGTATCCATCCATGCTAAGAGTAATAACATTGCATGGCACATACAATCCATGTTGGTTCAAATCACTCGTGATATTGCCAAGTGTGTGAGTAAGAGGTCTAGCTTCTTCAAGTGATATTGAAAAGCAGCCAACTACTTGGGTACTGAGGTATCCTTACAGGCCTGCCATGGCCTCGATCAAAAGCAGCTATACTACCAGCACCCGAGAGAAGAGCAAACAAGCTAACAAAACAAAAATAAGCCACTCCAACAGCGAGGATGCGGCTTTGGGTCCCAAATCATGCTTTTTCCACCCTCCAGGCCGCAACAGCATCTGGTATCTCTCCAGCTTCCAAGTATACTCCAAACGCCACTTGGCCGAGTGCCATATCCAGGACCGACCCCCGACTTGAGTCCAACAGAGAAAAAGAACGGTTACTTTACATGCCAAGCCTCCAATAGCTATGCATCAATCGGATAGTTTTCGTCAAAACAAGCGAAGGGCATCCTACGCCTCCACGGCAACCGCCGGGGCGCTGACGACTGCCGGCTCGGGTTGGTTGGCTTCCTCTTCCTCTGCAATCTCGCCGCCTGCCTCGCGCTCGGCCCATGCACCCCAGAGACCGCGCTTTGCACGCACTCTGATAGGCGCACCGAGCGTCTCGCCTTGCTCGACTTTGATCGCGTCCTTCGTCGCCAAGACGAGACATTCGAAGAACATCTTGGTGGCATCGGCTTTCGTCGTTCTTCCCTCTGGCAGCAGGTCTTGGAAGACCACAGCGGTCTTCTTGCGCTTCTCAGCGTCGTTCTCAGCGTCAGGCCCGAATATATCTCTCAGTATGTGCACAGCATGCTTGGTGCCCAGTGACACAGGACCACTGTCCTGAGGGTGCACTTCGGGAGCTGTTGTCTCGTCAAAGCCGGGCATGGGGCTTCCCTCGCGAGAGACAGGTCGGGTGTTGTCGTCGTCTCCTCCAAAAGCAATGCCTTCCTCCTCAGCCGGGATTTCGAGAACGGTGCCGTCACCTGCGACGCTTTGGTTGCCGAATCCGGCAGCCTCGACAGCAAAAGCCTCCTCTTCTTCCACAATCAAGCGAGGTGACTTGGACGTGGCGTCATTCTCGCTCTCCACGTCCGCAATGCCGCTATCGCGCTTCCTCTTCAGCTCGCTGGATCGGCTGACGGCCTCAAGCGAGAGCAAGCCTCTCAACTCAGGTGCCCAGCTGGCACCACGACCTTCAAGCATGATGTTGGAGACAAAGCCACCACTCTTTTGCATCTCCATCAGAGCGAGCACGAATGGATCTCTAGGCAAGAACGACTGGGGTCTGAGGATGTTGCCATGGTTGGCCTGTTGGTCCTTGATGTGATTGCTGGAAAGCATCGTTTGCTCGTCTGGCAGAAGAATCCTCCTCTTCTTTGAACGCTGAGGGTGACGGACAACAGTGCGGTCCTGGTCTTCATCCGGTTCGTAGAGGTCTGTGTGCTGAATCCGGGAGTATTCCTCCTCCACCTCCCGCGCGAACTCGGGATCAATCTCCGAAAGTGGCGACTCGGAGATCCGACCGCGCGGCATGTCCAGAGCACCGGGGAATCCCGGAGCAACAGATTGATCACCAGCAGGGAATTGGAATTCATTGTCGTCGCCCATTTGGATGTCTCCCTCTTCATCGGCGATACGGACGTTGTCGTCACCAAAATCGAGAGCCAGACCTAACGAGGGTTCGCGTTCGGGTTGGTCCTTGCCTCGCGGCATGATGTCAAGCTCGCTGAACATATCATCCTCCACAGAACGTGCGAGGGGCGCATCTCTTCCCATTTCGATAGTCGTGTCCATGCGGGTAGGGCGATCATCAACATCCATGCCAAAGTCGAGTTCAAGATCAAGATCCTCCATGGGCGCCAACTCCAGCTCATCGTCGAGAGTGTCTCCTTGAGTGAGGAACTGGCTGTTGTTGAAATCTTCCTGCAAGTTGATGTCACGGTGACTAACGCGACCCTTGCGACCGACCGGCGTGGCTGTGACATCGTCCATTTGCGACAAGAGCCAGGCGGCATCGGGAGGCGGGGGAAGATCAAGGTTGTCGAGTGGAGTGATTTTGTCAGGCAGCAGCAGCGCTTCGCGGTTGTTGACGTATAGGTTGGCAACTGCCATGTCGTGGTTGTCGCTTGAGCGGAAAGCCTATAACTGTTAGTAAAGCGCGTCAAAGACACAAAAGAGGGCAGACACACCATTTTGATCTTCATTGAGGCTTCATTACAGTCCTCCAATAGGTACCGAGCTTTGCGGTTGTAAATTCTGACGACACCGAGCAGCAGCTGACCACTCAGGCGGAGGGCCATCGGGGCTTGACCAGGTGTAATGATAGCCTCTACACTGTCCGGCAGGTTGGACTGCAAAATGTGTGTCTTGGAAAGCTTGCGCTCGATGTTGGCCGACAGCCAAACGCGGGCCAGCGGCCCGCTCTTTTGGAGGAGCGTCTCCGAATAGAACATGGCGGCGGCGAAGCAGAGTAATTTGAGAATCAAAAGTATAGATGCTCAGAGCAAGGAGCAACAGCTAATGCTCGCAAGGTATATAGGCAGCGACGCGCGCCGGGGTTGGAGGGGCGGTTGGCGGAAGCTCTGGTAAACACGAGAACGCGTTATTATGGGGATCGGGTCGCGTTGGGGAAGCAGCGGTCGAAACCTAACACGCGCAAACTGTAAGGCGCGGCGACATAGAGCAAATGATATCGATCGCGAAAGGTCCAAGAGTGAGTTGCAGCGATAGCGGTGGCAGCAATAACGCGATGAGCAGCGATGAGGGAGATGGAGGAGATGAGTAGGAGGGGGGAGTCAGGGTGTGGTCTCTTGACGCCGTGCCAGTGGACGGAAAATGACGGGGCTGGGATTGGGCAAGGATTGGTCCGCGCAGAATTTGGTGGTGGCAGCTGCATCACGTGACGAAGATACTCCACTCTTGGATCATTAACTGCTGACCCGGCGACCATACCGGAACCGGCGGCAACAAGTATTTTACCTTGCTACGGCGCAGTGAAAGGTACGAGGCAAGGACCCCCAAGCTCAAACGCTTCACCTAAGCTTTTCCAGGTACGGATACACGATGAACTAACTGCCTGTTGAAGCAGGCACCATGCAGAACATGCACCTCGAGTTGTTGCTCGGCCAAAATGCTCGGTAGGTATTAATCCGTGTATCTTTACTAGCCAACCGCACCACCAGCGCATCCTCTTTGCATGCATGTTCGCGCCCCCCACTGCTGACTGACTTGAGGAACGCGACAGTTGAGAATTCACATTGTTGCAGACCCATTCGGAACAAGGGAGATAAAATGAAACCAAAGTTCGGTAGCGTCCAACTGTGGAATACCATTGGAGACGCCTCTGTTCTCCAGCTTTATTACCGCTACTCTATTTATCTGGCTCTAGAGCTCTTTGCTTCATTCAACATGAGTCCAGATTAGATCCAAGCCGGTTGTATACTTCAACATGATCTCGACGAGGTTCCACAAAGTCTCGTCCAGTTGTTGCAGTCGCCGAGCATTTGGGTCTGTGTGGCCCAATCTGTGCAGATCTATCCAGTGTATCCGTATCAGCAGCAGCAAGGGTTCGCGACACTTTGGTCGGTTGTTGCATACACAAGACGTATGCCCTTGTGACTTGTCCTGATGTACCGTATGGATACGGCATTAAATTGCTAACCTTGCTTGCCGTGACTTGTTGCTGCATCCTACTGGTCAGGTACTTTGCGGAGCGGCGAGACCGTTCCGAGTCACTCTTCTAGGGCCCCCTGCCACGGACCCGCCTTAGAGGCGCGTTGGTATTTGTACACCTGTAGGCTGGAATCAGATCTGGGCATGCGTTCGTTTGCTATCCCGGCCAAAGGCATACGTTTTCGCAACTTTTCCCACGACATCCGTGGCGTCTTCACTCGCACAACGGTTTCCGCGAAACTATGTCTTCGGGCCAAGCTTTCTGCAATTGATACCTTGGCGACAAATGATCTTTTGTCCATCGAACACGACCTTTTTTTACGAAATTTGACGACATAACGCCTTGGCGCATGTCTCCTTTTCGCCTTGCCCATTGACAAATGATCGACACTGAGAGTTGTGCAACTATTCGAAGGTCGTGACCGAGGTATTACTGCCTCTCCATATGCAGAGATGCAGTGGCCTTGGCACAAGAGAAAAGACTCTGACGATGGCAACGCTTTGCTGCCTTTGACGGCCAAAGGGCTGAGCATTAACGGCACGGCCATGGACCCTGCAGAGACGGAATCATTGCGATCGAGGCCAGGACACTTTCGAACCACTTCGGCCCAGTCAAGAGTAGTTATCCCTTGATTGCACAATATCGCCGCGTTTTGAGCTAATCCGAGGTTTGAATAGAGTACTGCAGACGAGTTCTCTGCCATGACTCCAGCAGAAGCTGCCAGCCGTCTTCAAACCTCTTTGACTCACGGTCTGTCTCCTACCGGAGCCTTGGCCCGACTTAACGAATATGGCCCGAACGAAATCCCTCACGAACCTCCCGAACCACTGTGGCTTCGATTTATTAAACAATTTCAAGAGCCACTCATTGTCCTTCTGCTCGTTTCGGCCGGGGCCTCTATATTTCTGGGTAATACGGATGATGCGGTCAGCATTACGATAGCGGTAACCATCGTCGTCTCGGTTGGCTTTGTGCAAGAATACCGGTCGGAAAAGTCAATAGAGGCACTTAGCCATCTTGTTCCGAATCACGCCCACCTCGTCCGGTCAGCGATGAAGACCCCTGGCAGCGCCCGGACTCCCACATGGCCACCGCAGGGCCCTATGGACGGCACCGAATCGGCGAACTCTACTACTCCAGGCGAGGAAATGCTGGAGGCAACCTCATCCAAGGTCATGGCCTCGCAGCTTGTGCCAGGTGACCTTGTCTACTTCACCACGGGCGATCGCATTCCAGCAGATATTCGGGTCACCAAGGCAGCAGATCTCACCATTGACGAGTCGAATCTCACCGGAGAGAACGAACCAGTCCGGATCACGGCCGAAGCAAAAGCACGAAGTTTTCTGCCTCCCACTTTCGGGGCAGACGCGCTCCAGCCGCCGAGTCCCTCGGCTCCATCCGACAGCCGTGATGATGGCGGGAACAATATTGCATGGATGGGCACCTTGGTGAGGTCTGGCCACGGCCAGGGTGTTGTCTTTGCGACGGGGGGAAACACCAACTTCGGAACGATCGCGACTAGTGTGTCTGGGACAGAAAGCCCGCGATCACCACTTCAACTTTCCATGGACGAACTTGGCTCCCAGCTCAGCAAGTTCTCCTTTGGCGTCATCGGCGTTATTTCCTTGGTCGGCTGGCTCCAGGGGAAGAAGTTGCTTGAGATTTTCACGATATCGATTTCTCTCGCTGTTGCAGCTATCCCGGAAGGCTTGCCGATCATTGTCACTGTCACCTTGGCTCTCGGTGTTCATAGAATGGCCCGTCACAATGCTATTGTACGCAGGATGCCCAAGGTAGAGACTCTGGGCTCGGTGAATGTCGTATGCACCGACAAGACAGGTACGCACGCAAAATCGCGACTTGGGGATAGAACAAGGTTTAATGACATATTCCAGGAACTCTTACCATGAACCACATGACAACCGCCAAGATGTGGTATTTCGGTGCCAATGACGCTATTGACGTTGAATCCGACGACGAGGCAACCGAAAACAAGCCGAACCCTGCCACTTTGCGCATTCTGCGCATTGGTAACATTGCGAACAACGGCCGTCTTGCACAGCAATACACAGAAAATGGTGCAGCTGCTAGGGCTGTACTCTCGTCTACGCAAGGAACAGACTTTGCTTCGACCTACACACGCTGGTGTGGACAACCTACCGATGTCGCAATGCTTGATTTGCTTGACAGGTTTAAAGAGCATGACGTTCGCGAGTCCATTGGCCCACGTCTTAGCGAAACACCCTTCAGCTCCGAGCGCAAATGGATGGGCGTCACTATTGGAACTAACGACAAGGAGTTCGCGTACATGAAAGGTTCCATTGATCGAGTTCTCGAAGCTTGTGACACCTATCTTACTCGCGACGGCCGAGAGTTCGTTCTCGACTCTGCGCGGCGTCAGGAAGCATTGCAAGCTGCAGAGGTCATTGCCTCAAATGGTCTCCGCGTGCTTGCGTTTGCCAGCGGCACTGTTTCGCGATCTAGGAGCAGAAACACACCGGCACCGACTAGTCCCAACCCTCAGTCTGTGTACGAGACTTACAGAGGCCTCACATTCGCTGGCTTGGTCGGAATGAGCGACCCTCCAAGGCCCGGTGTTGGCAAGGCGATCAGGAGATTACTACGCGGGGGAGTCAGAGTTGTCATGATCACAGGTGACGCCGAGACAACTGCTGTGGCCATTGGCCGGCAGCTCGGTATGCCAATTGCGAAGCCGATCGAGCATGCTTCTAGTCAAGCATCAGTGCGACCCGTGCTGAAGGGAGATGACGTTGAGGCCATGTCCGAGCAGGAGCTCGCAAATGCTATCCAACATACTACGATCTTTGCTCGCACGAACCCGGATCACAAACTGAAGATCATTCGAGCTTTTCAGGCCAGGGGTGATATAGTCGCCATGACTGGAGACGGCGTCAATGACGCCCCAGCGCTAAAGAGAGCAGACATTGGCATTTCCATGGGCTTGCATGGAACCGACGTTGCAAAGGAGGCAGCAGACATGATTCTCACAGACGACGACTTCTCAACCATACTTCGGGCAATTGAAGAGGGCAAGGGAATATTCAACAACATTCAGAACTTCCTGACATTTCAGCTCAGCACAAGCGCGGCTGGACTGTCTCTTGTATTGTTTTGCACGATTCTCGGTTTCAAATCACCCCTGAATGCGATGCAGATTCTCTGGATCAGTAGGTTTCCCGCCTAACGTGGTAGCTCAGCATCAACTTACACTCTACAGACATCATCATGGATGGCCCACCTGCCCAGTCGCTCGGCGTCGAGGCTGTCGATGCCGACGTCATGAACCGCCCTCCTCGCAAGCGAAACGACGCGGTGCTCACAAGGAAGCTCCTTTACAGAGTCTTGACATCAGCATCCATAATTATGATGGGCACTATGCTCGTCTATAGACGGGAGATGCTTGCGGATGGCGAGGTCAACCGCCGCGATACGACCATGACCTTCACTTGCTTTGTGCTATTCGACATGTTTAATGCCTTGGCCTGCCGATCCGAATCCAAGTCGGTGTTGCGGGGCGAGGTAGGACTTTTCTCAAATACGCTCTTTAACTGGGCGGTCTCACTCAGTATCGCGGGTCAATTGCTCGTGGTCTACTTCCCGTGGCTACAGGAGGTTTTCCAAACGGAAGCCTTGGGATTGTTCGATCTTGTCGGCCTGTTGGTTCTTTGCAGCACGGTGTTCTGGGCGGATGAGTTTAGAAAGTACTGGAATTACTCAAGACGGCGCATGGCTGGTGGTTACAGTCAGGCAGTGTAGATCAAGAAGCATCTTTCATGTGAGGTACAGGTGGATTGTACCAGTCAACGGCCTTACATAGTAGCGTATATGTAAACTTTGAGGACGGTAGATAATTAACGACCTTTTACTGGGGAAAAAAATCAATTGCGGACCTTGAGCCTTTCGGGGGGGCTTTTTTTTTTCGTCCGACACTCTCTGAACAGGCCAGTTTGCAGGTTAATGTCAGTCAAAAGTTTGTTTCTCCCTTGCATCCATACCTTGGCCTCGCTTATCGGTGAGAAAGGTACACCGAGGCACCTACATACCTTGCGCTTCGGGCCAGCTAACACCTCCACCTCACCAACCACCCCGGTGCGAACAACACTTCCCTACCTCTGCTGGCAGGCCAAGGTAGCTATGCACCTTTCAGCCAGCTCGCGCCAATGTCAACCCTCACGAATGGCGTCTCCCCCCATCGCGCGGACAGCGACAATGCCACCAATGGCGCACATGACGCTGCTGCGGCCCGACCCAGCAGCAGCAGCAACAGCAACATTTATGCAGCTTCGAGCGTTGCCGAGGTTCGCGCTGCCCTCGAAGCTCTCCACGCCCGCGAGTCATTGATAACGAACCGCCTTGATGCACTCCTCGGCTCCCAGGCCGACCTCGCTCGCGAGCTGGGCCGCTTGGACTTGCTGCGCGCGGGGCTTGGCAGCCAGGTTATTGCCGCGCGGTCCATTGGCAACGACATGCTTTCCACGGCGGCAGACACGGCAGGACGGCTGAGCAACAAGGTGAAAGAGCTGGACCTGGAAAAGAGCCGCGTCGAGGATACACTTGAGGTCGTTAAGCAGGTTGCCGAGCTTAAGGCATGCGTGCAGGGCGTCGTAGGCAGCATGGGTGCCCCGCAGGACTGGGAAGCTGCTGCGGCGTACCTGGCACGAGCAGCAGAAGTGCCGGAAGACATCATCAAGGGCAAGTTTGCCTCCTCGATCGTTCCGTCTCCCGAGGTTCCTGACCCACCATGGACGACGCTGGAGACCGCCAAGGAGAGTCTCTGTGGCTTGTTCCTGAGGGAGTTCGAAAAGGCGACAAAGGAAGGGGATGGTGCCAAGGTTACGCGGTTCTTCAAGCTCTTCCCGCTTATTGGCAGAGGAGATGTTGGACTGGATGTCTATGGACGGTACGTCTGCCAGGGTGTGGCTGGCACAGCTAGATCCGTCTTGAAGGAGAGCCCTGGGGCTCAGGCGAGAAAGGAGGGCTTCTTCTACGCCAATGCCCTTACCAGGCTGTTTGATCACATTGCGCGGATTGTGGAAGGCCATGGAGGTCTAGTAGAGCGGCACTACGGCTCTGGCAAGATGGTCCGTGTTATTGAGCGACTGCAACAGGAGGCAGACGTACAGGGAGGCATTATTCTCGACTCTTGGAGCGACGAGCGCGACGTTGATAGGCGGCTGAAGGATGTGAAGAGCTATCCCTTCTCGTTTTTGGTACAGAGCTTCTTGCCCCAGCAGAGAAGCGGGACGCCAAGAGTCAATTCGCCAGCCATGGGCGCCGGAGCAGATCAACGCGATAGCGAGGATGAGGGCGTCAACATGAAGGAGGTAGATGCCCTTCTTAGTGAGATCGCGATCATGCTTGGACGATGGTCTCTTTACTCCCGGTTCCTGGCGGGAAAGACTCAGGTCAGTAACAGGCCGCCTCACCTTGGGATATCTCTACTCACACGCTGCATAGGATCCATCATCGCCCGAAAATGCCCTGCTATCCATGCCGGAAGTCGTCGTAAAGTCCAACCTCAAGCGAAAGGTTTCAGACAAGCTCACATCTCCGTATAATACCATGATGACATTCTTCTTTCGACGATCAGTTGAGAAGGCGTTCCAGCTGGACGAGACTCCAAGCGGTTTGTCTCTGAATATGAACAAGCACATCGACACAAACCAGCCATTCATCATCTCTGCGGTTGACGATGTCATGTACGTCGTCAATGCTGTAATCCAGAAGTCTATATCCACGTCGCAACGGGACGTTATTACGTCTGTTGTTCCCACTATTGGTCGGGTTCTCACCTCTGATTTCATCGGTATGATCCAGCGAAAGATGCGCGATGAGTCATACCCCAAACCTATCGTGCAAGGAGGGTTTCCGCCAGAAGACAAGATCATCCAATTCATTGTTCTGATCAATAGTCTCGACACGGCCAACGAGTATCTCGGCCGAATCATTACGAGCAACGTAGGAAGCACGAACGACCCGCCAAAAGCCAATAGTGAAGACCATGAACCGTCACTTAGGGATACATTCCCCTTCGATAAGGACGTCGCTTTTGTGACCTCTGCCCTCAGCACATTGCACAGCTCTTTTACAGCCAAATCAACTGAGCTACTTAACGAGGGACTTCAAGTGCTCTTCAAACAGGTCGTCCAGCCACGCCTCAGACCAGTGCTCGTCGAAACCTTCCGCGATGTGGATTACTCTCTCTCCGACGAGGAGCTAGCCGAAATCGCCCAGCAGAACGACGAGGATGAGGAAGAGATGCTCGAACAGGTGTCACGGCGTTTCGAGCATGGTTGGGACCAGCTCATGAAACCCATCTCGCGGATTTTGACGACCAACACCTTCACAACCCTACACGACCTGACCGCGCGTTACCTCTCGCGTGTCCTCGAGCGCAGGGTATGGGACGCCCGGGCTAACGCTTACGGTGTCATTCGCATGGAGCGCGACTTCTCCAGCATAGTTAGCACGGTGTCAAAGGGCAACTACGGCGTCAGGGAGTTATTTGCCAGGGTGTCGCAGATCTTGATGGTGGCGAACATGGAAGCAGAGGAGTGGGAAGAGGTTTCGGCCCAGCCCGACGACGAGGAGGATGGTATGATCTGGGTGCTGACCGAGGAAGAGCGACGGCGGGCGAGGCACTTGACATCTAGAGAGCGTAGGGGGTGAACACAAGATGACAATAGGCGAGCTTTGTCCAAGGTATTTGGAGTAAAGAAGACTTGATGAGAAATGACTTGATTACCGAAGCGCGCATACAAGGATGGTGACATTTGCCGGGATAGGTAGACACTGTAATACAGCATAGCAGACTGCTGCAAGCCCTCCTCTGGTCCGAATCTAGTTTTCCTGGCGTTGTTTCAATATTGACCATAGACGCGATTTCCCAAAAATTATTGTAGCCAGTCGCATGTTCGGAGTCTTCGATAGGAAGGTTGAGGGAGGCTTGCGCATATCTCGAGCCTTGTTAAGCAACAGACGGTAACCTTCTTATTTCCAAGCGTTCCGAGTAGTAGTACGGTTCTCGGGTCGAGTGAAACATCAAAGAAGCTGATAAGAGCAATATCACTGTGAAGCTTGAAAGATCCAAACAATGGACTAAGTGTTGGCTTGACGTGCTGTGCAGCCGGCGCCGATTGGCACGTGGCGAGTGCCTTGAAGGTAAAACCAAATCTCCACTAATCACGTCAGTCTCCACTAGAACCTGATCAGCGGGAAGCGACTTAGCGGGTATCTGTCACTACCGATCCTACCTACCTAGGCACCTTAGGGAGGTATCTACTCTAGGTACCTAACTAGCAGCTCCTTCAACTCGGGATTATCGCCGCCAAAGGGCACCACCGCTCACCTCTCACTCACCTTAGCCTTCCAGAGAAATTTTTCCATATGACTCAATGTCCACCCACTTGATCTGCATGAAGACCTTATGATACCCATTACTTCCCTATGACGACGATCTAGATTCTTCTCTTTCCTACTTTCACATCGGACATTACTATCCTGGACCCTCCTTCCATCAACTTTAATTGTCTCGGTATTTGACTCCAAACCGGCGCGGATTCTGCAATCCTTCACATTGGCTCTCACTTATGGTGTAAGTCGTCAGATCGCGACCTTCAGCCGCAATTGTCTACGACTATTATCGACAAATAATCACAACACCAGGATGGAGACCAGAATTGTCAAAGTCGAAGCACAAGGGCTGGGAAGTTTCAGAGACATAGATGGCCCTGAGAGGTTAAGCCACTGGGACATCTCCAGCTCCGCCTCTGGTGCATCGATAGCCGCATTGCGCGACGCTGCGGAATACATGCGCACACAGGACACCCCCGTGGCGTTCCCCACTGAGACGGTGTACGGGCTGGGCGCCGACGCGACGCGGAGCGGCGCCGTCAAGGGCATCTTTTCCGCCAAGGGCCGGCCGTCGGACAACCCGTTGATATCTCACGTCTGCGATCTGGACATGCTGAGGGGCCTTCTGCGGCCTGAAAGGCAAACAATGCACGGCGACGTGGCGGCAGAGACGGACCCGATCCCAGAGATCTACAAGCCTCTCATCGAAAAGTTCTGGCCCGGGCCCCTGACAATCCTGCTGCGGAACCCGGAGCCAAGCAAGCTCGCGCCTGAGGTCACGGCGGGGCTGGAGAGCTTCGGTGTGCGAATGCCGTCCTCGCCGCTGGCGTTGACACTGATCAAGCTTGCCGCCGCCCCGCTGGCCGCCCCCTCCGCCAACGCCTCGACCAAACCGTCTCCAACGACAGCGCAGCACGTTTACCATGATTTGGAAGGCCGCATTGGGCTGATCCTGGATGGCGGGGCGTGCCAGGTCGGCGTAGAGAGTACCGTCGTCGACGGCCTCTGCGATCCGCCCGTGGTACTGAGGCCCGGCGGCGTGAGCATGGAGGAGCTGCGGAGCTGTGCCGGGTGGGAGGGCGTCGTCAAGGCGTACAAGGATGCGAGTGAGACGGGGAGGTCGGCGCCACGAGCGCCTGGGATGAAATACAAGCATTACAGCCCCAAGGCTAAGGTTGTGCTGTACGAATGGAGCTGCAAGGCGGGTGCCGAGGGCGTCGTGACCGAGGATTTGCAAAAGGCACTCATCCAGCAGAGCGGTGATGCCATTGCTACAAACGGCTCAGGGCCGGCGCTGCTAAAGATTGGAATCATCCGGACAAGCAGGTGGAAGTTTGCAGGAGGATTTCACCCCGGCACGCTCCAGGTCTCCAAGGTCCACGTCGACGGGGCTGCAGACGCGAATGCTAGGGACGAGGTGGCGTATGAGGTTAAGGAGGGCGAGCTGCAGGACGCGGAGAAGAAACCCATGGCGAGGGTCCTCGACATAGATCTGGGCGGCGACACAAGGGGCATCGCCCAGGGGCTCTTCTCGGCACTGAGAGATCTGGATAGGAGAGGCGCCAGCGTCATCTTCGTGGATGGCATCGATGACAGGAACGACATAGCAGAGGCGGTCATGAACAGGCTCCGCAAGGCAGCCTCTGAAATCCGTGCTTAAATGAATGGGCATTGTTTTGGGCAAAAAAATAGAACCAGGCATAAATTTGAGCATTCGTCATGACAATCCCTCTCAAGAAGGATGTGCTTTTTCAAAATGATGCATTCCCCTTTAGAAACCACCATGAAACTCCCATTGTGCAACCGCCCTTTCTTTCTCTCTTCGTCTCTCGCCTCAGTTTGCCCCTCCGACACCATCCGTCGCCGCTCACAGGCCCTGCCGCAGCCAGTCGGCCAGTTTCGACTTGCCCAGCTGGGCCAGGTTGTTGACACCTTGTTCGCTGAGGTCGATGCGACGAAGGTCGACGTCTTGCGCCGGTGCCTTGCTTACTCTTTGGACGATGATGGTGGGGTCGGTCTCCAGGATGATGCCGTCATCGACGATCTCGTCAATGGCGAGAGATACAAGGTCGTAGTTCTCGACGATTGTGCGCTTGTCGACGGATTGCCTGAAGAGCTGTTAGGACATACCGAGCGTGTTACGGAAATAACGGGGATGACGGGGACAGCTTGGCTTACTTGAAGAGCAGATGCAGAGAGTCCCTGAGGGCGAGGATAACATTGTACAGCAGCACCTCGTTCTCGTCGACACCTCCGACAACGTACATCATGACGTCCGACTCCATCTTGTAGAGCACAATCCGGTTGTCGTACAAGATGATATCGCCAGTCTGCTTCGCCGTCTTCTCCAAGAGCCCCTTCTCAAAGGCTTTTTGCGACTTTACATCGGGGTACGGGTTGCCAGAGGAGTTCGAGCTGCCTGTTTTCATGAGGCCCGTCAGTCATGTGCTCCAGAGCTGGGCACCAAAAGGGAGCCGGAGAGTAAGGGCATACCGTTCTGAGTCGCGGAGCCGGCGTGGGGTGCGCTATAGTACTTGGAGAATAACCGCGATCCGTCCTCGATGCTGAGGATCAGGATCGCGTTGACGGAAAACAGGGACATTCCAGGAGCCATCTTGACGGTTGTTCGTGAGGTGTTGCGCCGGATTGCGCTTGCTGGTGGGTTGGCTGATATGTTGTCCACTTTAGTCCACGGTAACCTGGCAGGGAGCTCTATGGCGGGATGCCAATTGACCACCTCAGCAACCCAAAATCGGTGCAAGTCGGTCGGTGGTTTCGCCGATGGCCGGATACACAGGGGTCCACCCCTGTCACCTTAGACCCACATGCACGGGCCATGCTCTTTCCCACCACGCGTAAAGTGGAAAACGCGAAACTCCTTTTCGGGACGCGTTGGAGACCGGGCCAACCGCGTAAAGTGGCTTTCCAAAATTGCATTGCAGCCCACCTTCCGGTTGCTCCCAAGGGGCTCTCCACATATCTCTCCTCCCCCCAGCAACGCAACATATTCTTTCTTGCCGCATTCCGCTGGCCATTGCCCCCTCTTCCAGTCCGATCACAACCGCAAGAAAGCCCAAAAAACGAACGCCCATCAGCAATATGTCTTCACCTTCAAAGAGGTCAACGAGAAGCTCGACGGCTGGTACGCCTCGCCGGTCAACAAGAAACAACCCAGATGCAGCTGCACGCAGCAGCCCTGCGCCTGCAGACGAAGAGGCGCAACGCCCAGCAGAGACCCCTCGTACTAGCCGCCGCTCGCAGCTTGCGTCGAGCCCCCTCTTCTATGAATCTTCGCCAGCGCAGACACCCAGTGGTCGCCGCGATGCGCCCGCCAACGGCGATGTCTCGTCGCCCTTGCGAAACATGAGCAACAGCCAGAGCACCGTCGTTGGCCCTGCTCCCAGCTCACCGTTGCGTCAAGACATTGACACCCAATCCACCGGTGATGGCGACAGAACCCCCCGTGCGAGTGGGTTGGCAAGAGGTAAGTATGGTAAATGCATACTGCAGAGTATCATTACTAACAGAAACCTTTAGAATCGTCACCCATTCGATACGAGGCCAGTTCTAGCCCAGGCCGATCGGTGCGGCCACTGCAATCGGACTTCCGCAGTGAGAGTAGTGGTCTTTTCGTTACTGATCGCTCATCGCGTTCCCGTAGAGGTGATATTAACTCGGAAGGCGTCAGAACCCCCCGTCGCCGCCTTGTGTTGGACCCATCCGGCAGAGTAACTACCGATGCGCCGGGCTCCGATGCCCCTTCATTCAGCAATCCCGACCCAAACACTTCGGAAGCCGACCGCCTTGGCGGAGCGGGTGAGAGCACCATTTGGGGTACTACTGTATCGATCGACGACACTTTCGCCTCTTTCAAGGATTTCTTGAGGCACTTCACCAGGAAATACCAGCTGTACAGAGATGGTTGGTCCGAGGCAGACGTCCAGGCTGCCCCCGATGCCGAGTCTAAACCATACATGGAGGCTCTAGAGAACATGCTTCTTTTGGGCACAACCAGGCTTTACCTCGATATCGCCGATCTGAATACCTACCCACCGACGCGAAAGCTCTGGTACCACATCCAGGCATACCCACAAGAAATCATTCCCATTATGGACCAGTCTGTCCACGATTTGATGGTCGAGCTGGCTAGGAACGAAGGCCAAAGACAACGTGCATCCCAGAGCAGTGCTGGCGATGCTGCCAGACGAAGCAACGCAGCTGCTAGCTCGGACGTTGCTTTCCCTAGCTCCGACCATCCAGGCTCTGATGCCCCGACCCCGCGACCGGCTACCGATGTCCCATCAAAGGAGGATGAGGTTGCTCAGATGATTTACATGGTTAGGCCTTTCGGGTTGGACAAGACAACCAACCTCCGTGATCTGAACCCCTCCGACATGGATAGGCTCATCACTATCAAGGGTCTTGTCATTCGTACTACGCCAGTTATTCCTGACATGAAGGAAGCTTTCTTCCGGTGCAACGTTTGCAACCACTCAGTCAACGTTGGTCTTGACAGAGGCAAGATCCGCGAGCCCACCGAGTGCCCGCGACCTCGCTGTGCCTCCAAGAACTCGATGCAGATCATTCACAATCGTTGCGCATTCGAAGATAAACAGGTGATCAAGCTCCAAGAAACCCCGGACGCTGTCCCTGCTGGTCAAACACCCCACTCGGTCTCGGTCTGCGTGTACAACGAGCTGGTGGACTTCTGCAAGGCTGGTGACAGAGTCCAGCTTACGGGTATCTTCCGCGTCAGCCCTGTGCGCGTGAACCCGCGTCAGAGAACTATCAAAAGCGTGTACAAGACGTACGTAGACGTCTTGCACGTTCAAAAGGTGGACAAGAAGAGGATGGACGTTGACCCTTCCACCCTCGGCATTGAGGGTGAAGAAGACGAGGGTGGCGCCAACAACATCGAGGAGACCAAAAAGATCAGTCCTGAAGAGGAAGAGAAGATCAGAGAGACTGCGGCCAGGCCAGATATTTATGACCTTCTCTCACGCTCCCTCGCTCCCTCGATTTACGAGATGGATGACGTGAAGAAGGGTATTCTTTTGCAACTTTTCGGCGGCACAAACAAGACGTTCTCCAAGGGTGGCAGCCCCAGATACAGAGGAGATATCAACGTCCTGCTCTGCGGTGATCCGTCGACGTCAAAGTCTCAGATCCTCTCTTATGTGCACAAGATTGCCCCCCGTGGTGTATACACCAGCGGTAAGGGCTCTTCCGCCGTCGGTTTGACTGCGTATGTCACGCGAGACCCCGAAACCCGCCAGCTGGTGCTCGAGTCCGGTGCCCTGGTTTTGTCCGACGGCGGTGTTTGCTGCATCGACGAATTCGACAAAATGTCGGAGGCTACCCGCTCTGTTCTTCACGAAGTCATGGAGCAGCAGACGGTGTCTGTTGCGAAAGCGGGCATCATCACTACTCTTAACGCCCGGACGAGTATTCTGGCTTCTGCCAACCCTATCGGCAGTCGTTACAACCCGGATCTCCCCGTACCTCAGAACATTGATCTGCCCCCCACTCTGCTCTCGCGTTTCGATCTGGTCTATCTTATCCTTGACCGCGCTGATGAGAAAAGTGATGCTCGTCTCGCTCGCCATCTCCTCTCTCTGTATCTGGAAGATAAACCGGAGTCTGCTCACACTAAGGAAGACATTCTCGTAAGTAGGCTATGATACAAACCTGTTCGACACTCGCTGACCATTTCGTAGCCTGTCGAGTTCCTCACCAACTACATATCCTTTGCTCGCGCCAACATCCACCCGACCATTGCGCAGGATGCTGCCCAGGAACTGGTTGACCAGTACCTCGAGATGCGCAAGCTTGGTCAGGATGTCCGTGCGGCTGAGAAGCGCATCACAGCTACCACTCGTCAACTTGAGTCCATGATCCGTCTGTCCGAGGCCCACGCCAAGATGCGTTTGTCCACTACCGTCGTTCGCGAGGACGTCAAGGAGGCCGCCCGTCTTATCCGCTCCGCTCTCAAGACTGCCGCCACCGACGCCCAGGGCCGCATCGACATGAGTCTGCTGACAGAAGGTACCAGCGCTGCCGACCGCCGCAAGAAGGAGGAGATCAAGGGGGCCGTGCTTCACCTACTCGATGAGATGACTAGCAACGGTCAGACTGTCAGGTGGAGTGAGGTCGCTAGAAGATTGAGCGAAGGTGCGAGTATGCCTGTGGAACAGAACGACTTCAACGAGTCGATGCGGACCTTGGAGATGGAGGGCCTGATCATGATCAGTGGTGAAGGTGCGAGGAGAAGCGTGAGAAGAGTCACGGCTGTCGTGTAAGAGATGATGCGTATGGATACAGGATAGAGCGGCTATCCGAATGAGCTTACGTGGAATGTGGTGTTTGAAACCTGTAGGGTAAGAAAAGGGTACGTGAGCGTTGGTACTCCATAGTCTATTTCTGCTTTTGATGCTCTACTTCACCAATTCGGGGGGCTATAATGGAATGGATTCCCATTCATGTCCTTGACCGCCTCATGTCGGTGTCCATCCAGTATAAACCCTGGGCGGAGATGGTCTCATCATGCCAAGTCAATGTATAGATTTCATGATACTCGAGAACAAAGATGTACGTGACTGGATACTGGGCTTTTGCTCAGGTCCCTTTCCCTCGCTCACATCAAGATAGGATGGTTGTTGTTGCTGCTCTAAAACGCCCAGACTTTGGCGGTCCTCCGGGAGGTATGGTTCCGCATTCTTGGCACACTTTTAGTTGACTGACTGGTTTACGTTTCTTTCTAGTACCTCAATTCTCCGAAGTCAAAGTTACGCCATCTCTCGTCAAGCGGCCACGCCCAACCCAGCAGCAGCCTCCACCGTCCGCGGACCCTCCGCCAACTTGTCCTTCGTTTCCTGAGCAACGGCCAGAGCGTCATCCAACGTATCCAGCAGGTCCTGCACGTCCTCCAGGCCCGCCGAGATGCGCACCGCCCCCTCCAGGATGCCGTACGACCGATGGTACGCCGCCTCGTCGGGGTCCTTCCCGAACGCGAGCAGGTTGTACGCAAAGCTGAGGGTGCGATGGGCCCCCAGGTGGGGGCCGGGATAGAACGCCAATCGGTCATAGAACGCGCGCGCCGTGGCGACGGACTCGAAGTCGATGCTCAGGAGGCACCCCGCGCCGGGCTCCGGGAGGTCGGGGGTCGGCTTGCGAAGGCGAGCCTCGTAGACCGCGTAGTCCGGGAGGAGGGTCGGGTAGAGAACCTTGGCGATGGGGGACGAGGGGCTCTTGGCGTGCGTGTGGAGGTGGTTGGCCATGGCGGCGGCGTTGCGGTTGAGGACTGCAGTGCGTTGGAGGTAGTCCTCCGAGTTGGCGAGCAGGACCTCCGCGTCATCGATGTAGAGTTCGTTGTGTTGTTCGCGCCAAAGGGAGGCGAGGGCGGAGTAGTGTGGGGAGAGCGGGTTTAGGACGATGCTGCCTCCCAGGACATTTGCGTACCCGGAAAACGACTTCGTGAGGGAAGAGACGAGTATGTCAGACTCCCCCAGGATATCGATGCTGGCAAAAGAGCCGAGGGTGTCGTCAAGAACGAGTATGAACCTGTGCTTCTCGGCCTTCAGGCTGTCAGTTAGTGGGCGAGTCCGAGGAACCTTTGAAATTCGCTGAGAGGTGATCACTTACGAGTTTCTTGAGACGTCCGATATCAATGCTTGCGAGCAAGGGGTTGCTGGGGAACTCGGTGATGATGTAGCTCACATCCCTCCCCGCAGCAGCCTCACCGTCGAGCCAGGTCTCGAAATCGTCCAGACCCTTTGCGTCAACCGGCCCGAAGTGCATGTAACCATGCGGCGAGGACTCTTGGAGGTAGTGCACGGTGCTGTGGAAAGCAACGCCTAGAATCGCAACGGCGCCGGGCCGATACTCGAGCACGGTCCTGTGAGCGGCGAAGATGGCAGCCATCCCAGTAGGGTATAGAAAGACATCTCTTCTCTCAACCTTGACTTTGTCGGGGTAGATGGCGGCTCTATGCAGGAGCCCCGCGATCCTTTCCTTGAGCTTTCCATGCGCCTCGCCTTCGGGGAGATAGTCTGTCGGGGGAGGCGAGTTCGTCGCCTCCACGACGACTTCTTTGAGAGAGTCAATACCCTGCAGCAGCTTCTCCGCCAGACGGATGGAGACCCCGATGCCGGGGTTCTGCCAGACACCGATGATGCCGGGCGTTTTGGACATGGGATACGTGATGAGGTACAGTCTCACGTCGCCGATGTCGACGCACCGGTAGCCCAGGTCTTCGTCGGTCAGGATGTGCTGCTTGCGGTGAGGATGAAGGGCATGGGCGCGCGCTGCGGCGAAGGAGGCGGGAGAGGTGAAGTATAGTGCACCATGGCCTTCAGGGGTCTGGATTTTGGCACAGATGGCCATGAGGGTCTTGAATACATCGTCAGTAATGTTTCGGGCCGTTGCAGAGAAGAGGAGGTATATGCGTAAGAATCAGAGCTGACGAGTAGTATGACTGACCTTGGCAACGGGCCCGAAGGGGCCGAATCTAGGATAAATGTGTACTACGCGGGCTATGGTGGCCGCGTCACCATCACGGAGCTTGATTGCCGTATCCCAGCCCGGCCCATAGGTTGTGATGCCATAGGCCGACTCTGGGGGCACGCAGTGACCCCATTCAGCGGATGGCTTGAGAACTGGCATGGTCGACTTTCACAGCACGAAATGGGTGCAACCGGTGTAAGTGAGAGGCGCACAGCTGCAGCCAAGAACTTCAAGATCGCTATATTCTGGGCTCAAGGTCATCGAGGGGTCAAGCGCCTTAAATAGTGGTCCTGCGTCTCCCCTATGTTTAGTTGGTGCTCGAGAGGCCCCTCACCCTCTCTTTTCTGGCCGTCTGCGGCCACGGGGGATTCTTTCTTAGCCGCTGCTCTCTCAGCCGCTAAAATGCCCTTCTTGGGTAAGTTTCGCATCAGCCCCAACGCCCGTTTCCAGCCTCTAAAGCTTGTCAAGCTTTGCCCCAGGTTCCTTAATCATGGCTTCGGGTCTTGAGGGGTTCTAGAACGACCGAAGCTCACTGCAGCTGTCTGAACGTTAATTTTTACCTAAAGAGGTAAGCATCGTAGCATCCGATTGACAAAATCGGGATTGACGTTGAATACGCTAGCGAAGTGGGGAGGGACTGTGGACTGTTCTTTCTGCAACGTTCTCAACTTGGGATCGAAGTCTATGATGTTTGCAGAATATTATATACACATTTGGCTAGTGGGGGCGTTTTGCAGCTCTCACAGCTGAGGTGTGGCTTGCTTCCATGAGGTGGACACTAGAACGAAGCAGGGTGGGTGTCAGACATCCTCAGATCGATGCTGTTTGTAGCGAGTCACTAAAGATAGGCTGTCAATCTCCATAGTGGAAGGCAGCAGCACTTCGGATCGTCACCCAGCTAGCTGTCTCCCTTTGACTCCATACAAGAAACAACTAGGGAAGACCATGTAGAAGATAATTATTCGGCATCTTTTGATTTCTTATCATAGTTGTCGACACCTTTATGAAATATACATAAATGCTATGAAACAAAAGAAACATTATTTTTCGCCCTTTCCCCGACATGCCATTAACCCAGACCTACAGAATCTTTTCCTCACCAGTACTTGCGCTCCCGGCCCTCAAACGCAAAGTTAAGTACGACGGCTATGAACAGGGAGACGCAGAGAGCACTGGGGCCCCACTTGTCGTAGAATTTGGCGGCCCTCCGCGAGCGGATGGCATTGCTCCTGTACAAGTAGATGATGACGGAGTAGCAGAGCGACATAATGGCAAGCAGAGTGAAGACGCCGGCGACAATGAAGGACGCCGTAGTGGGCTTGGACCCAAAGTTGAGCAGCGTGACGGCAACTGTACCGACATAGATGGAGTACTCAAGCTGTTTTCGTCATGTTAGCGACTCATGTTCAATGATATCCACGAAGAGTAGAAGGGGAATCAACTCACCCAACCAAGGAAGGTTCTTTCAGCTGCAAAGTAAACCTTGGGCTCGATACGGACTGGGACGTAGATCTTCTTTCCCTTGGGGGCCTTGAATCTCTTTGTCTGGATTTGCCCCGAACCAAAAAGCTGCGTCTGCATTTCGCGGCGGGGGATCTCTGAACCGCGAGGATGCGGTACAGCCCACTTGAGTACATTCACGGCACCTTCGCCAAGAGCGCGTGCCTTCTTAGAGGCGAGCGCCGAGTAGTACGTCCAGCCACCGACTCTCCTAGCTTCTTCGAGGGCCTCGTCGGCATCGTATTCCTCGTCCGAGTCGTACAAGAAATCATCGTTGTCGACTGGGGCAATAGCGTCAACGGTCTGGCCTTCAACGTCGAGGCCGTTCCCTCCGTTGCTGGTAGCGCCCTGACCGTTGGACTGCCCGTTTCTGGCTCCGTTGCTGCCGGAAGCCAAGGGGACTTCCTCGTCATCAGAGTCCAACTCGTCATCTTCATCGTCCGATGTTGTAGTCGTCGTGGAAGGGTTCGGTCTGTGGATGCCAAAGTCGTGTGTAACCGGCTTCCGGATATCCACATCCATCTGCGGCATCCAGAATGGAAGCAGGTTGATGCGGTCAGGGAAAAGGCTGGCGACTCCGTGAATGAACTTGGAGAACTTGGGAACAGCCTCGACGAGATGGCTGGAGATGAGCTGACGAACCCACTCAGGGGGTTCTTGGCCGAGCTGAGTCTGGAGCTTGACCTCAAGAACAGCGTACGGGAAGCGAACGATGTCTTCCTGGGGCAGCTGCGAGAATGGGTAGTCAATACCAATGTCCATGCGCCTCCAGTTGTCGCCGGACCTCTTGCGACCGTCCAGGTTGTCCTCGCGGACCATGGTCAACTCGGTGTCTAGCGAGATACGAACTCGAGCATCGGCAGGGAGCTGGAAAGCGGTGCGGTTGTAAAAAGATCGGCACACAGGCTTGTAGCCCTTCTTGAGCACCGAGTACTGCACCTCCTTCGCGAGTCTCTCATCCTCGGCAATCTGCTTTTCGGGCTTCTTGCCCTCCTTACGCGCCTTCTCAAAGAGGGCGGCGGGCAGCAGCTCACCGCGCATGTACGAGTTGACATTCTTCTCCTTGACGGAAAATCGCGCCTTGACCGACTTCTCTCCGGTCCAATCCTCTCGATGGGTCTTGCGCTCAACAAAGATGTTCTCGCTCTGCATCCCACCGTACCATCTCAGACGGATGGCCTCCGCACCTTCAGTCTTTTTGAGGCGGCCCTCGTACAGATCCCATGTCTCTGGGTTATCGTAATAAATGGATGTGATGGCAGAGTCTTGTTGCTCGAACTCTTTGCTTGCATTGAAGACCAGCACAGGTAAGTGCTTCAAGATAATGAGCTTCAACTCGGTCACGTTGTCCGGGTGAACCCAGTACTTTGTCGTGTTGCGGACGAAGCTGCCCTGAGAACCACCAGCAGCGCTGTCACCCTTGACGGGGTTACCCCTCGTCCTGACCAAGTCATACAACTTGGAAAGCTGCACGACAGAAGCATCATAGTTCTCCTTGTAGAATGGTTTCGCCTTAAGTCGGCTGTCAAAGACAGGCTTGAGATGCCAGCCAGTGAGTTTCTGTTTTTCGTCAGCCAATCATCCCACAGGTCTCATAAAAGCTGCCTCACATCATGCTTCTTGATAATCTTGAAAAATCCGGTGTAGTTGAGCTGGACGAATTTGGCAAGATCGTGCACGTCGGCAATGATGTCGCTCAAGTCCTCCTCCAGCAGCATGAACTCTTCCTCGCTGGGCCCATCTTCGCGGGGGCCGCGCTCGTTGAGGCGGTCGACGACACCCTTGACCTCGCGCTCGCTCACGGCAATGCGCCGCGCGATCTCCATGGCCTTGACCTGCTGCTTCGTGTGCACCTTGTCGAGCTCGGCCTCAAGCTTCTTGACGAAGCGGCCCTCGTCCTCCTCCGACCATTCCCGTTTTGTTCCCTTGCCCTTGCCCTTGTCATCGCTAGACACCATGGGTCCAGTGGCTGTCTTGAGGTCGGCCTTGAGGGCATCGTAGTCGATGTAGTACCATTGGTACTCGCGGATGATGCTCGAACGGAGCTGCTCGCCGAACTTCATGACGACGGTGCCAGGGCTAGCGCGCCAGGATTCGCTCCGTGCTGGACTCGGTCGCCAACTTTGTTCCTGTGTCTTTGTATCGTAGACAATTAGCATCAGTGATTGCCTAGCCTGAGTTGCGCCACTGCAGAAACAGAGAGACCGGTCTCGAGGCGACCGAAGTAGGGGGGGGGGTTTGGCAAGATTGAGACAAGTGGTTCCGCCATACAGCGGAGCCATCTTAAGAATTTTCTTGATGGGAAGAGGAAGGTCTCACCCTTATACAACTGGAGCCGTGTAGCCGATGTTTACTACGTAGTTGTTGGATGAAAGTACCTAGGTCGGTGACTGGCACAGTCGGGGTGATGCAGAGGCTGGCACGGGCAAAACAATGCGAGGCGGCCGACAGTTACGAGACAAGCTTCGGCAGGGGGGGGGGGGCGTGGTCTCGGATGGGAGGAGGCACCTTTGCTCTGCAGCGACGCTTCCAGCCAGCACCAAGTCTACGGGTGGAATTACAAGGACCTGCACAAGCTAGGTACCTACTTTACATACCTAAATACCTCCTTTGTCTCTCTAAGATCACTGTGACTACCTTTATATTTTTCCTTCTGTCTTTATTGCCGAGTGTTGCTCCGAGATATTTATCACGGCACACGAACAAAAAAATCCTATGCCATCTCTTGTTTACCCTTCCCATCGCTTGCAAACCTCGAGTCGTCCGGCCCAGTGAAATGTAGCTTAGCCTAGGCCTAGCTCTGGACCAGTCCCGCCAGTACCCAGAAATAACCGCAGGGGCCATTGGCCAATGGTAAGTGGTAAAAGCGCACGTGCAACAGACGTCACAGCGGTCCAGCACATGCAGAAGGCGTGTAGGATGCGGACCTCGAAGTTCCCCCCCCCCCAGTCTGTGATGGCGGGGTCAGTGGGGGGATGCATGCCTGGCCGGAGGCGGCGAGCAAAAGTCTTACACCCGGCCAAGATCTTGAATTCATTGGCACATCCCGGAGCTTGACCCCCGGCAAGCACGCACCGATCCGGATCGAAGCCGTGTCAGACCCGATCCCTCCCTTCCGATCAGAACCCGGCGTTTCGAGAACCTCCGAAATCGAGCCATCGTTGCAATCATGGCGATCGACGACTCGATGCAAGCTCGCATCACTACTGACTGCCCGGACGAGACCCGTGAGATCCTTTTGCACGCATGGAGCCACGACAAGCCAGCCCTCAAGAAGATCCTTGACGAGCCTGGCAAAGCCAACTGCCAGGACCCCACGACCGGCGAGACGCCTCTCCACGCCGCCATCCGTGCCTGCGGCCCCGCTGCCCAAGATGAAGATGACTTGAAGGTCGAGGAGGCCAAGGAGACGGTCCAGGAGCTCTTCCTCTCTGGCGCCATCTGGAACGATGTCGACTCCAACAACGAGACCCCTGGCTGCGTCGCCCAGCGCTTGGGTCAGAGCGAGCTGTACAAGCTATGCGTCGAAGCTGGCGTGCGTGCGGAGCTCCTGTTCGGTCTGCTGGACGGCTATGAGCAGCTGTCGTCAGGCTCCGAGATGGACGAGGACGAAGCGGTCGAAGTCGTCGACGCCGATGCCATAAAGGCCTTCGAGGCCGATCTCGAGGCGATGGGAAACCTACAGGACCCCGAGGAGGCCCCCGAGCTCGTCCAGGTGCCAGAGGCCGCGGCCGACGCCGACGCTGGCGCTGAGGCCAACGAGCAGAAGAAGTTCGTGCCCCCAGTCGTCGAGGACCCGAGCCTCAGCTCGGAAGAATACCTCCGTTCGAACCTGACCTACTCGGACGGCAAGCTCGTCGACGACGGCGGCAACGGCGTCATGATGGCTTGGGAGACGGACATCATGCGCAAGAGCGTCGATGCCGTTCTCCCGGGCCTGCCCGCCGGCAAGCGCATCCTCAATGTCGGCTTCGGCATGGGCATCATCGACACCATGTTCCACGAGACGCGACCCTCGCGGCACCACGTCATTGAAGCCCACCCCGAGGTGCTCGAGCACATCGACAAGCCCGAGTCCAAGTTCGGCATCGCGTGGGAGGCGAGCGGACCCGAGGAAGGCGCATTCAAGATACACCGCGGTAGATGGCAGGACGTTGTGCCTAAGCTGCTCGAGGCCGGCGAGGTCTACGACGCTATTTACTTCGACACCTTCGGCGAGGACTACAGCCAGCTCAAGATGTTCTTCACCGAGTTCATTCCTGGCTTGATGGATTTTGAGGGCCGTTTCAGCTTCTTCAACGGATTAGGGGCAGACCGAAGGATATGCTATGATGTGTACGCCAAGGTAGTAGAGATGCATATGACCGATGCTGGCCTGGACATTGAGTGGAATGAGTTGGACGTGGACATGAAGGGTCTTGAGGAGGCTGGCACAGGCGAATGGGAGGGAGTGAAGCGTCGCTACTGGACTTTGGACAGTGAGTATCTCTTAGGACAATTCTTCACAAGCGCTAACATCACACAGAGTACCGGTTGCCGACCTGCACATTCATGGGCTAGCGCCTTATTAGGGATACTGGTCGTATGAGCTATCTAAATAGGTCTGATAGACATAGACCTTAGAACCCATCCCAATGCAAACTTGGAATCAATACGCCCGGTCTAAGTCTTGTCATCCGCCCGCGTTCCCCCCCGGACACCGTCCTCGCGACTCATAAATCATCTTCAAAAGCTATTTGAAGTTATCAGGGTTAAGAATGCCAGCCAGGTTGCCCTGCTGAACGCGCTTGAGGGTCAGTGCGGCAATCAGTGCGGCACCAACACCGCTACCGTCCTCTGCCGCGAGAATTTCGATGGGGTCCTCATCCTTGCTGTTAGTCTTGGCAGGCCAGTCGAGGATTTCGCGCAGAGCCTGGGCTCCGCGGGCCTTGAAGTGGGGGTACTTGTTAAACACCGAGCCGTCGGCGCCGACGTGGCAGCTCTCGTAGCCCTTCTTCATGCAAATGGCAGCGACTCCACAGGCAGAGAGGCGGGCAGCGCGGGTGCCGATAAGCTCAGCGAGGCGGCGAACCAGTTCCAACTCGGGTCGGGTGGCCTTGATGTTCAGCTTAGAGAGGAACAGGTCGCTCGTCTCCTGCAAGTTCTCAAAGGGGTCGCTATGCAATGTTAGGTTTCAAAAGAGTTCAACTTGGTTCGTGAGAGCGAAACATACTCCTCAACGGCGGACAAGAAGGACGAGTCCAGAGTGTAAGCCTTGCGGAGCTTGGCAATGTCCTGGTTCTCGAAGATGTGCACGGCCTTGTTGTCGTGCAGGTCAACAAGAACCAAACGGAAGATCTCGCCCAAGTAGAGACCGGCAATCATCTTCTCGAACGCCTGCTGACCCGGGCGGGGAGAGTCCTTATCAATGATGATGTCGTAGGGGGTGCGAGGCAAGACCTTGTGTTCGTTATCAAAGGCGCCCCACTCGCAGTTGATGGCCATCGGAGTGTCGGGCGGCAAGTTCATGTGAGCAAGCTTGGGGATGGAACCACAGTTCTCCATATAAGCGGCATTGCAGCCAGTGCCGAAGATGCAGCCGATCTTCATCTTGGTGTCGGTGTAGGCTGAAGCGATCAGGGTTCCAGTAGTATCGTTGATCAAAGCAGTAAGCTTGATAGGAACGTTCTATAGAGTCGTCAGCGCCTAGCTCGTCTCTCCTGCGCCCGGAGGCTTACCCTGGCAGCTAAGGCAGCCTCGAGGAATGGCACAACGTTCTTGCCCTCAACTCCGGCAATGTCGAAACCCTTGGTCCAGCGCTGAAGGATGCCCTCATCGATGTAGTTCTGGGTAGCGGGGTAAGAGAAGGTGAAACCGAGAGGGATTTTCTGAGACTGAGGGTGGTCGGGGTGATGAGTCTCGATGAACTGAGCCAAGCAGTCGGCAATGTACTCCCACAACTCGTCCGCCTGTCCAGTCTTGAGCTCCTCGGGCATGCGGTACTTGGACTGGATGATGTCGAACTCGGATTTGACATCTGTTAAGGTAATCTCACAGACACGGAGGTTGGTGCCACCCATGTCAAGGGCCAGGTAAGTACCAGTTTCGTTGCCATCAGGGAAGGACATGACCCAAGTAGGGTTCATGGGCTATTGATGAGATTAGAATGGTCCTTCATCGGCGGGAAGCCATGGGAATATTCCCAACGTACGATGCTGCCGCCTTCAACGCTGAGGCCTGTGACGTGTTAAATTCTGTTCAGTCCTCCCCATGATGTGCGACTGCAAAGCTCACCCTTCTCCAGCTCCGAGATGAAGTGCTTGCTGATTTGCTTGAGCTTTTCGGTGGGGACAGTGAACTGCTCTTCCAGCTTCTTGACCTCGGCCAACAGGTCCTTGGGCACGTCGGCCATTGAGCCTAAAGGTTCACCCATTGTTAGCGAGCTGAGACAAACCCTGGGAAATGACTGGAGCAGTAATGCTTGCTTTGGCGTGAAGGAACGAAAATGTTGGTGTGGTGGTAAGATTTCTCCCTGGTGTGGGGAGCAATGTCCTTGTCTGTGACAGTCATGGTGACGGCACTCTGAGATAAGGCTTTCTAGGGTAATAAAGCTGCCACTCTCAAAGTGCTAAACTTGCGTGCGAGGTTATCACGGAACAATTGTGTACGGAGAATAGATGCGCAGCTTTCAGGACAACAGGACAAAAAGCGCAAACAATGACAGACAAGCAGTGGGCAATGTAGCGGTCAACACAAAGGGCTGGAGGGCAGACAAGCAGACCAGAACGGTGCTTGCCAGCTTGTTTATAGCGAAAGTTGCGGTGGGAGAAGAAGTAAGCTGGGGATAAGGTGGGGGATTGTCTGATAAGTGAGACAATGTCTTGCAGCTCAACGCCGGATAGTTTGCACTTGCCCATGAGAGCGCCTGAGCGAACCCCTTGGCTTGGGGTAGCTCCGGGGAAGCTGCTCAGCGGGCTAACCTTGTGGCGCATTATGTTGCCCGAGACGATTGGATACGCCATCTGCCTATCAGACTTGTTTGGGCTCGGGTGGTGATGATGGTGTGGGCGGATAAGGGATAAGAGGACGAGGTGTTGAGGACGAGTGGGAGGGTGTGGCGGGGGGTGCCAGCAGCGCGGGCGTGGGTAGGTATAGCTACCATCGTCTCGAACATCGAAGTATCTCGAAGAATGTCTTGACGTCGGACAATAGCCACACGATCCGTAACCCCGCCATACCTAACGCTTCCGGCATTCCGGAGAAAAATTGAAGGGGAAATTGGATCGCGATTGTGTACATACCCTTCCTGCTGGGCGGAACCTTAGGACCGAGACCGACCATTTTGATGGAAACTTTTGGTGGTTGGCGGGGTAAAAGCTTGGTGAGGGGTAGCGATTAGGCTTCTAGGTGACGAGAAAGGAGGTGCAGCGACGAAGCTGACGATGGCGCAATTGGTATACAAAAGTCGTAGATAGGATTGATTGATCGTAGGCGTGGCCAGTGTCGGAAGTGGACAGTCACTGGGCTTGTGTCGAGCGAGGGGGTGACGTTGAGGAAAAGGTGAAGAGGCGTAGATCATCTGACCGAAGGGGAAGAAGGTGAGGTTCAAACTTCAGGTGGACTCAACCCTGTCAGGTTGTCAGGTCCTGCGCCATATTGGAGCTCTGCGCTCCCTCACTCAGCACCACCTGCAGGCCGATGCATTGTAGCTACCTACCTAGGTAAGTATTTGGTTTAATTACCTAGGTACCTACCTAATCCCTTGGTTACGGAGTACCTATTTTGTGGCACCCTTGCCTCCAACCCGAGTCTCCATTTCCCGAAACTGCTGGGCCAGTCCATTCTTGTCTTGGTGCCAGGACCACCAGCTCAGACACATGGGAAACTAGCACTGGTTTTTCTTGCTATCTTTTCCCCAGTCGTCCACCCTCGCCTAGAGGATACCACGAGATTTGCAGCGGCCTTACTGAGCCATGGTTTGAGGTGGATTCCCCCTCTACCCTGGGATTGCCCTGGCATTGGTCGTAAGACAGGCGGCGGAAAACATCTGAAATCAACGTGATTTTGACAATCAGCAGCACATAGCACATAGTGAAATGGACAACTGTGCCAATTGTCTATCTGCCCAAATGTTAATGGGCTGGCCCAAGGTAGGAACTCAGAACGTACTCCCAGGTCTACCTACACAAGGAGACTACCAGGGCATGCCTGGTGTCGGAACCTGGTGTGACGTCTTGTTGAGGGACAAATCGCAGCTAAAAAAAAAAAGAAAAAAAGAAGCTGCTTACCCCACTTAGTCCCCGACTGCCTGCTGAGGCCAAAGACTCCAACAACAAAACGTGGAAGAGGCTCATGTGTGGCTGGAGCTGCCAGGGGTAGCATTCTGAAGCCTCGTTCCTTGGGTACCTACGTACCTAGTAGGTATGTCTTATGTGGGGCCGAAGGCCAGGCCGTTCCTGTGAGCTTGGCACGGATTAACTATACCCCGGTCCGACAGCTCCCAGCTGCAAATGGTCTGTGCACCGCGTCAAGCAACGTATTCCGTAAGCCTTTTTGGCTGGAGGTAGCTGTCTCAGGAGCCAGATCGTCAATTCAGCAATGGAGTGAATGCCCCAATTGCGCCTTAACAACCGCTTTTCTTCGTTCTAGATCCTCATTGCCGGGAGTGTGCTGTCCATGAGCATCTTCCTCAACTCTCCCACATCATGAGAGCCTTCGCCATTGCCGCCGGGCTTCTGACCCTGCTCTCCCCGGTCGTCGCAAGCTCCGACTCGACCGCCGCCGCGGCAGACAAGGTGTCCAAAGTCAACCTGCCCACCAACTTCAAGCCACCCCAGGTCTTCAAGAACGCCAACCTTGTCCACATTATCTCTTTGGAGAAAAACTACGCCAAGGAGACCATCAACGTCTTGATTGAGAACATTGACAAGCAGCCCCAAGATGAATACTATCTACCCTTCACCCCCGCCCAGATGTCCCGCATTGGAGGCTTCGAGGCCAAGGACAGAAAGAATCCAGAAGCTGGTCCTTTTGCTGTCGACGTAGTTGAGATTGATCCCCTGAGGTAGGTGGAAAGCGACGCATGCTCCAGGTATACGCAACGAGAAGACTGACAGGTGAATAGCGAGACTCAGTACTTCAAGATTCAGCTCCCCACGCCCTTGAAGGCAGGTGGTCAGCAGACGCTGACCATCTCTTACTACTTCCTCCGGGCCTACAGCCCCCTTCCTGCCTCGATTGCCCAAGACGAGCAACAGTACCTCACATACGACTTCTCCGTGTACGCGCCATCGGCCTACGTCACCTCGAAGCAGAAGACGGAGGTCAAGGCCCCCTCGTCCAACATCCCCGACTTCACCAAGCTCCCCGGAAGCGGTGACATCAAAGAGTTCCCTCAGAAGCAAGGCGCCAAGCTCGTCTACGGCCTCTTTGATGAGAAGCCCGCTGGTGCAGTCGCCGCTGCCCAGGTGCGGTTCGAGTTCACCAAGCCCGTCACCCATGTCGCCAGACTCGACCGCGACATCGAGGTCAGCCACTGGGGTGGAAACGTGGCTTTCGAAGAGAGATACGAACTCTACCACCGCGGCGCAAACCTTTCCAAGCTCTTCAACCGAGTCAAGTGGGCGCAGGCGCAGTACTACAACCCCAACACGTACGCGCTCAAGGAGATGAAATTCCCGTTGAAGGTCGGAAGTGCCGATCCATACTTTATCGACGTCGTTGGTAACGTCTCTACATCAAGATTCCGCTCCAACAAGCGCGAAGCTCTTTTGGAGATTAAGCCGCGCTACCCTATCTTTGGCGGTTGGAAGTACCCCTTCACCATTGGCTGGAACTCGGATGCGAAGAACTTTGTTCGCACCGTCGATGCTGGCAAGTACGTTGTCAACGTGCCCTTCTTGGAGGGTCCTAAGCAGCCCGAGGGTGTTGAGTACGGACAAGTCAACTGGCAAATCCTTCTGCCGGAGGGAGCAACGTAAGTGGAATCGATACCTCAGAGCCATCACTCACAGCTAACAAGCATGCGCAGGAACGTCAAGTTTTACACCAGCCTTCCCCAGTCTTCGATTACGAACACGACCATTGGCGTACACAAGACGTATCTAGATACCGTTGGCCGCACATCCGTCACCATCAAGGCGATCAACCTTGTCGACGAATTCCGCGACCGGGAGGTGATTGTGTCGTACGAGTACTCGGTTGTCTCCGCCCTGCGGAAGCCTATTGTTATCTTCAGCAGCACGGTCGTCCTGTTCGTTGCTGCGTGGCTCGTTGGAGGAGTGAACCCCAAGATTTCGGGCAAGAACTAGAGCGGGGTGGGGAGGGACCTTTAGACATTGGGATGGCGGCTTTCCTAGCATTGTACATGTAACATCAGACGGACATCTAAAAGCAGAGTGCGGGACAGATGGCTTTAGAGAATCACGATTGGACTGAAATACTGATATTCGTTCGCTGATTGATCACTGCTGACTTGGCGTGTTGTACTTGGTGATGCCAAGGGCACTGACGGGGAGGGCCCGATGTCATTGTTTTGAGCATTTGCGAAGGCGTGGGATTCGGGGAAAGTCCTTGCCATCAGCCCAGCATGCTGCCAGGAGGATGCAGGCTGACGTCGTAGGCTGACCAAAAGTGTGAGGACGGTGGAAAACTGGGGTTTGGATAGACCCGATGGGAAGATCAGATCTCAAGCCCCGTTTTCAAGGGCGATAGCACTAGGAGGTCATCAAGCAGAACAAAGGAGCTACAACCTTGCCCAATTCTATTCATGGCATACATGTGTTCAAGGTTTTCTGTCTTGCTCTGAGAGGGGAATGTTGGCAATGATTGCAACGGTAACGGCCGGCGACACACTGGGTTAGTGGGTTTCCCGCACTGAAAAGCGAAACTGGTGTCGAGAAGACAAAAAAAGAACAGACAGCTGATCCTCAGCAAAATTTTCCCTTTGAGGCCCTACACGGTCTGTGACTCTTTCCTCAACTCTAAGGCCTTTGGGCCTGTTTGCCTCCACCTCTCCTCAGACAAAAAGCCAACTTTCCATCTGTTGGAGGGAGTCCTCCCGGACCCGGTATATTGCGCGGGGTGTCAGAACTCGAGGTGGGGAGACCCTTGCGTTGGATGGGCTCAATGCGTGTCCCGCCCTGAGGATTGAAGCAAGGGTCGCAACCAGGGCAGTTCTGCTCACGAACCTGGCAAGCCTAGAGGCTGGGAGGGGCTGCGAGCAGAACCTGAGACCATGAGCCAGAAGCCGGGAGCTGAGCCCCCCACGACTCTGACGACCAACCATCAATCACTCATGTGCACACCCACAGGGTTTCGGTGAGGGCCGCGTCGCGCCTTGCTTGCTTTTGTCTATGCCGTCTGAAGGGGTGATGCAGGATGGATAGAGGATGGGATGGATGACGGGCTGCATGAGCCTTGGATGGCTCGAGTCCCCCCAACATTACCTCTCGTACTACTGCGTATGTACGGATACAGAGCAACATACTTGGAAGACAAGGTCCAAGCCGCCTAGGTTCTGGCGATCTGGTGACAGTAATGAGTTGGGAAATCATAAAAGGCAGCCCGTCGCCCCCTACCATCCCTATTCTAGTCCGGTGCGTTCATAACCTTGACACTTGTTCACTAGAATCTTCGCGGGGCCTTCTAGTCGCATCCATCGTCTGTTTTCTGGCCAGCTTTACATTCTGGTTAACCTGGCACCACCACCACCTACCAACCAACCAGATCACCTACCGTTCGTTTTGTGCAGAACACCAGTCAAACTTCACATAACGCTTAGACAACGATCCGCCCTACAAACGATTGAACACCCCATATCCGATCAAGATGTGCTTTGGAACTAGCGGCCGCAAATACTACTATCATGAGGAGGTGATCCCCACCAGGTACCACCACGGACACCACCACCACCACGGGCATCATCACCACGGACACCACCATCACCACCATGGCCACTCCCCGCGCGCGAGCTACACAAGCGTGAGGCGGTCTTACGTCTCCAACGGCCCGCGTGCCAGCTACGTTGAGCCCGTGATCTACGAACGGAGCAGTCGCACATACCGATAGAAGGGCTCAGGCGAAGTATCGTGGACGAGAAGCAAGAAGCGGGAATATCTCCCCAGTCACTTGTGGTCAGACGAGAAAGCGGCACGGCGTTTCAGAAAGAGGGGAACGACGGAAAGGCGACGGGTAATATAGAAAAAGACGGCGAGATGGGATGAAGATGGGGAGCTTAATCACCCGAACCATGAAGCGACACACGAATAACGACAGCGACGGCGTCGGACCATTTGGAGGATTTGGTGTTGGTATTTGGCATTGGACGGCGCCGCATCATGAGAGCAGTGCTGTCCAGGCTCTCGGACCCGGAGTTGTATTATTACGGTCGGCATAATTATAATGAAATAAACACCAAGTTTACGTCTCACGATGAGATCAAACCCAGCCTTTTCGTCTAGGACAACATTTCTATCTTCCCCTTTCCTGTTTCTCATTTTGTTGATTTCATGCTCAGCATCTAGACTTGCCTTTCCCTTCAGCAGATGGTGCATGCACTCAGACGTACGATAAATGCGCATACTAACTCTTCTTGCTATAAAGTCTGTTGTGTCCCCAAAGCGCAAGAAACAAGGAGCGAGCGCCGTCCAAAGCTGCGCCTAGGGCGATTGATTTTTATTTTTTATTTTTTATTTTGGTTCAGCAGCCTGACGACCTTGACGCCGGAGTGTTCTTGAGCATGTGCGACAGACGTGCGCTGCAATTCCATGTAATGTGGAGGAGCGAGGCAAGAGGAGATCCAGATGGGGGAGGGGCAGCGAGCGAGGGGACCCTTCCGCTAGTGTCTTCTTCCGTGACGTCATGGCATGACCCCTACAACCTCCGTCATTCTAAGCATCATCGCTGCCACACCTCGAGAATAGTTCTTGGGGAAAGAACTACACAATCCAGCCCGGTCTTCTCGGCATGCCTCGCTACCAACCTCTGAGCTGTAGACAGACTGACCGACCAAATGCGCCTTTGCTAGCTCTCGTACAAGTAGCAGATGGCCCGAGCAGAAGCTGTCGTGCCTACCTTGGTTGTTTGTCCACCCCCCCAGCCCGAAGAAGACTAGAGCCAGAACTACCTTTCCAGCTTGTGTCTAGTTTTCCTCTTGTGATGTGGACGGCCACCTGCCAACAGCTCAATTATGACATGACTGTCTCACTCGGCCCTTTACTCCATTCCGACTGTCCCGCTGCCATACCGGCGTCTCCCTAAACCAAAACGACCTTCATAAAGTCGGCTGTTTGCCCTTGACGCATAACGGCTGTCGCACCTCATATTGCTTCAATCTCCTGCTGCCAGACGAACGACATCACTCATCTTGCCCTATCATTTACTGTGAATCAGACAAGGTGCATTGCAAGTTTGGATTTAAGAAATCTGCAGCTGCGAATCACCTACACCTAGGCCTAGACCATTCCTCTCTGGTACCCAGCTTCCTAGAGGCGTGCATCACACCCTGCAGGGTCCAGGTCTCTTCTTTCCCGCCATATTCGCATCCACGGTGTAGCATAGCTCTTGCTTCAAATACTTTCCAAGTAGCTGCCAGAAGTCGTAATCAGGACACAGAGATCCGGGATCGACACCGGTCAACCGTAACCATGTAAGTGAGGCTCTCTTCATACATAATAAGCCAACGTCATCATCGTCAATATGCTTCGCTTCTTTGCTCGCAGCAGCGAGAAGTGCGATGGTAGTGAAAACGCCGACTTGAACACCACAGGCTGCGGTTCACCTATGATGTCTTCCATCACGACTCCGTCTACGTCTGGCAGACATCCATGCAACCCTGTTCGAACCACCGACTAACACCGTAACAGGAACCGTTCGCTATCCATAAGATCCAACCACCGCCGCAACGGCTCTCAAAACACATCCACAAAGCGCACCGGCTTCTCCTTCAACTCTCTGCGCGGCAACGTCCAGCCCGAGCTTTCACGCAAGCTCTACCGCATCATCAAGAGCGAGAACAACCTCATCACCGCCCACGAGACGGCCGGCCGCGAGCGCATCTCCATCGCCACCCAGCTGTCCGAGTGGGGCGAGCAGACCAACGACGCCGCCGTCTCTGACGTCTCGGACAAGGTCGGCGTAATCCTCAGCGAGCTCGGCGAGCAGGAGGACCAGTATGCCCACTCACTCGATGACGCGCGTGGTGTTCTCAAGCACATCCGCAACACGGAGAAGAGCGTGCAGCCAAGCCGCGACGGCAAGGATAAAATTGCCGACGATATTGCCAAATTGAAGATGAAGGAGCCTCAGAGTGCTAAACTCGTTGTGCTCGAGCAGGAGCTCGTTCGTGCCGAGGCGGAGAACTTGGTCGCCGAGGCCCAGCTAACGAATATTGTGCGTTTTTACATCTCACAGTACTCTCCGCCATTGATATGCTAACAACAGTACCGTGTAGACTCGCCAGAAGCTCAAGGAAGCCTACGAGGCCGAGTTTGCCGCAACCATTGAGCGAGCCGAGAAGCAGATCATCCTCGCCAAGCACGGCCGACGACTGCTGCAACTCCTTGACGACACCCCGGTTGTTCCAGGCGACATGCGTCCGGCCTATCACCATGCTCAACAGGCACGGCAGATTCTTAACGACGCGGAAGACGACTTACGTGACTGGCGTCCCGAACAGGATGACTACGCTGTCGACCCATCCGACTCTGTGTCCAACGCTAGGGGAAAGCAGAGCGTGGGGCATGACGACGACGCCCATATCGTTGCCAGTTCAGCAACTAGAAACAAGGCGACTCAAGAGAGCGACGCCGGTAGCGCGGTGAGCGATGGAACGAGACAGGGCGAGGTGTTGGCAGCTCATTAGGTTGGAAGAGACAGAACTCTGCTTGCTATTTTAGTTGGGTATGGGAGGTATTAGAGCGACGGATGGACGTGGAGGCAACCTTTTCGTACTTTTACGCCACAGCATTCTTACGGCCTCTTGATGAATTTCATGATAATACCACGAGTTTACCTTTTGTTCTGATGGGTTCACCGACTACTTTGAAAACCCTAAAATCAAGACGGAGAGACATCCATCAACTTGAAACGTATAATGCCGTGAATGCCATTGGGTGCTGCGACCCAAAGTCAACAGGCAGCAACAGGCAAGGAGGCGTCCGACCCCGCTTTGTGGAACGCCATCAGAAAGCCGCTGGCGGTATAAGTGCATCGCCGTCTGGACAGCGTCGATTCCCGGCCACCTCGACAAACAAAACCATTGCAAGCTGCACCCTGCTGTGACGAGACACCCCCAGCCAGCCAGCCAGCCAGCCCACCTCGTCTCCATGGCCTCCTCTTCCGCCGCCTCGTCGAGCGTCGACGTCACGGGCTTCGACCCACAGCCCAAAAGCCCCCTGTTCAGCGTCCTCCCCGGCGAGGTCCGCAACGACATCTTTGCCCTGGCGCTCATCCAGTACGACAACGACGACGACGCCTCCGCGTACCCGGAGGACTCGTACTGGTACCGGCCGGGGTTCCGGGGGCCGAGGCGCAGCAGCAGCAGCCTCCTCCGGACGTGCAAGCTGGCCTACGCCGAGGGCCAAAAGGTGTTCCTTAGGGAGCAGGAGTTCGCGTTCTGGTTCGGTGCGTATTCAAGTCCCTGCTGTGACCGTTTACCATCATCCCCCTTCCCCCTCTCCCCCCCTTTCATGTCCTGGGGCACGGGCCAAAATTAAGGGTGGAGGAAAATGGGCGGGGGGAGAAAAAAAGGCTAACGGGACGGGCCCGCGTCGGCCGATGCGAACAAACAGACCGCGGCCCCGAAGGACGGACGGGCAACGACAGCTGCGAGCGCTTCTTCCTCGGGCTCACGGCGGAGCAGTCGCGCGACCTGCGGCGGGTGCGGTTCTTCGCGCAGATGTTCTGGCTCGAGGGGGGCGACAACCTCGCGTTCCTCTTCTCGCAGCCGCGGTTCCGGCCCGAGTCCCTGACGGTGACGGTGCGGTACTCGGACTGGTGGCACTGGGAGCACGACGCGCCGCTGCGCATGCGGGAGGACTGGCTGCGCGGGTTCCGGGGGCCGCCGGGCCTGCGGGAGCTGCGGGTCGAGTACGAGACGCTGGCGGGCAAGAGGGACGAGATGATGGCCATCGTGGAGCGGAACAAGAGGTGGAAGCTCGCCGTCGGCGGGAGGCGGAGCGTGGAGTGGGACGAGGACGGGGTGGAGGAGGAGGTGTGGGACGAGGACGAGGGCGGGTACCTGAGCGCCGAGCAGACGGCGCTGGAGGAGTGGAGGTGGACGGGGACGAGCCGGCTGGGGGGCAGGGAGTGGGAGCACCACGGGGAGGGGGACACGGTCGAGTACGTCGTCGTCACGGACACGTGGAGGTTCGTCGAGGGGGCCATGAGCGAGGCGGACCGGGAGGGGCGCTTCGAGCAGCGCCTGGACCGGGAGCGCAACATCTACCGCACCGCGGACTACGACGTGGCGCGCGAGATACGGGACAGGAGGCTCCGCGCCCTGGCCGCCCGGCGCGAGGTGTTTCTCCACGAGGAGGCCCAGCGCGAGCTCCGCGCCGCGGCCTTCCAGCGCGGCATGGCGCGCCGCTAAATGGGCTCTTGCGGACCTTTCGGTCGGCGCGGGTGTGCCGGGGGACGGGAGGGAACCTCGGCTGGATATGCTACTATAAGCCGGCACCCATTGGGGGTGGGTGGCTTTCGGTTTCCCTAGTACGGCGGCCACTGCCAGGCGAGACGCGACGTCTCCCCGTTTTCCTTGTAGCGAAAACCCCACGATCCCTTTGTACTCCTAAGTTATCCATAGATTGAGTAAGTCATGCGAGACGGTCGCCTGGAACGGGGGGGAGACATTGACGTATCGGGATATATTTGCAAATCATGCAGAATTATATATGTGGCCGCGTTCTTGATTCGTGTCCCTCGGGGCTGGCGAGTACGCCCCGGCACCCTTCGCCGCGGGTTCAGGATGTGGCACCCTTGGTCGTCCCGTCTCATGCATCGTTCCGACTCCCCATCTGCTCGTCTTTTCTTTCCCCTTAACCCCCCCCCCCCCCATCTAAGGGGCTACGCCGTTGCGATGTATAGGCCACGGCGTCGCTCCTCTTGCCCAGCTTTATTATTCCAGAACGAATGCGTCGAGCATGTAAAGGGGAAAAGGGCCGATCATAAAACAGACCCTAGCCCCCCCCTCTTCCCCCATGCGGGAGAGGCAGGCGTTTCACCCCAAGCGTCGGCTCTGAAAAACCGCGGCACCGACCCCCGGCTTGCCCGAATTATAGGCCGGACTCCTTCTTAGCATACCTATCACCACGATCATGTCCCGCAAATGCGCAAGTTGGTTAAATATGGTATGGCTTCTGATATTCATCTGCTATCCTCCGGCGGGGTCACTTTCGAGACCCCGAACCCGGCGCAGCTATAGGAAGCCATGCCAACGACACGGTGTCCATCCTCTTAAACCCCTTGAGTCAGTCCGTCTTCAACCTCCTTAGGGCTCTCCCAGCTGGCTTCAAGCCGGAGCCCCCAACTCAGAATCATGCCGAACAGGATGAAGATGGCAGATGGTACGACGCCAGCCTGCGGCTCGTTCAGCGGCAAGAGAAAATAACCTGCATGATTGTCCACACCATTCGATAAGCAAAAGAAGTGACCGACCAAACCCAAATGGTGTCACACCCACAACGTAAAAGAAATTGAAAGAAAGAAAAACAAGGCGCCCCAACAACAAGATTGACTTAGGTCATAAAAACAGCCCTGAATTGCTCCTCGTCATGATGCGAATATGAAGGCGGCCCTTTCTGTATGCCCGAAACTCCTAGGAAGCGGTCCCCAAACAATTATGTTTTCCGTGCATCCCAAACAAACGTCCAATAACCGTACGAATTGAGGGACAGGGATTATCCATCCGAGACAAACCTCTATCGGAAGACTTTTAAAGCAAAGCTGCGTGGATGAATCTCTGACCGAATTAGGCTTTAGATAGAAGTCTAGTATAGGCGGAAAGGCCGTCGATGCTCCTTTGCATGCATGCAAACTAAACTGCCCACGGTCTTCTGTCGTTTTGCTCAGACGCCGCTCCAGCCGTCCTTAGTCGGCTGGTACGCCTTGTATCCTGGGTAGGTGCCGCCGCTGCTTTGCGGAGGTCGCTGCTCTTCCTCCTCTTCGACGTGCTGCGGGGCGCCACCGCCTGGGCCGCGGTTATAGTTGTACTGTTGCGGGCGGCTGTTGCCGCTAAAGTCGAAGCCAGCGGTGTTCTGGAGATTCGGGGACACCGATTCGGTGGTGTAGCTGCGCTGAGGAGCGAGGGGACGGGTTGACTCGGAAGAGTACTGACGCGCACCGCCTCCGTATTGCGGGCGGCCATAGTTGTCCCCAGGGTACTGATCTTTCTGGTCATAGACGTAGTCGTTCTGGGGCGCAGGCGAGCGTCGGTACTCGGAAGGAGGAGCCGGAGACCTGCGGTAGTCGTTGGGAGGGGCGGGAGACCCGCGATAATCGCTGGGGGGTCCGGGCGAGCGGCGGAAGCCAGGCGGCGCGGGACTGGGCCCGTTGCGAAGAGGTGCCGTGAAGCTCCGGGGAATAGGAGCCGGGCTGGGGCCGTTACGCGGAGGCCGGCCCATTCCGTATCCTCCCTGCTCGTAGTTGCTATAGCCCTGGTCGAACTCTTGCTGAGGGGGAGGGTAGGTCTGGCCCCTCTGCTGCCCGTACCCGCCGTTGTTGAATTCCCGGTGCGGAGGCCGGCCGCCTTGAGCCATTGCCATGCCTCCTGCTACTGCCATACCCCCAGCTCCAGCGCCGTAGCCCTGGTCAACACCGAAAGACGAGGTCGATTGTCCGTATGCGCCGTTGTAGCCATTGGGCCCCTGGCCGCCCATTGCATAAGAGTTTGCAGGCTGGTTGGTGTCAGGGAAGTAGCCGCTAGCGCCTGCCTGGGCATTCTGGCCATATGGACTCCTGTCGCCCGGCATGGGGCTGTTCGGGTGCGAAGTAGCGTTGGGTGCCAGCAGGGGCATGTTCTGTCCGTTGGGGTTCGGTGAGGCCGCAGGCTTCATCTGTTCAAGCTCCACCTCTTCCTCGACTGCGACCTTCTTAGAGCCTGCGCCCTCCCAGCTGGGCATTGCCGGCAGCGAGTCTGCGTCTGCCGGGTTGGAACCGGACTTGCTGACCTCGAACTCGGCATACTGTGGCGGTGCTGCAGCCCCACTGGCCGTGGTGGCCGTGGTGGCCGTGGCGGCAGGTGCTGTCGAATGTGTCGCATGCGCAGGAGCGCCGTTGTAGAAAGGAGCCATTGGCGCCTGGGACTTGTAGCCTTGATTCGTCGGTCCATATGAATCGTCGAGATGCTTATGAGGTGTCCCCTTGGGGGTGTCGCAGCAACCGCAGCATTCGCCGCAGCACTTCAGGCAGTAGCAGCATTGGCAGCAGCACGACAACCCGCAGCAAGCGCATCGGATGATACACCACACAACCGAGAAGACGATCAGGCTGATAACAATTATGACGCCAATGACGGGCCACCTGGGAAAGTCAGCGTTCCAAGCAGCCAGGCGAGGCTACAGTCAAAAACCTACTTGCAGTATGTGACGGCCATGCAGTTGTCCCAGCTGGAAAAGGCCTTCTTCACATCGCTGATCTGGTTTCCGGCGTTGGTTACCGTGTCCGTGATTCCGCGGCTCTCGATGTTCGCGGCCAAGCTCGACACGACCGAACCCAATACACCTCCCCGAAGACTCCTCGCCATGGCGACATCGATTGAAGGCATCTTGAATGATGTTGTTTCCCCGTCTTTCTCTTCTCTTCTTTTCCTCCAAAAATGAATGTGATTCTCGATAGTATACCCACAAAGCAGGGTGTATCGAGGTCGATTGGTTAAGGGTTTTCTAGATCCGAAATAATCATGAGGCTACAATTCCATCATGTCCTGGGCCTTATGCGTTTGTGTTTGGTGCTGTTGTTCGATTGGCTTTGAGCGTAATCCAAGTGCAATCAAGTAGAGAGGCGAGTCGTTCGTGGTGCCGGATATCGAATAACGCAAGTGTAACTAACGGTCGAATGCGCCTAAGAGAAAGGAGGATGGAAAAATCACAAAAAGCCACGGGCGAAACGAAGGTTGGGTGGTGGTCGGAAACGAAAGTCGAGAGGCTCACAGATGATGCAAGAGGAACCGAGTCTGTGTCGCCTGCAAAGAAATTGAAAGAAGGGTTCGTCGTCACTGCGGCAGAGCAAAGCGTTCGCCCCCTTGGGTGCACGGGTGGACAGGGGCGGATGGTAGGAAAAAGACGACGAATGACAGCAAGGGACGATGCTAAGCCCCGAGGTCTTTCGTCCCAAGACACCAATGAAACTGGGCGGTGCAGGTCAGCAAGCACAAGGGATCTCCCTGAAAGCTGGGCGGTCGGTGGCCAACAGAGTGAGTAGTTTATATCGGTTGCTTCTAGGTATTACTCAAATGCCACCTTGAAGTACGCAATTCAGGGAGGGGGGCGGCGGCAATTTGTGTTGGCCTGTCGAGAGACACGGCTATTCCAGGTTGGATGGAGGCTGGAGGCTGGGGGCGAGGGGCATCCGTTTCGCGAGACGTGTCGAAGATAAGTACCGAAGTGGCTTCGAGACTGATATTTGCTGCTTTTCGTGTTACGAGTCGGCTCGAGTCGAATGAATGAGAGACAAAAGGGAGTGCTGCCAAACAGCCTCGGGAATGGCGAAGGGGATGAGGTGAGATAAGGCGTGTGTGGCGGATGGAGGAAAAGGAGCGAAGCGGCAAGAACGCGCAGCCTGGCGGGTTTGTCGGAGGGAACACAACGCGGGAGACCAAACAAAAAAAGGAGCGGTTGCTAAGAGGCAGCCCGTAGATGGGATTCAAAGGGTTCCCACGAACACACAAAGGTCAGAAAGGATCAACAAGTGGACAGGGAAAAGATTGCGAGGTGTCGAGAGGAAAGTAAGAATGAGGAAGGGATTGGCGTGACAGGCATACACTGCAGAGATCGCTTTCTCGCAGGAACCCACGAGGGATGATCAGAGTTGACAATGGGGAAGGGGGGGGGGGGGGGAGAGGAGAGCAGTGAGCGCCCCCAACCAACGGGCCAAATCACAATAGAAGAAACATTACGGATAGACCTCCCTATAATGCAGGTCATGCAGCCATAATGCAAGGCACCCCTCCACCCACAGAGGGAGAGAGATAGCGAGCGCGGCCTGAGCGTAGTCCGTTCAAGGGGAGATTTTTGGAGGGAAATTTGAATTGCGATCGAGCGCCGTGCCGCCAGCAGACCGGACCCCCCTGCTCAGACGAACACGGTTGAGGGAAGCGGTTCCTCCCCGTTTCTCTCACGGTGTCCGTACCCTACGGATGTTTTTATTTTGATTTTAATTGTGTACTGGCATGGCCCTTCTAATGCGTCTTCTTTTCAGACTCCCGTATTTGCTACGTGCCTGTGCGGCCGCACAAGAGACCGCAATGACCACGGACGTTGCTCTGCTGCTGCTGCTACTACTACTACTACTACTACTACTACTACTACTACTACTACTACTACTACTACTACTACTACTACTACTACTACTACTACTACTACTACTACTACTACTACTACTACTACTACTACTACTACTACTACTACTACTACTACTACTACTACTATTACTACTATTACTACTATTACTACTATTACTACTATTACTACTATTACTACTATTACTACTATTACTACTATTACTACCTGCGGGCGGGTACCGACCGACTTGAGTTATCGCTGCCGCTTGCTGGTACTTGCCTTGTAATCTCTTGCTATTTGTCGCTTACGGGTCTTGCGTTTGAGCTGTTGAAAGCCCACTATTCGCAGGGCTTCCAAAACGGTTGTCCGGCACGCCTCCCTCCCTCCCTCCCGTCAGGCCCTCGAAGATGATTGGCTTGACAGACCGCTGGTCACTGACAGTTATTAGTTGGCTCTCCACGCCCGATGCCCCGTCGTCACACTCCCACATCCCTCTTAGCGAGCACCGCTGCAATGCAGCCCGCAACATGCAGAGTCGATAAGGTGAAACATTGTACCCGCCTTCGTCCAGGCGCTTTGGCCGATGCCAAGTCAGCGGTAATTCGTGCCTGAGGCCTGGGATGACACAAAGGGCCATGGCATGGGGCCCACGACGGGAATAGTGTACCTACGTGAGAAAGGGAAAAAAAAAAAAGACAAACAAAAAAGGCAACGGTTATTTCCAGCCACATCACGCTCTTGCTCTTGCTCTCGCCACATCCGCGCTGGAGCCGCTGCGTGCCCGCCACTGCGGTCGGATGAATGCAAAGAACGGACCGATGTCTGCAGACTCGACCGCAAAGGATCTTGCTTTCTCGGAACCCCTACTGATTGCAACAAAGACCCCCCTCCCCCTGAGACCTCGCCGTCAAAAGAAAGAAGCTCCAGGCACGGGCTATCACACGTCCCAGAAACGAATATGCCAAGAATTGGGTTTTCGAGCGCAGCGGCCCAGCGAGAGCCGTCCGGTCTCGGGTGTGGAGAGCCTACCTGCTGCTTACTGCGCCAAGTATGCAAGTTGCGGACGTGAGCGCTTCGAAAGTGAGATGTTGTTGAGAGAATTTGACGTAGCTGGTTTCATTAAGAACTCTCGAGCAAGTAGGTGACGACCATACCATACAGCTCGGTATCGCCCATTATCTCTGGACTACAATCCTTCACAGATGCGTCTTTTCGTCATGCATGAGGTAGTGACCTGATCTGATGACTGCATCGCACATGCGCAGGTATTTTAGGGTTTCTACAGAAACGCTTGTGGAACTGAGTGCTGATACTGGTATATTGTACTGTCAAGTCATGTCCAGAGCCTCCGGTGGCTCACATCCGGCTCGGGCCTAGAGCCAGAGTCAGATTTAATCATACACCTCAGCTGGTATCCATCCTATCGTTCCCCTACGTGGACCTCCGCGTTTGTTGTGTCATGTGTGTGTACGACCGAAACTCCATTCCAATAAAACTGCCAACGCCGTCCCAGGTTATCGCAATCGAGGCATCATATTTGTGTCGCGAGCCACTTTGTCTCCAAGCAATCACACTCTCGTCGGCCAACGCGACCCGTCTCTACTTTCCAGGTGGCGGCCCAGCGGGAGGCGAGTAGACGTCGCGCTGGTATGAGTTTTGCGGCTGCTGCAGTTGAATGCCCTCGTTTTGGGCGCCATAGTAGCCGTCGTTGGGGTTGAAGGTCGTGCCGGTGTACTGGGGGTTCTGTTGAGATTGTCCGTAGGCCGGTGGCGGGGCGGGGTAGGATCCGTCCGCGCCCGGTTGAGGGTAGCCTGCGTAACCCTGGTGCTGGCCGTTGTACTGCTGGTTGTAGGCGTAGGTGTGCTGGTTCTGTTTGTTGTTGCCACCCATCCAGCCGAAGCCGTACATGGGCTGGACGCCGCGTCTCCTGCGACGACGAGCGTTCATGCACCTATTCGGAGACTATTAGTATTGATGGTTCGTTGACGACAAGGGAGGCGTGGAAGCACTCGGGGGGTTACACTAACAAGATCACCATGAGAAGTGCAAGGCCGGCGACGACGGCGGCGAGAACCCAGCGTCCCCACCAGTACCACGCGCCGCGTTCATAGCAGAGTCCATTCCTGTAGACTTGACCGGAACGGCAAGGATATTCTCTGCCGGATTGATATCAGCATACAGAAGAGGAGCATCGTGGAAGGTGGCGCATCAGTGCATGCCAGTTGTTTGGTAGGCCCAAGCTACAAGCAATGCACACAAACTGGTCCAAGTGTGTACTTACCTCTTCACGAGAGCTTCAGGGAATTCAAAGGCCGCCATGTTTGATGGTAGCCGATAGATATGTTTTTTTATTTTTTTGGTGAATCGATCGTTGCAAGGCGCACTGCCAAAGGTACAAACGTCGATTAGGCACAGGTGTTTCGCCAGTCGAAATCACAATCGACTTCGATGGACAGGGTGTATTGCGGGTTAGGGGAAGAGTAGGTATGTAGAGGAGCGAAGAAAAGTAGTCGTGGGGAGAAAGCTTCAGCCGCTTATGTTTCGTGTGTATGCTTTTGGTAAAAAAGAAAAGGCTTCCGGCAGCTCGTCTCTCTCCGCGACGTAGCTGTGGTTTTCTTTGGTGCGGCGTTAGGATGGAGGGAGGTGACGGGTAATGATGGATGACGTGATGTTCCTCCAGAACCAGGTATAGGTGACGCCCCAATCAAGGGTGATCTATGCCAGGAAGACTCTCTCTCTCTTTCGGTGTGCACAGAAATAAGATACCGACTCGGTCAGGCGATAATGCGAGAGCGCAGCTTATTTAGGATGCAGTGCAAAGATTGTCGTTGGCAGCAGGTGCCAGGGCTTGACCGGATAAGGGATTTGTTTACTTTGGTCGCGGGAGGAAGCCTTTGCGACTCAAATATGTACAAGGTCGGTGATTCCAGGATTGGACTGCGTATGTATGTAGTGCGAGAGTAAAAAATCGGACGGTGGAGGAGAGAGAGAGGTTGGGGGGAAGGGGAATGGCGGAAAAGGAGGGATCAAGTTATACTAGGTTCAATGAAGTGAGCCAAGCAAATCGTCACCAGACGAAGGCCCCAAAGCTACGTCTTGGGGGCTGGGCAAAGTCACTTGTTCCCCTCGCCATTGCGTGGCCTTCCCTCTTTGCCCAGACTTGGTGAGACCTGGAAGATTCTTGGGGCGCTGCAAACGCCCGCCCACACTAATCCTCCCCCCCCAGTCTTCGCCATTGCCAGGCAAGGCCAAATTCACTAGCCCCGATGCTACAGTCAATATCCGACTCTAAGCCATCAACTTGAACATATCAGTTTGGACCATCGAGCATGTCAGCATCAGACCTCGTCGCCCAGCCAGCCCCAGATCCCCCAATATACAGACCCGTCCAAAGCATCAAAGGCACCGGTGCGTCAAGGTTCGTTCTACTCAGCCAAACCATTCCAAATCACTTGATCAATGACAACAGGCACGCCGGTATTCACGGGAGTCCGGTAGCTCCGTCCAGAGTGGCTGTGTTCGCACCTTCGCCCAACCACGGCTGCCTCCCCGTCCTGGTTACGAGCGAATCGCAGAGCCCCGACTTCTGGGCCAAACGCAGGCTGATGGAGGAGCAGTCATCTACCAAGCAGTCGGCCCACCTCCGGACGCCTCACATCGACAGCGCGGGCGACGCCTGGCTGTCCCCGTTCCGGCTGCCGACCCCCTTGCCCCGACGTATCCTTCCCAGGGTGCCTTGTCGACCCGTGGCGCGGTCGCCCGTACGGATACCTTGAACACAAATCATACACAGCATAAAGATAAACTAAAAATAAAGGATTCGGTTGGCGGTCCGTTTTGTTTGGACCCTGTTTGTTTGTCTTTGCGAGAAAGGGCTCACTAACACGCCAAGCAAGCTGGGCGATGCAGACTCACGAGGTCATCCAACCATCCTTCGAGTCGTCTCTTCATTTTGCTGTTTGCTCATCTACACACGGTGGTACCTACCTAGTCACGAACCGTACACACCGAGGAATCACCCGGCGAATTCAATATTTCTTTCTCGCCACCTCCGGCCAATCTATGACCAGACGATATCGGTGACTTGCGGCGGCATTTCAGCGCAGGTTCGACTGGGCGAGTTGCATCGTGCCCCAAGGCACCAGCCATCGTAGGTACCTCGCATTCTACAGCTTCGTTTGAACAGTGTTCCACCGCTCACTGCCACCAACTCTCACCATACCAAAACCGGGTGCTCCGTATACTTTCGAAGACGGCGAACATAACCATCCGGCCTAGTGACTCGCGACCCCCCGTGCGTCCCGGGCGCTCGGAAGGTGGGAATACAGTACGGAGTACATTACGATTGTGATTGAGGCTTTGACCGCTGGTGGCAGGTGCTGATGTGGCCCTCTCCACTCTGCGCGTGGCCGGCCCCCACCGGGATGCGCTGGTTCACCCCCGCCGCAGGGGAGCTGCAACCAGGCAAATCTCTCAACGAGGCCATCCTAATGGCAACTCTAAATCATGAGCAGACTCGCCCAACTTGATTGCTACACGGCGCTCTCACTGGCTCGTTGGTGCGAAAGCTCAGCCTAATATAGACATGCTGTGAGGGCACAGCCGAGCCCGATTGGGTGAATTTGGCTAATATATCTGTACCCCTCTCTCTTCTTCTTCTTCCTCCGCCCAATCGTTGCTCAACAGAGCAATCCGAACGGGACCCTTCCAACTGCTCGGCTTTGCCGCCAAGACTGTTTCTAAACTTCTGGCGCCAACTCTGCTCGTTTTTCCTCACTAGGCGCTTCGACGAAGTTGGTTGGGTTTGGCCCCCAAACTCTCTCTCTGCCTTGTTGTTTGAGACTTCAGCAACATACCCAGCACGCCGCCGGACTTGGCAGTCTGATGCTCTCGGTCTTTGCCACCTCCCATGACCGACACTCCTGAAGCCATCGGCACAATAAATTAACTCCACATCACATATCCCTCTTGCACTGCACCTCGGTCTGCGTTGTGCTGCAACCCCGTGGAACTGAGATGTCTCCTGGATATTAGGAGGTACAATTCTCTATTAATACACAAATCCTGCACTGATCAGATCAGCATCGAGACCATGATATTAGCAAGCGCTGTGAAACCTAATATATCGGTGGTGGCCAAGTCCTTAGATGTGACCCTTGCGCTTTCCCCCCCCAATTGTCCCGAGACTCTGCTCAGCGCCCCTCCGATAGCCAGATCAAGGACGAGAAACAAGTGTGCACCGATCCCTGGTTTGCCGTATCTCCGTGTACCTGCCAACCGGCTAAAAACAAATCATGAAGAAAAACGCAAAACGTATACCCAGCGTCCAACTGAGAACCCATCGTAGCCCGTAATACCGATTCGTCGCAACTTTTATTGTCCCTTGTGCCGGGCCTCGTCCAAAGTAAAACAGATCATATCATTCCCAGAACGCCGTACCGCCGCTGATGTGAAACGAAGCAGGAGTGTGCTTGCTTGCTTGCTTGCTTGTCGATGTCGTTACTTGGGAAACGTGAACCGGGAGGTTACCTTCTCGGGTTCCTTCTTGGCCGGAGCCGTCTGTTGCTGTTGCTGCCGCGCGGCCAGGTCGGCAATCTTCTCGCGCGCTTTCATGAGGCTGCTGTTGTCCTGTTGCTTCAGCTTTGCGCGGATCTCGTACAGCGCCATCAGCGTCGATGCCCGGTCCAGATCGTCTTCGCCCTGTTCAGCAGCCGTCGTGTAAGCACTCTGTCCTGCTCTTGATTCATGTGACTGATGCAGCAGCGGCGGGATAGCGCCTCGTACCTCTGATTCTCTCTTTGGGGTGCCCGGGATGGAAGAGCCCTGGGCCGAGTTGGAGCGTGACAAGACGGGCGGGCTCATCATGATACGACGGCCGAACTTGTCGATGCGGCCGGGAGAGACGTTGCCTGTGCCCGGCCGCGTGGTCTGCGAGCTGTGTGCGCGGCGGAGTTCATCGGTAGGCCGCTTAGCCTGTCCGGCGCCGGCGGGGTTGGTGCCGGCCCTCTCGACGGTCTCGATGGCCTTGTTCGCTGTGACGAGGGCTGCTGCCGCATTGGGTTCCTGAGATTGGAGAAGAAAAAATCGTCAGCTTCCAGTAGACAGCCTGTTTCTGAGTTGCTCAAAAAGTTTACTGCGGCCCTCCCCCGCTCGACTCCCTTTTCCCTCTTCGACTGCCAGAGCGCAACGCGGGGAGGGGGTCTACATGGGCAAGCCAGGGAATGCGCGCGGGAGGAGAGATTGAGACAAAAGACAGTTGGGAAAAGGAGATGGGGACGAACCGCCGCTTTGAGGCTGCTCAGATCGGCGAGCATCTGCGCCAGCTGGAGGCTCTCCATGGCGTCGTTTGCAGCGCGTGTGCAGATTCTCCTTGGACGGATGATCGCGTGCGAAGGATGGAGGATTGGGTAATTAAACCTTGACCGATGCAGTATCTGGAGTGGATACGTTGGCAATTATCCGTAGCAGTAAATCAGAGGAAGAGTGGGACTTGACAGGAGCGGAACACGGAACCCACCCACGCCGTCATTCACTCTAGTTCGGTCCAAGACAGGCCAAGAAAGCAGTCTTCGGAAAAAGACAAAGCGGCATAGGCGCCGAAGGAGAGGTTTGATTGTGCCAGGTTTGAGAATCGCGTAGCTGGGTGAGGGCCAGAGCGGAGTGTGCGAGTACCAGGAGCTGTCGTTCTTTTCTATTCGTGTGTTTGTGAGTTTGCGTAGCTCAAAGAAGCGTCTCACAGCTTGGGTAAAGATGCTAATAAACAGATACTTTGGGCAGGCTATAAAAGGTCTGGTTGTATGTGGCCCTAAAAAATGGGAATAAAAATATAGAAAGAGAGAGAGAGAGAGAGAGAGAATTACCCCGCCGGAGACATAGGTACCTAAGAAAGGAAGGCCGGTGCCTGGACTGCAGGGAAAAGGGGTCCTAACTGGTTCTTGGCGATCGGATTCGGCGGAAGGGTCGCCGTGCTGTCATCGAAGAAGAAGGAAGCGGGGGAGGGTGACACTTTCCCTTCCCCCACGTTGAGCAATTCAACCGCACTGCACGCTACCCCGGGCCCTTCCCTGTCCTTCCAATCCGCTGAAGTGATTGCTGGAATATGTGGCAAACCTCAGTGGACGGTTGCCACTGACCACCGCCTCACTGTTGAACCCCTCAAAGTGATCGGTTCCTGTCCTTCTTCTTTCCTCAACCGGGCTAGTGGAAACCATTGACTCAAGAACACCTTCGAATAAGATCCCACGTGCATCAGATTAGATTGGAGCCTCCGCGACGTCGCCGTTCCATCTGAAGCTCCTCCCCCGCCCTGATGGATGCAGGACCTTGGTGTGGTTGCCATACTATGTACCGTATGTAATTAATTAGCTGGTCGCTGATTGACGCATCCTCCAGCCCCAAAGCGCCTAGCCCGCATTGGCAAACCTCCGTTGTGCCGGCAGCTCCCCCCGACGTTACATAGGTACCTACCTACCTACCTAGCATCTTTTCCGTCATAGTGGATGCTGACCCTGACTAAGCATGACAGACCCACCCGGTGGTCGCTGAGCCGAGTGTTCGCTATCCGATGCTGCTCCGGCATCGCTTCGGCTTCCATCCCGAGCTCGTTATCAACATCCCACGCTGACATAAAAGAGTCCATATTGACGAGAGCCTCCAAAAGAGAAGAAATAGCGGTGCATAACTCAAGATGTCCTTGGTGTTTAGACGATCAATGGCTACCGCCGCCTCGTTGAAGAAGGCCGGAAAGGTCATGTGCATCGGCCGCAACTATGCGTGAGTGACCAGTCAATCACCCTCAACGGCACCAGCACCAGTAAGACAGCTAACTTACGATCCGAAGCGATCACATCAAAGAGCTCAACAGCGCCCGCCCTAAGCAGCCCTTCTTCTTCCTCAAGCCCACCTCTTCCATCCTGCTCCCCGGGGCCGGCCCCGTGCTGAGGCCCAAGGGCGTCGACATGCACTACGAGGTTGAGCTCGCTCTCATTATGGGCAAGCAGGTCAAAGACCTCAGTCCCGACGATTACAAAGGCGCCATCGATGCCATTGAGGGTATGTCCTATCAAACCGAGACACCAGCGCCTCACCGCAGGGCTTGCTGACATGACGCAGCATACGCGCTTGCCATCGACATGACTGCGCGCAACACCCAGAACGAGGCCAAGAAGAAGGGTCTTCCCTGGTCCATCGCCAAGGGCTTCGACACTTTTCTGCCTATGAGTGACATTGTCAAGAAGTCCGCCATCCCGGATCCTCACGACATCGAGCTCTTCCTCAAGGTCAACAACGAGACCAAGCAGGACGCCTCCACCAACCTGATGCTGTTCCCGATTCCCCGCATCTTGAGCGACATCTCCAAGGTCATGACCCTCGAGGCCGGTGACATCGTCCTCACCGGCACTCCCGCCGGGGTCGGCCCGGCCGTGCCCGGAGACATTATCCACGCCGGTCTCCGTGTCAATGGCAAGGAGCTTCCCGAGGCCAAGATTGAGGTTGGCGTCGAGGAATCTCCCAGTTCGTACCAGTTCGCCGAGACGTAGGCGGACTTGACGTTCCTGAGTCGGGTGTATAGAATATTATGAGCGATGTATTTGCATCAATTTACTGAAAAGGTCATGTTGGGTCTCAGCCGGTGGGTGCGAGAAAATGTCTCGACCTCGATCAACCGAATTGCATGTACTCTTATTACATAGACTGTCTGCTCGCCTACAACACACTCCCCCCCCACCTAAAACACCGTAAGCACACGCCTCACAGACCCTGCCAGATGAATCACTCAAGGTTGGGATCCTTGATCGACCCGGGCTTCGGGGCCGCCTCTGCCACGGCGCCGCACTTCTTGCACGTCCGCACCTGCTCGTCGGCCTTGAAGGCCTCGACGGCGGCCTTGATCTGGGTGCCGAGGTCGGTGCAGTGGAAGGCGGCCTCGTGGACCACGTCGCGGCATGACTCGCAGTACCAGCGCATGCGGTCGAGCGAGCCCTCAGGGCGGCGCTGCTCGAGGACGACGCCGACGGTGTTTGCGAAGCGTACGGGGTTGTGCGGGGTGTTTCCGGGGAGGAGGAACATGTCACCCTCGCGGATGATGACGTCCTTGAAGACGCCCTCGTCGACGACCTTGAGCATCATGGCGCCCTTGTACTGGTAGAACCACTCGGGCGTCTGGTTGATGTGATAGTCCGTCCGGGCGTTGGGGCCGCCGACGATCTAGGAGCGGGGTTAGCCAACTGCAACTCGTTGTGTAGTTGACAGAACAGCGGCACGTGTAGTTGGAAAGTGTACCATGACTGTGAAGTCGTCATTGTAGACGCAGTAGTTGTTGATTGGGGGCTTGAGGAGGTGGGAGTTCTCCTCCAGCCTGATGTGGCATGCGTTAGCCTGAGTCAAGCCTGGTCGAAGTGGGGGGTTGCGCGAATAGCCTCAAAAAGTCATATCATGGTGTTCTGGAGTCGCTACTCACCACTTGGGCAGGTTGACAGGGGGTCCAAGCATGGTGGAGGATGACAGCGAGCCACTTGAGTTGAAAGCAGTTTTGGTACTGCAAGCTTTTGTTGCTCTCAATCGCTGCGATTTCGTGAAGACTGGGTCTCGGGGCACAGGAATATGTTGACTCGGGTGCTGCAGGTTGCCAGAGATGAAGTCAGGCCAACATAATGTTTTGTAATCAGCCCCTCCGTGGCGAATGAGCTTGAGCGCGCGAATTCTTTAGGCTTTCGGTGACATGACAAGACGGTTTCAAAAATACCCTGGCATTACCTGCTACCTACCAACCTTCTGGTCCGCTAAAGTCGTCCTAGTCCGGGCGGCCCGTCGGCGTCAACCTCGGGGCCACTCACTGTTGTTCAACGCTGGCCCGCCCGTAACCCTAGAGCCCAGCGGCTGCAGACTCATTATCCCGAATGCACCGGAGCAATTCCATCTCGGGAACACGACGGAGGTAAGAGGGCCCGGGGCTTCATACCTCATGTGAATCATCGGCAACTCGAGCCGTAGCAGATCAGCCTCGAGCAACCCGAGAGCGATCCACACGCATCAGAAATTCAAAGCGCCCAAGCGACCCTCCTACCAGAAGCCGCGCATGCATGGAGCCACGGCTGGCAGAGAGCAACAGGAATGAATGCCTGGATACCACTGCCGGCTGCTGCAGGGAAAGGCGTGACGAGAGTTCCATGTGACCGACCGACGCTCGTCATGCCTCAGTGAGGGGGAACCCTTCGCACCGCTGCCCCGCCCCGCCTTATCCGTCACTTGGCCGCCTCGCAGCGCTGAGAGTCGTGCATCTGTCAATCTCGCAGGCCGGGGATCACCAGGCCAGGTGCTGCGTCCTGCAAGATGCAGCAGCAGCAGCAACAGCAGCCTAAAGGGCCCGGGAGATGGGAGTGATCACACTCCTAAATCACCTCGGACGAGCCAACGACGCCCTGGCCGCCACGACGTAACTCTCACGCCATCCCTTCCTCCCGATGCTTCTCTCTGACTTGACATTGGCGAATTCTCCTCGGGGGTTGCTAAACATGTCACGGGGTCCAGTCCGGCAGCGGGTTGCAGGCTTACAGCGGTTCGCCCTAAATTAGGTACCTACCAACCTACGTGTAAATCCTTCCTTCCCGCGTGGCCGACTGCGACGTGTCGAAAGCACCAGCTAGACAGACAGCGGGCTCCTAGTAACAATGACCGCTACCCACCGCTTCTTCCCTCACACCGACTCAAGCCGGTGGAAAGGAGCATAGGCAAAGAGAGGCGACGAGGAGGGAACATCCCATCTCGCCGCTTGACTTGCGCACATTTGAGCGAGTTTCCTCAAGCCACGGGCCGCCACCCTTCACCCGATTTTAGTTTCGGCAGCCTTTTCCGATACACGTCTGCGTGTACGAAGAAGATTGTCATTCTTTCAAAAGAGCTACCCGTAGGCCCAAACCTTTTCAGATCTTTCTTTTTCTCTACCCACTCTTCTTTTGTCTATCTCCCTAGCTCCCGCCCCACCGGGTCCGAACCCCTTCCCACCCCCGCGAAACTGCGACACTGTGACCCTATCTTGCGTTATCGAAGCTACCTATTACGTTCCCGTACATCACCTCATACTCTCCCCCCGGCCGAAGCTCCTCTGGTCTTGTCGCATATTTCCCCTTTTTTTTCAACAAACAACATCGACCTCGTCCATCATCTCACGCTCGAATCTCCCCAACGAACAACCCGACAACAAAATCTTACCGCTTGCAAAACCAGCACCGACCGACACTATGGACCACTCCCACATGGATCACTCCCACATGGACCATTCCATGATGGACCACTCCGCCATGGATCACGGCAACATGGGCGGAAACGGCATGGGCGGCGGCATGGGCGACCGGTGCAGCATGAACGTAAGCTCAACCCGCGCACATACGCGTGTCTCTCTTCCTCTCCGTCAGACCCTCAGAGAGCTTCGGGAGCTTCCCTCTCGCCGGGGGCTACACATCCCGTCCCGTCTCCCTTGCTGCCCGCTTCCCCGAACCTCGAGAACCGGCTAACCCCGATCCCTCTCTCCAGATGCTCTTCACCTGGGAAACCAAGAACCTTTGCATCGTCTTCCGTCAGTGGCACGTCCGCTCTACGTCCGGCCTCATCATTTCCCTCCTCCTTGTCGTTGCCCTCGCCGCCGGCTACGAGGCCCTCCGCGCCGCCTCCCGCCGCTACGAGAACTCCGTGAACAAGCGCATCGAATCCCTCCCCAGTAAGTCTTCTCCTTTGTTGCACGACCGCAAACACGTACACGTCACATCCAACATACCTATCCCTCCAAGAACCCCCCTTCTTTCCTTGCTTCCGTACTCGTCCCTCTTCGCGCCCTACCATCATGCTTTGAACTTGCGCCCCCCTACCTAGCGCCTCTCTTTCAACGACCGTCGTAGAGGGGACATCGGGGGGCGCAAACAGACCCTGAAATCCCCCCAAAATATGATAGCGCACGATGAGCTAAGAGTCCTGTGTCTCTCGAGGCGTCGCTGAAACCGTTACTGAGACAACCCCCTTCCTATGGACAGGACGCGAACAGGTCGAGGCCAGCAAGAGCGCGCACCTCCTCAAGGCTGCCCTCTATGCCGCACAAAACTTCTACGCCTTCATGCTCATGTAAGTGAAAACCCCAACCTTCTGGCCTCTCCCCGATGTCTGGTTTGTCTTTTGCTTTTGTGCGTGCCTCGAATGGGGAGCAGCAGCAGCAGCATCATCATGCGGTCGCACGCGAAAGAATCGTTCGACAGACCACGGCCCGTAGATACGAGAGCGGGGGCAGAGGGGATAGGGGAGAGGGGAGAGAAAGAGTTAATGGCTGACATATCCAGGCTCGTCTTCATGACATATAACGGCTGGGTCATGGTCGCCGTTGCGGTCGGCGCGTTTGTGGGCTACGCCTTGTTCGGAAGCACGACCTCGTCGACAAAAGACAACGCCTGTCACTGAGCCGTCCCACCGATGGCTCTGCGGGCTGGGGAAGCCCAGCCACCAAGAATCTCACCAATAGACATGCCCTCTGAATCCACTGCTTTTTTATCGTTTTCCAAACACCACCGGCGGCGTATCTTTTTACGGGCGTTACTTCTTTCAATAGCATCAAGCTCCCGCAGCTCCTTCCCGAAGGCAGGCGAGGCGAGTCGAGCGGAGGGTGATATAGGGTGGAGCGGGGAAGCAGAGAGATGCCGGCACACTCGGACTACTATATACATTATGAAAGCAAGACTTATTCATCATGGCCGCTGCATCAGTTTTAGCTGCAGCCTCTCTAGTAATTTGTTTTTTCTACAATGAGGGGGGAGGGGACCATAGCGGGCTCCCCGTTCCCCCGCTTGCCCAGTCTTATCATGTTCCATGCCCCCCCCCCCTCGTAGGTGATCGCCCCTTAACGGTGGACCTACATCTTCGCAGGTTCCGCCTTCTCCTCCGTAGTGCCTGTCGCCGCCGCCTCGTCCCGCTTCCTCTTCTTGTCGACCAGGCTCCCCTCCCTCTCAGCCTGCAGGATGATCTCCTCGTCTCCAAAGTGCGAGTTGCATTCAAACTCGGGCTCCTTGCCGTACGCGATCCGCGCCGCGTCCACGAGCATGTGCGCCGTCAGCCCCCACACCTTGAACCTGCCCACCTTGTCCTCCTCGAGCTTCTCCGCGAGGTTGCTCTGCGGGTGGTCCGCCTCCATGGCGTTCCCCGGCGTCGTGACGCGCTGGTCGTCGACGGGCACGTAAAAGTTGTGCACGCGCCACGGGTGGTCCTTCCACTGGATCCAGCTGCCGTCGTACCAGTGGCCCGGCGGCAGCGCCCTGTTGCCGTGCGGCTCCGCGTCCCTGGCCCGCAGGAAGTTCTGGAACGGCGCCGAGAAGACGGCGGCGACCTCCTTGGCGTCCAGGCGCGGGATCATGCGCTCCTCGACGAGCGGGCTGGGGTTCTCGTCGGGCTCCTCGTCGGCGTGGAGGAAGGCCACGCAGGGGCGGACGACGAGCTCCGTCCGGGCGAGGTTGTAGGGGAGGTAGCAGAGGGGTTCGATCTTGAAGGGCTTGGGGATGCGGGCGTCGTCCATGGGGAGGCCTATTTCTTCCCATGCTTCACGTCTCGCTATTTCGTCTATTGTCCCGCAGTTTACACATTAGCCTCTCCGTCTTCTCCCCGTCTCGGAGACCTCTCTCTTCCGCGTGGGTGGACGCGGACAGGGCGGCGGGTTGGCAGCAGGCTTACACGGTGTCTCTTGTATTGTATCCGCCTTTCCACCAGGGAATGCCGCGTGCCCGGAGAAGCTCCGCAGGCTCGCGGCGCGCATTGTGATGACGACTCGCAAATCGCCCCTGCGGTCCGCGTACAAAAGTATCAAGACCGCCGCGCGGCGGCTTACTGGCAAACGGTCCCAGAGCGGGAAGGCGGGTGGGACATATCGACGCAGTCGCGAGATGGCCGCCTTTGAGCGCATCAGCATCCTATTCGCGCAAAGATACATGACGACGCTAGTGACATGTATTATAAATTCGAGAAGGAAACGGCGAGAACGAGGAAAGGAGGAGGAAGGGAAGGGAAAGGAAAGGAAACAGGCACCGAATCTCGAGTTCATGGGGTAACACGGCGCTTCATATGCAGCAATATGAGGGTATACATAGCAAATGGTGAGAAGGGGGAGGCGTGAGCATAGAGCAAGATTCGGGGAGTCATGGTACAAAAGTAGTGATAGGCTAGAAAACAGGAAGGAAAAGGTAATAGAGTTGCACCGTTCCGTGGAGGGTGCATCGAAGGTGCATCTAGCATATAGCCCAGCTACTAACTGCTACGAAGATTCGGGAAGAGGGGCGAGGGTAATGACTAACCGCAGAAACTGGGTTTAGAGGAGCCATGGCTTCAGCATCCCAGTAGCTCGTAACCTCTTCGTCGTCGTCGTCGAGGATCAGGACACCTTCGGGATTCGGATTGGCGGTACTGTCGTCAATGTCGCCCCTCTTACTGCTGGCAGAAGAAGGAGTTGCAGGAGTGGTGGCGGCGGTTACTCCGGCTGCGGGCGAGGGAGACACTGCAGATGTAGCGGCGGACGGGTGCTTGGCGGCTGCGGCGAGGTGGGCGGTGATCTCGTGGACGTCCTGGGCCGTTAGCGGCGTGGCCTCGTCTAGCTGATGATCTTGGTGTTGCTGCTGCAGGGCTGGAGACGCCGTCGCGGTGGTCGTGGTTCCTGTCGTTGCTGCTGCTGCGTCTTCGGAGAAGGACGGAGGGGAGGTTGGGGCCGGCGAGGGGTCCGTCGCGGCCGCTTGGCTCATTCTCGGTCCTATGTCTATCAAGGGTGGGGGAGGAGGGGAGGGGAGGCGGATGGCGGGAGCCCAGAGTAGGATCAACCAACGGGAAAAGGATATGGGAAAGGGAAGAAGACAGAAGAGATGGGAGCAAAAGAGGGGGGTGGTGTGTAGGGTTGGCTGGAGTCCCGGGTCCAGGGCCCAGACTCTGCAAGAGAACACAAGACGAGCAAGCGAGGTTCGGCGTCCAGCGACCAGCAGCAGGCAGGTCGGGGCGGTCGTGCGCGCGCGTGTTCTTGCCTAGAAGGTCACGGACGTGGGACGTGGTTGGCTGAGATGTGACGGCAGGGAAGAGGGACGGATGAATAGCGGGCTGCAGATTCGGGGGTTTGCAGTTGTGTATGTGTGTGTGCGTGTGGTTGGAGAGAGAGGACAGACAGACAGTTCCGATGCTGCTGCGAACATGTCTTGGGGAAAGTGAGGGAAAAGGCCGAGTCGAATTGCGGGGGTGGGGTCGGTCTAGATATCTCGAACCGCCTAGGGCATACATAGTGTAGTGTAGTGTCTGCCAACCCGCGCAAGTGACCGATCGTCACAGGCTGCAGCCAGCGAGCAATGTTCCGAAAAGATCCAATGATGATGGATCGGCTGGGACATAGAAGATACGAACGTAGTCATTGGACCGCCAGTAACTGCCTCATTCGTTGCCGGTCAAGCCAAAGTAAGAGGCCCCTTTTCTCATCGACCGTCTCGCCAGATGAGAGATGACTGAAGCTCGGTAGGCGGCGGCCCGGCGGACACGGGGCTCTCCCGCGGGTGTGGGTGCGGGTGTGGGTGCGGGTGTGGGTGCGGGTGTGGGTGCGGGTGTGGGTGCGGGTGCGGGTTGGTCGCCACAAAGCCTTTTAATTGGCATTTTACGGGACAGGACCCTTACCCGCTATTACTTATCAATTACCTTATCGATGCTCGGAGGGCGCTGTTCACGTCACACGACTTTTGGGCGCTTTCGGACTCTCATGTCTGTATGAACAGTTCCCTTTTCTTTTTTCAACACTCTAATTATTCGTGTACCTAGGTAGTCGATATACTCAGTGGTAAGACGTTCATATGGCCCTTTTCTTCTCTAGCCCATATCCGTCATTACCTTATTCGTTCTTGTTCTGGATCGTGGGGGTTCACAGCATGCAGGCTTCCTTCCTCCTTCCGATACTGAACCAAAAAAGACGACGCTTCCCATAATCCCTCTCGAACGCCCCCACCCTCTCACGATACCACAAACAACGCTAAATTGCATAAACGCCGAGGTGACACCACCTCCTTCAAGTACGTTTTCCCTTAGATATACGCTCCATCCCAAGCATCGGGCGAGGATGCGTCCCACGCAGAAGTGCCAAGCAGTGTGCATCACCTAGCCCCGCAGGACCCTTTTCTTTCCAAACGCTACGCCGACGCCGTCTATACGCTGCGCTTCTGCGTGCTAAAGCGAGCCCCCCTCCGGTATTACCCGGATGCTCTGTCTGAGATTCTCCCTCCGCCGCTCGTCCTTTGATAGCACCATTGAGCTGGCCGTCTTCTTGAACTGCGCCGCTATAACCTGAACCGATAGCCGGCTGCCCATCTTGCTCAAGGGCGAGTCCGGCACCGCGAGAGTTGATACCGCGCTGCCGGCTTCCGAAAGAGTCGCCAGAGGCGAAGCGTCGTCGGGCGACGTGTCGTCCGCCGAGGCCGCTCTCCGGTGCTCGCCGCTCCGCCCGAAGACGCGGAACAGCGTGTCCGAGTACTTGGCCCGCATACGGTCGTCATCCATCGAGTGAGCGTGCATGTCCGGCCGTCCCGATTCCGGCGACTGCTTGCTCGTGCTGGAGCTTGTCGAGGCAACCAGGGACAACGGCGACTGCGGCATGGTGTTGATGCCCACGGGCGGCCGCTTCCTGCCGGACTGGAGCACCTTGGCCGCGAAGCTCATCTTGGTCTTGGGCGGCAGGCCCGAATCTTGTGTTGCGTCGATGCTAGCTTGTGCCATTGCCAACTTCTTCTGTGTCGAGTTTGCGATCGATGTCGCCGTTGCATGGTACAGATCCTTGGCTCCCACGTAGCTAACCTCCATGTGGTTATTCCGTCGGGCAGGGAGCGTTTCGAAATGGTGCATGCCCGGTGACCTCAGCGGTCCGATTTCCGAGTCGCGGCGGCGCGGACTTGCTTGGTCAAAGTCGGAAATCTCCACCCGGGGTGGCACCGGCGACGCCGGTATCCACGACGGGATGCGCCTCCGTGCAGTGGGGCTGAAGTCCCATTCGACACTTTCCGCATCCGACTCATCGTCCTCGTCGTCGTCGTCGTCGTCGTCGTTGTCATCGTCGTCAATCATGTTCAGCGTCCGAGCCGGTTCCGATGCCGAGATCGGCTTCTCCGCGCTGTGGACGCTGCCGGAGTTGTCGGGGGTCGCGAGGATCGCCATGTCTGGTGCTATGGGTGATCGCGGCGGCCGGGGTGGGGCTTTCTTGATGCCTTTGTACTCGAGGTCGAGCCCGGTTATCTGTTTTATCTTAACGGATGACTGGTGAAGGGTGCAGTAGCTCGTTATCGGAGTTGACAGGCGTCGAGCGGCGAAGCTCTTAATCTCGGACTCTGGCCGGCGGTTGTAGGGCGAGCAGCTTCGGTTTTCCGATAGTCTCCGTGAGGTGGGCGTCGGTGTGTGCTGAATGAGGATTGCGTTGATATCGTTCTCAAGTTGCTCAATTTCGTCATTTGTCAATGGTGACGGCGACGGCGACGGCGTTGCCCTCTCGCGGCTTCGTGACCTCGATGAATCTCCTGTCGTCGTTTTTGATGCACCTGACATGGCCGAGATGAACGAGTAGGCCGAAAGCTGACGGCGTAAGCCTGGTAGTATAGGAGGCAGCGGTGGAAGCGGCTTCTTCCCATATGTGCCCATTGGTTGTTGAGGAGGCAGCTCGCCTCCTGGCGGGATGGCAATCTCCATACCAGGCGGCAACTGATGGGGTATGATCCGGGGCTCCATGCTATCTGTCGGCATTTCGAGATAACGGTTGTTGGTCAGAAGGCTTGACGGGGGAGGGAGAGAGGAGAGGGTGAGAGAGAAGAGCAGGTGTCGTCAGGACGCAATACGGGAGTCTGGCGCAATATGACCCATGCCACTGGTAGCTACCGGTACACTGACAAAGCCACCGCCAAGGCGATCTTGTCGAATGCGGCCAGGGGACTGGGTTTGTAGAATCAAGATCGAATATTCTTTGTTGTTGCTGACTGCTGGATTAGGAATGGCTCGCTCAGAGCCAATAGCTCTCTAAACAAAGACGAGTCGTGGGAGGGCAAGAAAAGTACACGCCAAGTGGTGTCGATAGTGCTTCGACGGGTGGGTTCCGCCTTAGGTCCGCTCCATAAGCTCGATATATTCGCAAAATGTGCCCTTCCCGTCACGGACTGTTGGTGAAGATTGGAAGCCGTTTTGTATGGGATTAGCGGCCGAGAGAGAGAGAAGGAGAGAGCGAGAGAGAGGCTGTGTCTTGCCATCTATATTGCTGCAGAACAAAAGTTTCAGGCCCCAGGCCACGCGTATCCAACACCCTGACATGCGTAACGTTGTTTGCCGGCTCTGACTGTGTGCCACAGATATAGTACCCAATGAAGCCACCTAGTAACCCACACTCATACAAAGGCTTACTGGAATGATGGTTATGTTTCCTTCACGGCGCGCGGGCGATAGCTGCAAGCCCAGGTTCTAATGCAGCTTATCTACCCACAACTTGGATTGCAGCGGTAGAGCTGTGAACGTTGCTCTCTCTAGCGACCCTGCTATCCCACCTTAACGGACTATACATCCCGTCGTCGCCACGCGGCCGAGAGGGACATGAGCCATCAGTGAACGCGGGCAAGCACATTATTCAGTGGAGAGGAAGGAACGTGACTGTCTGGACCTTTGTCGTTGGTAAATAGTTGGGGAGCACCGGCTCTGCTGTTTCTCGGAGGATTAACAAGTGCAGCATCCACAAGCTGTTGAAGTGGAAGAGATCTTCGGTATGGGAGCCACCACGTATTCAGGGTCAAAGGCAAGTTTGCGTCATTGACAAAAAGCTGATGTCTGACACCCGTAGCAAGACCCTGTTCCCCCATGTTAGCGTTTGGCGACGAGTTCAACTTTGCCGTTTCCTTTGCCAAGGTCAGGCGAGAACTATATTAGCACCTCTGCAAAATCATACGAGGATGCCATTTGGATATTGCCCATCCCGCTAGCCTGACAGAGTCAAGCTGATTGGCACGCACCAGGTGCGAAGAGTGTTGAACAGCGGAAAGATGTTGCCGACCCCGCCGAAGGGTGCAGCTAGTTGTACCCAGGGAGACGTCTTTGTTTAACCATAATCAACCATGGTCGTCTTTGTTGGGATTAGCCACCCTCATCGAAAATAAGGTCAACTCCTGGGGAGCGGCCGCCAAAAGTCCAAGACACTAGGAGGGAGGTGTTGATTGTGATGTCCTGCCTGCGTATAGGTAATTGACGGTCATCTTTTAGGTGGAACATTGAGTCCTCTGAGCGACCATTAAATTGTTCGAAAAAGAAGAAGAAGAAAAAAGAAAAGAAAAAAAAGGCTGAGCTGTTGGGTTCTCGAAAGAATAACGAGGAGGGCTGAGCTTCCAGTGTATCCTAGCCCAGGAGCGACATACGGTCTGACATGGTGGCTGGAACGCAGCAGCAAGCGTACGATACCCCACCCAAGCCGCAAACGGACGCTGAAAATGCCGGCCGTTCGTTTTCCATGCTTTGACACGCCCATCGGTGGCGGCATGTGAGATGATTCTCGACAGCCGGGTGGGCGGGGGCGGTTGCGCGCTTGTATGAGGTCTTGGTTTTCTGTTATTCTGGCCATGCCGCTCGTCGATTGTTTCTAGCTGTATGCTACGATTCCCTTCGAAGCCCCATAGATGGACGCCGCCTCTAACAGTGAAGTAGGACTAAGAGATGATGTAACTCAAAGTCGAGCTTTCCTCTGGTGGGTTTCCCGTGATGGTGGCATGCCAGGCCCACCCCCCTCTGCTCTGAGATGATTGCACTACAGAAGCGGACGGGGTGTCCGTAAACATCTATTGGCTGGAGACGAACGTAGGCGCAGGCTAGCCTGACCGTCCGGCGGCCCGGCCATCATTGCTCAGTCCAGCCTTTCGTCTATAGGAGGCGAACCTACACCGGATCAACAAGGGCACGCCCCGGGGAGATGGGCTGAACCACGAATTGCGGACCTCGCTGTCTCGGCTCGCTGAAAGGAATCGCGGGACGGGCACCCGAGTATTGGATGTCCGTCCGACTTCGCCGACCCGCCAGTCCGTTGTCAGCGCGTAGCTGGTATAGCTGGTGGTGGTGGCTTTGGGCAGACTACCCGAAAAGCTGACGACAACGCAGTCACGAGGCAAATCCGACTTGGCAACAAGTGACTTCTCTTGTCGGTGTCGCACAAGGGGGGGACGCGCGGATTGCTGCGAAGAATCCGGTGTTTGCTGCTGAGCTGCAGCAGCGTCCATCGTGGTGTGTTGCACGACAGCAGCTACAGTCCCTCTTATTGTCCGGTCATCTGCTGCATTTGCCCCCTCTTTGATCGAATTTCAAACCCACCCACCACGCGGCCGCTCCGCCCGGGCACGGAGATGTCGTCGTTCCATCTAGGAATAAATGCCTATTTTCTCAAGACCTGTTGTGCCTCTGCTCCGGATCCTGATGTAGAGGACAAAACCAGAGGCGGGGGTGGGTGCCGCGAGATTACAAGTGCTGAATGGCGAGTGAAGAAGAAGAGAATTGAGGTGTCGTCTCGGGGAAGAGAAGAGACGTCGTTGGGGAACGATGCACGATGAATCCCTAGCTTGGCTTCTGTGCCCTGTCCCTGTCCTGCACCACTGACTGGCAGTCTAGACAGATCGCCGACAGGGATATCGCCCCCCCCCCCCCCCCCCCCGGGTGGTGGGGGATTCCGCTGTACACTCACTTAGCCGCAGGCGAGGCTCCCTCCTTCGTCGCATCGCAGACCAGTCAGTCATCATGGGGCAATGCTCACAAACATGACAACCTAGGCACCCAATGGGTCGGCGAATGCGCTTAGTGACCAATTGGTGGATTAGTCGTTTTAAGTCTAGAGATACTTAATATGAAATGAAATAAATCCAAATTCTTACATGAGCCAAAGTCCCTTGGGACCTTGACAAACCCGCCGGCCTCTAGGCCACGTCTAGACCATTAACTCCGAACATCCATAATCACACACGTAAATTACAAGTCCCCCATCTCCCTGGGGAAGTCGTGCTCGGCTCTTAGTCTTCGTCAGAATCGTACTTGCCCTGGTAGTCCCCCAGCAAGATGTCGTCAACCGCCAGTCCTGTCGTGTTGTTCCTAATCCACTCCGTCTCGACCCGGAAGAAGATCCAAACCCATCGTCTGAACACCTCGAGCGATTGCAGCAAGAAAATGCAGCTCTCAAAGTCGGTGAAATTGTCCAAGTTTGCGCTCAGCTTCACTGTCCATGTGCAGCGCAGCATCAGGTCCATCGCAATGACCCCATAATAGATGATCGGCTGCTGGAACACAAGCCGTCGGCGCAGACCGAACGGATGCTCCGGGTTGTTGCGCTCGCGCGCCGACGAGAACAGGGTCAGATCCCAATCCTTGGCGACGTCCCAGTACCAGGAGTAGAGGGAGTTGACGAGCACAGCCATCAGCCACGCCCTGTTCAGACCGGGCGCCGGCTGGTCGGCCGGGACGCTTCGTTGCAGTGCGCTGAGGATGATGACCGGGAAGGCGGTGGCGTACTTGGTGGCGTTGGCGAGGTGTTGACCGCCCCAGCCCGCCGACTCCTTGTAAGGCGCTCGTCGGACTCGCAGGTACTCGATGATGCATTGCCGGAATCGGATTGCGAACGGCACAGCCATGATAAGCGGCACCATGACTGTGCCACCGCAGTTGCGGTCCGGCCGAGCAGTCGAAGAGCCCGCCGGCGTGAAGAACATGCATAGCACAACGTACAAGTCCCCAAGTATCTTGGAGTAGCTCGTCAACACATCGGCAAGCAGGATGTCCCCAAACTTTCCATCCTTAGCCTCAGCCAGTCCCCCGATACTGACGCGGCGGAGCGTAGCAAGGAACCTCGAGCGCCCGCCTTGCGAAAAATTGCGGACGGGAACGAAGAACAGGGCCGCGAGGGCGACGAGGTAAGTCATTGGCAGCCAGTCATATTCGATGACGAGCGAGGGTGTCCGTCGGGTAAAGATCCAGAACGTCGATATCGAGAGGAAGAAAACGGTCGAGAGGACGGTCGCGAGGCGATACGTCGAGAGGTGATGCGCCGGCTGTGTCGGGGACGACCGAGAGGGATATCGGATCAGGGAGGGTACATCGATCTTGACTTTGTGTAGGTAATGCAGGTTGACACCCCAGCCCCAGACGGCTATCGTGCGGTTAGTGGCGGATCCTGAACGTCAGTTCCTTCGCAACCTACCAAGAACAATGACGAATCCTATGCGATAGGGGAGAGGGAAGGTTAAGCTGAACGAGTCGAGCTGCGACTCGACCTTGGGATCACCGTCCATGGTCGTTGGTGAAAGGGGAAAGAGTCATCGAGCAAGGAAAGGGAAAGGCGGACTCAAGAGAGCCAAGACTGCAGACAAAAAATGAGCGACGAGAATTCAAAGTTTCAAACGCATTGGGTGCCGGGTTTTTTCCAAGCGGAAATGTATCAGGAGGACTCGAGGCCGGCTTGGAGATGAGGATTGTCTGTGCCGTGTCCAGTTTAGGAGAAGAAATGTCAGCCTTATCGTTATCGGACGCGTGGTCAATGCGCAGAGGATCTGACGTACCACCCTTCCAGCCCACAATTACGTCTTGGGGTAAAGCTAACATCTCGAACCTTACTCCATGTCACGCAGTCAGCTAGTTGCCTTGACATGGATAGTGCTAAAAACGATTTCAAGAACTATTCTGCCAGCGACCGCACATTCAACTATTGTTCCTGCACTTGTACGATGAGACATGAAGTTCGCCATACCAAGGAATCCACGGAGAGAGGTAAGGGGAAGAATAGACATGCTTATTGGGCCATATGACTTGCTGGTCGAGTTGGTTCCCTGGCTGTACAGTTGCCGCCTGTCGTCCGGAGTACATAGCTGAACCTCGCTGTCCAGACTATTGGCCATAATTGCAGTAGCTTTCTTTATTCGCCCCGGCACAATCAAGAAAACCGTGTGAACGAAGGAGAAACCCGGGTCTTTTCAGAAAACGTGGGCCGGCTACCGGCTGGCTTCGAAACTCCTCTTTCCAGCGTCTGTGGGGAGAACCAACAGAGCAAGCATACATATGCGCTCCTGGTGGTCTTGTTTGCTCACTCGAGACGGGCTTTCTGGGCCATGGCAAGCAGAACAACAAGGGGGTCATTACAAGAGACATCTCCGCTGGATTCCTCCTACTCGCTTGCAACCACTTCCCGTACCACTCGCTCTTGCCCTTAGAAGTCATGATTCTAGGGCTTTACATCTTTTGGGTCGTCCCTCGTGGATGAGTGAGGGTGAAGTAGTGTGCTACCGCCGGTTTCTCAGAGACAACTCTCCGAAGCATGGCATGCTACTCCTCAACGAAAGTTCAACAATGACAATATACCTCACAAGGAGAACAGTTTGTTTTCACTGCTATGGGGTGTCTGTGGTATATTTGCAAATTATCCCGCTGGCTACTGCGATTAGAAAAATTGACGTCTCTCACGACCGGCGTTGTATTTCGGAACCCGCGTGCGTGCCTAGCTCAAAGCTGGTGAGAGAAAATCTGTTCCCGCCGTCGGTAAGTCTGCCGTTCGATCAGCAAATTCGACGGTGGAGTAAGTAGACTCTGACCGGGAACGGATGTGTGTGTGTGTGTGTTTGGAAAAGATACACGATAGGTTAGAGCAACGGCACAGCCGGGCGGCATGGATAACCCTGATGCTGTTTGTGGTCTCGGTACGTCTCCGCAAGACCAGGGACTCTCGCCAGCCGCATACAGGCTGGATTAACGCGATCAGTGTTCATGTTTGCTCAGGTACCGGTATCCTGCAAAGCCGCCCCATCCCTGCAACAACCAAAGAGCCGCAGCCAGGGAGGCGCACGCCACGCCAATTAGAGTCACCGAACCCAACCAGCCCTTATATACGAGCGTAACGACACCCGTCCAGTCTTACAAAGTGACGGAGCTCTTTCTGGCTTCACTCTCCCTTACTCAGGACTGCTCGATTCCGGAATGGGCTCCTGCTCTACGAGTATGGTGCTCTCCTCGGGCCTCTCCTGCTCGCCCTCGGACCCGTTCACCTTCTCGTCGTAAAACCCCTTCACGTCCTTGATGACTTGTCTCCCTGAAAAATTTGCCATCAGCCTCACCGACTGAGCCCCCATCATGCTCTGGTACCAATACGGAAACGCCCTGAGCGCCACCATCGCGTTGCCGTACGCCGGGAGAACGACGTTGCCGCTCTCGCCGCTGAGGACCTGCTTCACGATTGCCTCTGCGACAGTCTCGGGCTCGAGCTCCGGGAGGATGTACCCGAAACCCTGCTGGTACCCCTGAAAGAGCGGTGTCTTGGTGTAGCCCTGGTTGACGAGCACGGTGCGCACCCGCGGCGCGTTGTAGCGGGTTTTCAACTCGGCCGAGAGCCCGTCGTGGAACGCCATGGAGGCGGCCTTGGAGGAGCCGTAGTCGACCTTTTACTGTGTTAGCCGTTGGTCAAGACTACCGATTTCCTCACGGGTGCACCTTACCATGTTGGGAACGCATAGGAAGCTCGCAAATGACGCAACCGTCACGATCATGCCGTGGTTGTTCTTCACCATGTTCGGGAGGAACTCCTTGGTCGTCCAGTAGTGCGAGAGCGTGTTGACATCGAAGGTGAAGCGGACGTCGTGCTCCGTCGAGTCAAGCACCGTCTTGCCGCGCGCCACGCCAGCGTTGTTGATGAGCACCGTCGGGTGGCCGACTTTGGCACGGATCTCGTTGGCCACGACAGCGAGCTTCTCGGTTGAGGTGATGTCGCACTTAAAGTAGTGTACATTGGAGCCTATCACACGAGGCTCAGTCACGGATCTTACCACAGCGACCCCCTAAAAAAGGTCGGGAAAAGGCAACGGGGGACTTACCGGCTGTGAAGGTCAGGTTTTGGATATCCAACACTACGACAGTAATACCACGCTCAGCTAGAAACTGTACAATGTGTCCGCCAATTCCGCCAGCACCGCCCGTCACAAGGACGATCTCCCTGCGCCAGTCATACTGGTCGGAGGACCAGCCGTTCAGCACGCGCCGCGAGAGCCAGCTGCTTGCCCATCGCGTGAGGGCGCAGTAGGCAAGGAGCTTGACGCGGGAAAAGGCTGTGGGGTGCAGGATGGCGAGGTCGCCGCCCTTCTTGGTGTAGCGGGCGAGGAGCAGGAGCGGCAACATCAAAGCCGGGTTCAGGGCGGTGCGGGCGATGAGGCGGAAGATGGGGTCGGCGGTGAGGCCCTCGCGCGGGAGGAAGCCCTGGTGCATCGGCATCTTGGGCGATTTGGCGGTTGGTGATGGGCGCGGGGTTATTTTCTTCTTTTTCTTAATCGGTGACGATGTCCCAAGGAAATCGTGATATAAGCCTGAAATGTGGCAACGATGGCTCGCGCGGCCCAGGGAACTAAGACACCGGGCGGGTTATTGGGAAGAAGCGCTGGCAAATCCGAAGTATCGATACTTTCGAACCGAGACCCTTCAGCTTGTACTGGGGTGTAGAGGTTTGAAATGGGCAGCGAGGCCGAGCTACTGGCGGTGAAAGTGCCTCCCAAGTTGTTTGGAGTTTGGAAGGGGCGACGACATCGACATCAAACCACCATGTTTCTGGCGGCATGCGACCCCATACTCAACTCGTGGCTCTGGGGTTGAGGGGGTGATATTCATTAAAAGGAGAGGAAGACCAGGGTTCGTCGTCGTGCATACAATGCAATGTAACCGTCATGACCAATGTCCAATGACCCGCCCCTTGGCGAGACTGATGCTCCCGTCGGGATGCTTGTCCGCAGCGCGGAAGCGGTTCGCTTCACGAGCTGCTAGCTTTGCACAGCTAAGGGTATACATAGCATGGAGCCGAGGTCTGGCTAGCGCGGCCAAAGTGCGGGGGATTCTGGGGTACCCTTTGCTAGGTATTTTCAAGTTCGACAAGTCGGGATGCGGTGGCCCTGATAGGAAAGACGATGGGGTTAGAGCGCATAAGTGTGTGTGTGTGTGTGTGTGCCTATCAGCGCGACGGTTACTCGCATGTGGAATGCGAACCATGGTACGAAGTGTGCGACGGCCGTGGCCGACATGAAGGGCATATTACCCTTTTTAGAAAGCAGTTCGTTAGGTGACAGGGCACATGAACGCAGGGACTGAGCCCCGGGTTCCCAAATGGAGATGCTCGAATGGGTAATGAGTTTCCTCCTGAGTAATAGACCCGCTCCCTCTGATCGGATGAATGCTGCACGTGTACGGATACCTAGACTAAAAGTCAATCACAACCTTAACTACCTTGGGTTTCGGCTAACGTCCAGAGGTACGGACAAAGATGCTTGGGCCGTTGAGAATGTCCGCGCGTATTCACTTTATTTTATTCTATTTTTTTATTTTTCAGTCGCCGCGTTGTAACGTGACAAGTCTCGGGAATGCCTGCCAAGGAGAAGCCACGAGTTCATATCCACGTGGCAGGCTGGATTACGCAGTAAGAAATATATACTAATACATGCCTCCTGCGTATGGGTATCATCAAAGGTAAACAGCATTCGTTACTCACGCCACAAAAGTCTCCATCCACAGAAACAGCTCGTCTTTCTTCTTTCTCAGAGCATCAGCGCAGCGCCGATGCTCACCAGGCACAACCAGTGTGCGCCGCTCCTCCAGCTCAAGCTATTTCCGGCACCGAGCCCATCGCCCGGTGTCGCCTCCGGCTTGGGTCTACCGAGCGCGTCGCCGCTGTCCTTGTTGTTGCCCTTGTCGTTGCCCTTGTCGTTGCCCTTGTCGTTGCCCTTGTCGTTGCCCTTGTCGTTTCCCTTGCCGTTGCCCTTGTCAGGTTCGACCTGGATATTAGTCGAGTCGCCCGGCGCGAAAAGCACGCCGACGGCGTTGGCGGCGGTTGCGTTGAGCTCCTCCTCCGTCAGAAGCGCGTTGTTGAGCGCATCGCAAGAGGGCCGTCCGTCCTTCTCCTCGATACTGTTGGTCACGGAGATGGGCACGTCAAAAATGGTGTAATGGTCTTGGCCGTTGAGGCGGAAGTTTTGGCGGATGGAGATCTAATACCGTGCTGTTAGTCCGGACTGTGTCTTGAAACCCCCTTTTTCCTCGCGTCCTTTGCCCCTCCCTCCCCCAAAGCATGTGCCTTACGTTATAAGCGCCGCGGTCGCTGTCGGCTGAGTTGGGCTGCCCATTACCCACCAGACAGTCGGGCCAGAGCCAGTTGACGTGCTTCACCGTGCTGCCGGGTTCCTGGAACATGATGTCGCCGAGACTGGCATCGTTGGCCGTCGCCGTGCCGTTGGTGATGGTGAAGTTACGCCCAGTTACGTAGCTGGACAGGAACATGGTCACGTTGAAGATCTTGGTCGGACTGTCCTCGGCGTATGGCGGCAGCGGCATCCTGCCGTTAGTTGACACGTCCAGCGCGACATGGAGATTGTCTGTGTCCGCCCATGTTAGATGGTTTATTGACTTCACATGAAGCTTTCGGGTCCGATTACTGACCTCCGCCCAGCGGGGTTCCCGGTTGAGGCGCATCCAAGATGACCAGACCCGGCGTGAAGATCTGGCCGTTGGAGATGGTGAAGGTCTGGGCCGATCCGGAAGCCGCGAACAGGTACAGCAGCGCAGCCGTGTACGAAATGGGAGAAGAGCGAACCATGGCGAACATGGACGATGCAATGCCGGAAGCAAGCGGCCGGATGGAAAGAAGAAAATGTCGCAAAAATCAATAAACAAACGAAGAGATATGAGGAGAAGCACCTGTACATGCACCCACGCGACGGGGCAGTAATTAGTTATCCAGGCCACCTGAAGCACACACAAGACTCTGGAACTGAGCAAGACCCTGGGCGCAGTGGGAAAATAAAGTGAAAAAGTGGGAACACGGCCCTAGAAGCCAGAGGATTATTTCCAGGCGGAATGATGGATTAGGTTAGGGAAATGAGAATGCAAGCCACAAGTCGAGTCGAAAGCACTGAGATGGACGGAGTTGAGTCGGCGGAGTATTCGTTCGAGAACCAGCCGGGACAGGATCATCAATCCCAAGAGGACGGCGCACTATGCCATTCTCGAAGGGGGGGGGGGGAGGGAGATGATGCCTGGGAACCTCGACATCCCAATGCTGCTACGCCATCACCACCTCCTCTCGACCGTGACAGGGCGATCAGACGCACCAGCCAGTAGACAACCCTGATCGCAAAAGCATCCGGAGCCCCATACAGTCATGCCGTGTCCCGGATGGCGACAACCGGACCAGGTGTTCCATAGCTTACCCACGCCATCGCAACACATTGCGGCATCCGATCTCTCTCGGCTGCCCGTGCATGATGACGGTTCGAGAATCCGGATTCTCCCAGGCGAATGGGAGAAAGAGGGGAGGGAAGACAGCGTCGAGGATCGAGATGGATTGGGTGTTCAGCATTAAAGGCTAGGAATAAGATAGTAGCCCCGCGCGTGTAATACCTTCTTGACGCAGCACGGGTTTCAGATGGAAGAACGCAGCAGAGACGAAGGGGGAGGCGGCACAGGCGGAACTTGGCCAATTTGGCAAGCATCCATGCCATCGGGGCCCTCCCCTCCCGCTCTAGGGAGAGGGTAAGAGGGGCCGAAAAAGAGGCGAGCGTGTGTTCAGTTCGACCTTGGGACGCACGAGCCAACGCCTAATTATACTTGCAGCCAATGTCTGGCGCTGGAGCGGCGGATTCTCCGGCTCTTCTCGGTCTCTTCGGCATCGTCTCCGGCCGCCGAAAGCCGTCCCCCTGGCGACTCCAACCCATCCTCAGGCTTGGATTTCCAGGGACATGGCTGCAATATCACAGCAACCGGCAGCATATCACAGTTGAACGGAGTGTAGGCATTGGTACAATTCGAGATCCATTATTGACACCTTCCTGCAGGCAAATCCAGGGTGAAATTATGCGACATGAACAGAGTTGAAAAAGCAAAAGGATTGTCTAGTTTTTCTCGAGAATTTCTTTTGGTTCGTTTTGGTTCTTCCCAACGCCTCGCTGTCTTTTTTTTATGCAAACCTTACAAGTACCCTCCCCCACCAGACATTCATAAATCAGGTCCAGAGGATACATGTGCCGTCAGCGCCGGCACTCACGCACCACGGCTCCGTAGGGTGCCAGTCTACGTCCAAGACACCGAGCTTGTTGACGATCTTGTGGCCCTTGAGCATCTTGACGGGTACAATGGTCGGGTTCTCCATAAGGTCGCTAACGACCTTTCCGTGGAAGATCTGCAAAGTGCCGTCATCACTGGCGTCGGCGAACAGAGGGAAGCTGCGGTGATACTTGACGGCACGAATGGCTTCCGAGTGGAAGCGCATTGTCTTGAAGGGGCGGTTGGAGAGGTCGAGGTCGTGCCAGAGCAAACGTCTGTCGTAGGATCCCACGACAATGTTGTCACCGCCCGAGTGGACATCGAAGGACGAGATCCACCGGGCACCGGGCTGGATGACCTTGACAAGCTCCTGTCTCTGGAGGTCGTAGCAGCGGATCATGCGTTGGGTTGCAACGAAAAAGAGGGGTCGCGAAGGGTGGAACTGGGCCGTTTGGGCAAGGCCGGGCAGCTTGCGGAAGGGAATCTGGGTCAGATGCTTCGACAGCGTGTGGATCGCGACAGCGCTGCGCTGACCGTTAGGAGACACAGTGCTGAGGAAGTCACCGCGCCTGTGCCAGCTGATGACCTTGATGACGGATCTGACGGTGGCCTTGAGCAAGACACCGGCGGCCTCCAGCTTCGAGCCGGGCCTTGCCCACTTGCCGGGGTGCTCCTTGGTGACGGGGGCAGTAGGCTGAGGGTTCTGCGTCGCGTAACCGAAACCAGCGTCGAGAATGTCACGACTGGCCTTGTCAATGCCGTCGGCACCACGAGGGGGGACAGCGAAGAAGATGTCCTCGCCAGCAGCGGCTGCCAGAATGAAAGTCTCCTTGTTCGGACGCCAGCGGACGACGTTCACCGCCTCGTCAAGGCTGAGCTTGGCCATCCACTCGTGGCGACCGGTGCGGAGATGCCACAGACGCACAGTACCGTCATCGCCACCGCTTGCAAGCCACTCACCGTCAGGGCTGATGGCAGAAGACCGCACCCGCCCCTCGTGGCCTCGGAAGATGGTCTGACAGGCCGTTGGAAAGGGTCTAAGCTCCTCGGGGCGGGGAAGCTTGGGAAGAAGCGACGCGGGGTCGATGTTGAGCCTGTTCTTACGCACGCGAGGAGCCAGGTAGAGGTCGAGGCAGCGCTCGAAGCGCTCCTTGACAAACTCGCCGTAGGCGGGGACCTTGCGCAGTGAATCAAACTTGGCCGGCAGGTACTCCTTCTCTCTGTCCTCAGGGTCCGCCTTCTCCCACTCCTCCTTCTCAGCTTCTGTCGGGAGGTACTCGGGGGGAGGGTTGTAGCTGAGGTCGTAGCCAGGAGGGGGGAGCTTGGGCGCCGGGATGTTCATGACGTGCGGCGGGCGCTCTTCCTCGTTGGCCCAGATGTCGTAGTAGTTCTCTTCCTTCTCGGCCTCCTCCTTCTCCCTCTCTTCGGGCGGTTTGTAGGGCAGGATGCGTCCCTCTTTAATGGCCTTGACGAGCTTCGCGATCCTCTTAGCCTCGTGCTTGGAGGGGACGAAACGGCGTTTCGGCTCGGGCGCTGCGCTGAGGGGCATCTTCTCCTCGTGTGCAGTGAACCAGTGAACCATTTCCTGAGACTCGTTAGCGTTGTTGAGATTCAAGGATGGAGTTGTGGACGCTTACGGGGTAGGGGTCGTAGCCTTCCTCGGGAATCTCGTTCATCTGGACGCGGCGCAAAAGCTCGAGCTCGTCCTGGCTGAGGTTGAGCGGCTTGCCCGTTTGGGGGTCCGTCAAGCCAGTCCAGCCCTTGGGGATCTCAATGGTCTCAAGAAGGGCGTCCAATGCCTCACCGGTGGCGGGGCGCATGATCTTCTTGCCATTGATGTCGTATCCGATGTGAGGGTAAGAATCGTAGAACGACAGAGGGATGTTGCCAATGGTGTTGACAGGCTCCTGAGCATCGGTGTCGTCCGAGTCGTAGTCGGCGTCGATCTCGTCGTACTCGTAGCGCTCGTTGCCATTGGCGTCCTTGACAACCCTGTAGTTGGGTTGGTCGTCCTCGTCGCCAACGGCAGCGGCGGCAGAGTCCTTGTCAAGGCTCGTCGACTTGAGTTTCGAGGCGATTTCCTGATCATCTGCGTCAGAGGGGATATCATCGCTCAATATTTCCTCCTCTTCGTCCTCGTCTTCATCCTCTGACAACTCGCCGTTCAGGGCAGCGTCGTCGCCGTCAGACTCTGAGGTTTCTTCGTAGTCGGAATCATCTTCGCTTTGGGAAAAGACGCCCTCCAGGTTTGCATTGCCGAATTCGTCATCGACGGGCACAGGATCCTCCGCCTGCGGTACCTTCCGCTTGCCTAGCGCTTTGCGTGCCGGCATGTTGTGGTGGTAAAAAGGGACAAGACAAAAGGTGTTGAAATGGCTATTTTTGGAGCTTCAGTTTCGCGATGCAGATGCAGGCGGTTTGGGCGAGCGCCTTCTCTGGAATTTTTTTTTTCTGCCGTTCGAGGGTGTTAGCGCGCTCCACACCGCCTAGCGGGGTTGACCGAGTCCTTCCCCAAATCGGACGGGACTGCAACTCGGGAAAAAAGAATCAAAACAGAAACCTGCCCGGTGCCCTGCAACTAACACTTTCGATGCGATGCCATGCGACTCGGAGTGCAACACAACGCAGTACAGAGCCGACCCAATGCAGGGAGACAAGCCACCATCAAGGTCACAGGTCGATATCCACGATGATGAAGTGGTACATGGGGAGATTCTAGCACAAGTGGGCAATGCGCCACGATGGCTGCCACCTACACGGCGCCTTTCCGGCCATTCACGGTGTCTGGCAGTGCATGGACGGCCCTACAGCGCACCCTTCAGCCGCCGTGCTGCTAAGCCAGAAGCAACCACCAGCGCTGAACGCACTACAACGTAGGCCGGTACGAGAATGTGCACTTGGCACTAATGGACGCAGCACAGCACGCCGAACCAAGATCGGGACGAGTGAGAATGTCTCCATTGCACATGTTGACGGATCGCGGAGTCATCTCAGGGCGGCATTGCGACTTCTTTCCATGCCCAAAGGGGGGCTGTCCCCGTGGATGTTCCAATGTTCCGTCGTTAGCCCAGCCAGCCATGCCAGTTCGGGCTGCACCGAGACGACTCGCAGGGAGAAGTTATTCTCCTATACCGACGACTTAAATGGCTTGGGCTTTACGAGGCACTAGGCCAACCATGGGCGTCGTGAGTACTGCCTCTACTTTGGCCCAAGAAAACCGCCGTCTGACACCAAAGTGAGGCAGGCGTTGGTACCTGAATTCCGTTGCGAAGCTTGGTACGATATGAGAGCAAATTTCGTGGCTTGTTCTGACCGAGTCAAGGGTTCCTTGGATTTCTTGGCATGAGCAGCAGGTGTTTGTGTGTTCTGGCCGGTTGGCTTTGCTGCCTAGAAGGTACTCTCGATATGGTGACGGAAGAGCCGGTAGGGCTTCAACTGTGAAGTGGCCTAACCGTCTAACAGGGGATACTGAGGCCCTGGCCTTGGGCTCCGTCTTATGCAGGTGAGGTGGTGCTGACGCCGCTTCGAATCCTTTGAAGATGAGACTTAAGAGTGACTGCGGAAGAGGGCATCCAAAGCACTGTATTCTTGTGTATCTTTCATCTATCGAGGTACCCCTGCCTTATGGATGGCTAGCTACCTTACTTACCTACCTGCCCACCTAGTGCACATCAGAAATGACCAACTTGGTCCTAGGTGGTGGTCGACGCCGTAGACGGGACAAGTCCCTCCACTTCGCTTCCCTTTTCTTTGGTTGAACTCGTGCGGCTTTCTTCTTCATCCCCTCGCTGACGTCGTCATTGTTCTCGCATCTCACAGTAGTCTTTCGGTGTCACCATACACATGCTTCCACCTCGTGGGTGCCGTGGCTCTAAAAGCAAGACACCCCGAGATTTAGCTGGAAAGCAAGCCACGGGCTGAATCACATAAGCAGCAAGGGCTCCGTCGTCGTGCTCTCATCGTATTGGCTGGCGTACAGAGTCGCGGACGCCAGCACCGCATCGCATCTCCTGCCCACAACTCCCGTCACTCACATATAACCCTCCTGGATGCCGCACTCTCTAACAGTGTGGGAAGTTCTAAGTAATTAGAATAGTTCGTCAATCGCACATTGCCAGGCGTATGCGACAGAGTCTTTTCTTCTTCTTCTTATAACCCCCCTTCCCTTATCATATCAAGCCATGCCCCAGAGTAGTCCGCAGTCCAAGTCGGTCGACGGTGTCGTCAAGCATCGTGCGTGTGATGAGTGTCGTGAGTTCATATCTGCTTGGCACCAACCGGCCTTAAGTTGCTAATGAGAGTCTACAGGCTCGCGGAAACTTGCCTGCACCAAAGAGCCTGACGGCTGCTCGCGCTGTAAGAGAGAGGGCTTGAGATGCGTCTACTCGCCCCAGAAGCAAATGGGCCGGCCACGGAAGCGCAGACATGTCGAAGAGTCGGAAAGATCGCCCTCTTCCGACAAGCCTCAGAGACCAGATGAGCAGCCGCAGGTGCCGCTCTTCACGCAACCAACCTTAGACACCGATTTCTCAGCCTTCTTCACCCAGGACTATTACTCCAACTTTGACTATCTTGACCTACTCTCTCCTTTGGAAGGCCCGCCGCCGTCCACGCTGCCGCCTGAGTTATCGAGTCTCAGCATGGCCCATGCCGAGCCACGGTATCCCGCGGAAGACTTCCAGTTGGGTGTCGGTGGTGTTGACCTGTTAGGTGGCATCAACTTTAGCGAAAGTGACTCTGCTGACGAGGGCTTGCCTCAAGATATCAACAAAAGCTTTACTAGCCTATCCTCAGAGCAGGTGCCCGGGAGGACAGGGTCAGGCGTCTCCCCTCCTACATCATCAGAGACATCCCGCACGCTCAGCACAAGCGACCCCAAGTCTCCCTCTAGCTGCATCAACGACGCCAAAGGCATCAATCCAGAGTCAGAAGCCGCTGTCAAAGCGTACAGCAACGCCTCGTGTCCCTGCCTTTCTCAGATGTTTCTTTCTCTGGACGCCTTATCGAGACTACCGGGTGATGTCAAGATCGCCAGGGGCATCGCTAGGTCAGCAGCTCGGGTAGCCCGCAATGTTATCCGCTGTCCGGCATGCAGCCTTACAGACTTTACGAAGCCGCCGCCGATACAAGCGTTCCAGAATATGATGATGCTGAGCGCTATTTTCTCATCGACCACTAACGCATACGCCAAAATCCTCGAGCTCATCGATAACGAAACCGCCCGGGCCATTAAAGAGGCTCGAAACATTACCTTCTCTTTCAACGAGTATGGCGGACTCTGGGGCGAGATGCGCTGCAGTGCACCTCGGATGGTTGAGGGCCGAGAAATGGACCCGGCCACCTGGAGGGTTTCTACCAGGGCACTTTTGAGGATTGACATTTACGGATACGATTTTGAGAGAAAGGACGGGGCGGGCTCTACTGAGCCGTATCATTACCTCGGTCTCAGGGACATCATCAAACAAATGGAAGACAGGTCGAACAGACGACACGACCAGCTTCACGCCATGGTTGCAGCCGGGCTTCCTCACCCGATGCTGCACACATGCCAGACCTTGATGGTTCCGGAGGGGAAAGATGGCAGTAGAGAGAACCGGCACTGCTTGAAAATCATAGACATGGCGCGGATTGCTTTGGATAAGTTGGTGATTTCCTGAGTCGGAGATCTCGGGATGCTTTCTTTTTAGTTGCAAAAGAGGGACGAGCGGGCTCGCACACGGGAGGCCCCTTGAACAACTCAGGGTAACGACGTAAGGACACTGCAAAAACGGATTTGAAGCGACTCTTGCGAGCGAAATTTGAATTTGTTTAGACTAGGCATGGAACATGGAGTGGAGAAATTGAAACATTCCATTCGAGACGAGGCTTGCCTTATTTCTGGACGGTCAGTCCTATCACGATGAAGAAGCGGACCGCGCTAAGGATATTGTCCGCAGATTGGTGTCGCAGAAGATTCCAATGGCAGCATCCAAGATGATGTCGACCCCAAAGACCATGTTCCATGACGGGTTCTATGCAGATGTCGGCCCGGGCAGCAGATGCCAGCAGGTGAGACTGCTGGAGCGGCACCCGCAGCAACCAGATTCTCGGAACAGGCCTGGAGAGAAGCCCGTTGAACGGAGAGAATTCCAGGCCCGTCAGCGGCGCTGGGAGGCACGTGGGAGAGAAGGGGGAGGAGGGGAGAAGGTCGCGGCCGGCCTGGAGACTCACGGCGGCTGCCATCTCCTCACCCCCCTCTCTCTCGGTGGCTGGTGGGCTAATGCTGGGACAACAAAGGACGTTTGCTATTGATAGCCGGGTCGAGAGTGAGCGGGATAACGGTGTAATTAAGGAAGGACGAAGAGGATTGGTCCGACTTTGTTGCCGTATCGCTTAGCTCTCGTAGTCCTTCTTCCTACAAAGACCTGTAACATACATATATACACGATGGGCAGTTTTTGAGCATTTCTAAGAGGACCGGACGTCGCGTTACGGAGGCGCCGGCCGACGCTACGGGCGGCAGCAACGGATGAGCCAAAGCGGGGGGTGGGGCAATGGGACTATAATCTGCGAATCTCGTACATAGTAATTATATCGGTCCCCCCCCCCCCCCCCCCCATATCAATTAAGGGCTACTCTGCTAGTGCAGGAGACTCCAAAGTCAGCTGGACGGACCTATCGTTTCCGTATCGGCGCGCAGGGTGGAGAGGTCAACCGCGGCAGTCACGCATGGGATGGCTTCGATGTCGCTGGAGAAGATCGGACGTGTTTCCCCCGGCCCCGTCGTACGTTGTCCGATTGACCGTGGCCCTCCCTCAAGGCCTATCCCCTCAAGGCCCCGAACTTGGAGACCAAAAGCGCGAAGCCCGAACACGTGCCAACAGCCACAGCGGCAGATTGTTGTCGAGTGGCAAAGGGGGATGGGAAACGGTGACTAATGACGGCCCTGATGGGTGCGGAGACGCTAAGCCCAATCAGAAGCACGCTTGTATCAGTCTATGTATGCAACACGCATCATGCAACCGTGGGAAAGTCGATTACGGATACGCCAAAACAGCACACGGCCGTGACAGCGCGGGAGAAGTGAGGAGACATCTGCCAAACCCAACGCCTCATCATTTTGCTATGGCGTTGGCCTGCAGGACTCCTGAAGTGCCAAGGACACACCTCAAGCCCGCCCAGCGCACTCGCTCACTGACCCGCGGTTTCGCCCAAGGTTTTTGCGCTATCGCGTCTTGCTACCTTTGGGGGGGTGTTTTCCCACCTAAAAAGGTCGACTGACTGCCTGAAGCACTGGCGACTACGGATACTGACCCCTTACCCTGCTCCAGACCCAGCGTCTGTGCTGTATTAATGTACTACTCCGCCCCGTGACAGGCTGTCTTTACACATCAATCCCCGTTGACGATCACCTCTCTCCTCTCGGTTGTCCGCACCTAGAGTCCCGTACCCCTTGTTCTCTTTTTCTAATCTACATTACGGATACGTCTGTGCGAATCTCGCTCTCTTTAAAAAAACAACCCTTTTTCCTTCCCCCAGGCAAGACATTGGGGCCCTTTCGCTACGCGTCTTGCTCTGCTGTTGTTGTTGCTTCTTCTTCCTCTTCCTCTTCTTCTTCTTCATCATCCCCTTATTGGGTTTCTTTTTTCTGACACACATACCACCGGCGGCTGCAAGCCATTTGTCTCGCCTCCCGAATAGGTAGTCACCCAGAACTCATTGTTCACCCCCAAAGTGATCGCCCAAAACGTCATTTGCATACCGGCCACTTTCTCGCCTCCCCCCTCCCACCCAGACGTCACACCGTCATACGCACGAGACGACCCTCCTTCCTCCTAGTGCCGTTCGAACCAGCCAGGCTAATGGCCCCCCCGCCACCCTACGCAATAGCGACCGGCGGTCAAGATGATCCTTCAACATTCGTCGCAGCGGTAGTAGCAACAGCATCAGCAGCAGCAGCAACCATGATTCCCGTCGCGACCACGACAGAATCCCTCGCAGGCGCCATCGCGACCGCTGCTACGACACACGGAGATGATGGTGGAAACGGCGAGTGCAGCCTGCTCGGCTCCTTTGCCCTCATCGTCCAGGCCGCTCTTGGTGGACTCGCCTTGCTGTCTCTGGTTTTCAAGCGATGGCGAGAACGGCCGCAACGCCCCGTCAAGATCTGGTTCTTCGACGTTTCCAAGCAGGTCTTTGGCTCCGTCCTGGTCCACATTGCCAACATCTTCATGTCCATGTTGACGTCGGGACGCTTCTCGGTAGCGCTGGACCCCTCCGTGGCAGCCAACGCCCGGAGGTTCTTGAGACGGGATGAGGATTACACTCCCAACCCGTGCTCGTTCTATCTGCTCAACCTCGCCATCGACGTAAGCACTCTTTGCCATTCTACGCCCCTTGTTTAGACTAATGGCTAACTTTTTCTGCAGACCACGATCGGTATCCCCATCCTTATCGTGCTCCTCCGAGTCCTGACCGCCATCATATCACAAACCCCTCTGGGCAAGCCCGAAGAGTCGATCCGGTCCGGAAACTACGGCAACCCTCCAAACGTCTGGTGGTGGCTGAAGCAGTCGTTCATCTACTTCTGCGGCCTCTTTGGCATGAAGTTCTGCGTCCTCATCATCTTCCTCCTGCTGCCGTGGATTTCCCGCGTTGGTGACTGGGCCTTGCGGTGGACCGAGGGCAACGAGCAACTACAGATCTTCTTCGTCATGATGTTCTTTCCGCTCATCATGAACGCCATGCAGTACTACATCATCGACTCCTTCATCAAACAGCCGCAGCATGAACATGAGCGTCTGTCGGACGAAGACCCCGATTGGAGCGCAGGGCACACGGGCGGTGGCCCGTACGATGACACTGATTCGGCGGATCAAGAGGATGCGGAGTCGAACGATGTCGCGAGCCTCAAGTTGAGGAAGGCGAAGCATGTGGACGATGCCGAGTATGACCCGGACGTGGACGGTGATGTGCCGACAGTCGTTGACAGCGGTTCGAGCCGGTCAAGCCAGCAGAGAACGGACAAGGATATCTCGGCGGAGCTCTTTCCCAAGGAGTAATTTCACTTTTGTTTAATATTTCGAGCATGGGCATAGGGTAGCAACATCTCATCGGACCGGGCCTGGATCATTTCTCTTGGAGGCCGCAACAATATGGAGTTGGTTTGTGCGCATATATTTTCCACCTTTTCGAGCAATCCCTTCATGTCATGTACCACCTTGAACGATAAAAGGGTCATGCGCAGCCAGTGAATACTTTTTTATAGCGAATGTACCGTGGCGTGCAGAAAATCTGAATTCAACTACTAATCCCCACCTACCCACATGACTTCAGACTTTCTGCATGTTAATGCAGAGCGATGTGGGCGACGTAAGCCAGTAAGCCGCCGTGAACGCAGTGTTCATCTCACCTTGGAGGGCGCGTCATCATCCTGACCTAATAATACGCATACTTCTCGCCAGATGTGGCAAGCTTTTTCAAGGGAGGGGGGTCAGCACCCACATCCGTCCTCTAACGCGTGTCTAGTGTAGGACTGAGCCCACGCCGAAGTCAATGGCGGCCGTCCCGGACGAAAGTGGCCCATCCTGATGCGCGCGGAGTGTCATGTTCTCTTACGAGCACCGCTTCATTGCCTGTGCACGCACGCCACGGAGAGAACATTCGGCAACGCCGGATCCCTTGCCGAGACGGACGTCCAAGCAGGTCGGGCCACGGCGTCGAGGGCTGCATGCGGGTTATCCTGGCAAGTCTTCGGCGTCAACGAGTGTCGTTCGCATTCGGTCGCGGTCCCCCCCCCCCCCCCCCCATTTCCCGCTTGTAGGTATTGCGGATATGTAACTTCGCTGTTGGCTGCTACGAATACCGAACATCTGTCGGTTCGTCAGGAGGAAACGTGAGAAATAGGAGACTCCCTCCAGCGGCTTGAAACTGCGTTAGTTCAACACTGCAGTCAAACCTTTTGTAGGGTGCGCAAAGGGTCTAGGGCAAGGTTCCGAGGGGAAAGCTGCCAAGATATTGTGACTAACCTACAGTCAACTCATCTAGCTCGGGGCTTTACCTTTGTCTATTGTACAGCTCTGTAGACCCATGTCCAGTATCAACTGTCAAGCCCGATTTGAGAATTGCCACACTCCCCCTGTTCCAGTGGGTCTTTAACTTGGTGTGGCCAGGGGAGGAGAAGAAGGGTGAGCGACGAAAAGTAGACGAAATCAAACATGTCTGCATGTGTCTATTATGGCAGTTCTGACCGATGTTCACAATCGGATGACACTCACTCCGATATGGTAAGCGTAAGCCTAAGCTATCACACTCAGACGACATCCCAAGATATGCCAATTCGTTGACATTTGCCACTTTCAGAGCATCGCTTCTTTCAGCACTGGTCTACGCTCTTCCATCCTCGACCATCGATTCGAGGACGGCAGAACGTAGCATCGCTACAAAGATTGGAGTATGTTTACCCCGTGTCGTACTTGAAGGAAATCTAGTAACGCTGCATTACAGTACCATTTGCCCAATGGCCAGAGAGAAATGGCGAGGCTAGGTAACACTGCCCAGGTCGACTCTACATGCGTTTTATACTTGCGTCTAATGCCTTTATCAGACAATCATAATTACCTGTGTCTTTTTGTTCTCGGTGATCAACTTGGTGTTTCTCTGCGGTTGATTGGGTCTAACCTTTGAGTGAAATATAAGTCCGCGCCATGAATCTCTCCCCAAGTTTCCCGGCCGCGTATGTATCAGCTGTCCTATCCACAACGTAGCTGTTGAAAAATGACAAGTTTCCGGTGCGCTCCCGGACGCTATCTTGGAATAGACGATCTAAAAGAGCAGTGGATGTACTCGCAGCCATTTGACTCTATTCGTAGTCGGTTCATGAAGTCTTCCGTTGGCGATTGGAAAGTGTATCTGCAAAAGTGCTATGAGTAAGTTTTCTCTCTTCTATCCTACGCAGCATATGATGCGTAGGCCGTCCAGCTTCATGGTCAAACCCCGGCGGACGGGCTTGAGGCTTTTAGCATGGCAACACTGACTCGCGCCCACAACCGGACCGGATGGAAGTCGGAGAAGGAGCCCGCTCCGGCCCCACCTCAAGGCAATGCTCCGTCCCCGGCGCCGGCCTCATGATGTTGCCACGGCACATCCACGTCGTCAAACAAAAAAGGAACACACCTACACCTGCTTCCGGAAATGAGGCGTGGCATTCAACCAGAGCAAGGGTCGGCTTAAATCTATCAGAACGAGGCGCTTAAGTGGTACCGATCATTTGTGACTTTGTGATTGACTGGTGTTTCATTGGTTCGGTAAAAGCTATATAGCAAAAAGCAACGATGCTTCCAAAACAATCAGGGTTTCCAATCCACATTAAGAATCAGAATCTCCCCGCAGCTGGACATTGATAAGTTGTGTTGTGGACACGGAACGCCTTCCATGTCGGGAATCGGGAAGCCCAGGGTCTGGGCGGACAGATAAGGCGAGTGGGAAGAGCACAACTTTAGGCTGAGCGAATCCCCCTCCTACCCCGGTTGTCGAGTTTCGCTCCTCGCCTAGCCAAGATTCCTCGGTTCCAGGTTGATCATCAAAGAGGTAACTATGCGCCGAGGTGCATATGCATGTTTGCACGTTGTCCCGTTTTGTCCCCGACCAACCGTCCAACACAGAAGAGGGGCACCTGCCAGAGATGATCTGTCTTGTGGCTACAAAAACATTGGCCAACCCCCAAACGTAGTTCTTTCCTTTCCTTTCCATTCGCATTATATATCTCGAATTCTTGCTCTCATATTTTGGGGTTTGACATCATATCATACCTGGCACCATGTCTCAAGACAACCCCACTATTGTGCTCGACGTCGACGACGAGGTGAGTCCAGCCAACGGTTGCGTATCCATCATGTGTGCTAACCTGATTGTCATCTCAGCAATATGATGCCCGCTCGGAAGTTGGGAGTGTAAGTCCGAGCTTCTTATCCAAGATTCTTGGGCAGAGTGTCTAACATGTTGTTCTTTGAAGAGCGTTGCTTCATCGACCACCAGTGTCCGCAATTCACTGATGGACTACCGGGTAGAGAACGGCAGAACCTACCATCGCTACAAGGACGGCAGTATGCCTGACTAAACCATCTTTTGAGAATTTTGCTGACCGTAGTGCCAGAATATGCCTTCCCTAATGATGACAGGGAGCTGGATCGCCTAGGTTAGTCTCTCCACTTCCATGGAACCATGGCCGTTCTTTATTGACAGCGCCTCTAGATCTGCAGCACCAGATATGGCTTCTTCTCCTTGACGACAGACTCGGTGTTGCACCACCTTGCAAGGAAGGTGCGCAAGTTGGCCGTGTTCTCGACGTTGGTACTGGCACCGGCATCTGGGCTCTTAACTTTGGGGATGAACACCCCGAGGCTGAGGTTCGTAATCTTCTTAGTTCATAAGGCTCAAAAAGCCTAGAAAACTCATAGTTTTATGCCCTGAATATCAAGAGCGACCTGACCCTGGGCCAATTTATAGGTCTACGGCGTCGATCTCTCCCCTACCCTGCCTGGCTAGTACGTAACGCTTGAATCCAAATAGCATGTTGCTGAGATAGTTTTCATTTACTTCAACGGTACTGACAGTTATAATATAGCGTACCACCGAACGTCACGTTCGAAATTGACGATGTTGAAGAGGAATGGACTTGGAGGCAGCCTTTTGACTATATCAATAGCCGAACCATGACGGCCAGCATTGGCAACTGGGACACATATCTACGCCAGTGCTATGAGTAAGTCTGCCGTTCTCCTTAGGAAGGACAGTCGAGACCTACGTCAGAATTCAGTGTGTTTGGCATCAAGGCTGATTACGGGTGATCTCAAGCAACCTTGCTCCAGGTGGTTGGGTCGAATTACAGGAATTCGATATCGTTCCTAGGTCTGATGACGGAACCCTCTCGGAAGACAACACTCTCTTGAAGTGGGTCAAGCTTCTAAAGAGTGCTTCAGAGACACTAGGTCGCACCTACGTCTCGCCCCCGTCGTTGAAAAGTCTTCTCTCTGAGATAGGTTTCGTTGACGTGTCGCTGAGCGTCTACAAGTGCCCACTTAACTCATGGCCCAAGGACCAGAAGTACAAAAAGCTTGGCATCATGTCGTGCGAGAACCTTCTGGCTGGTATAGAAGGGTTCACTATGGCATCTCTAACGCGCGCTTTCGGTTGGACGCCCGAGGAGGTCAACGTCCTCTTGATCGATGTGCGAAACGAGATCAAAAACAGAAACATACACTCGTACGCGCCATGGTGTGTTTCCCTGCACCCACTGCCTCTCTTCCTGGAACTCTGTTGTATTAACATGTACTCTAGGTACTGCATCATCGGGAAGAAGCCGGAGAAGGAGCCCACTCCGGCTCCTCCGGCTCCTCCTTCTGCTGAGGCCGCCTCATCCACCCCGGCCTAGGGACCAGCCAAGAGCCCACCCCCGACCTCATCCTAGGCCACGGTAATATCATGAACGAGGGCTATCCAGTATCAAACGATTTCAAGCACTTGGTTGACAAGTCAAGCCGAAGAGAAAGAGACAGGGCCGAATTTCCTGAGCTCATTGCACATTCCGCATTATTTCCACTAGTAATATACAAGTATGCGATACTATGAAATTGAACGTATCTGAAAAACCCTATACATCGTTCTAAAACCGAGGGTTGAGACTGTGACAGTGTTAGTGTTTCCTCGCAGATGGGGTGACAAGACGGACCAGACCACGGCTCAGCCGTCGGCGCGGGCGTCCAAGAATGCTCCAGCCAAAGACTAGAAGCAGAAAACGAGCCCCGAAAGGAAAAAGAGCTAGCGACGGGTTCGGTCAGTATGTCCACGATGCGGCCTCGGCGTCTAGCGTAGAACCCACAAGTCCGAATATGCCATCCGACATCGGCCCGGCCTCCGTTCTCCGCCGTCGTCTCCCGTGGTGCCCGGGCGTCGTGTACATGGCCATCCTCGGGGCGTGGACCTGCTTGCGTTCTCCAGCGACTTCTTCTTCTTCTTCTTCATCATCTTCTAGTTTAAAGAAGCATGATAATCGTTAGCCGCCTCGTTCGACAACCCGGTTGACTTGCGTGACTTGACGCACGTACCGTCGCTGTGCGCCGGAGGGCGGCCGCGGCGCCTCTGGACGCCCGGATCCCGCATCATTTCGTTGCGACTGACCGGCTGCTCAGTGATGACCTGAGTCCTCGACGGGCTGTCCTGTTCCATGGCTTTGGCCGCTATCTGGAGGACGCGCACGAGAGCGTCAAGGTCGAGAAAGAAGGGGGGGAGGGTGGTCCGCAAGGTTGCTTCGATGTTTGAGTCCTGTAGTTTAACCTCTTTCCATGCTCGCCCAGGAAGCGCCGAAGAGCCTGACAGCTCGGTGGCGATGACACACGGCGGATGTCGAGGCGGCTGCCTGCCTGCACGTGCCCGGTTGAGAAATCGGTGGTCAGACGGGGGCGGGTGGGCGTCAGCATCTGCTGCGGCACGGTACTTTGGCACGTCTTTTATGTGGACCCGGGACGTAGAGCGAGTCCGCATTCTTCGACTTACATGGAAAACGGCGTGATAATTGAGCCTTCTTACGCGACTTGAAGGCCCCCGGTGTGTAGTCTGTCTTTCAGTCTCGCTCCCCACGCCGGTCATCTTGATCGAATGTGTAGTTTGCAGTATGGCGCGCAAAGGAGCCGAGATGTTATGCAATTGAAGACAAAACACATCGTGTATAATTTCGTCCAAGCTGTCATTAATCCATGGACAAACCCAGCCTCGTATGTACAGGAAACCCCATGCAACGTCTCATTATCCATCCCTGACTGGGGGCCCTTCTTTGACTCGCATGACCGCCCCTCTATTGATCCGTGGCTTGTACGATGCCCTTCCAGAAACCGCATCGGGACTTCTGCCCGTCGTCGACGTTCTCCATGCGGTTATTGCCGATCTCGAACACGAACCGCGACTGGTTCCTCCCCCAGGTGCCCCAGACTGGCGCGCCGTCGAGCTTATAGGTGTTTGGGTTCAAGTCCCGAATGAAGGATATCCAGTAATTCATCATCAGCAAGACGATGGGCTTGTTGTACGTGCGGAAACTGTCGGGCGTCGGACACGAGTCGATGCCGAAGATGGCGGGCGCCTCGAATACGTGCGGAACGCCGATCCCGGAGGCAGTGTTTTGGTTGTCCTGGACGTTGAAGCGGTAAGACCAGCTCATGGAGGACCGATTCGCGGTCGCGTAGGCGTCCATGATGTTGTTGGCCGGACAGATGAAAGTCGCCTCGCCGTAAGCCTGGCTGGCGGAGGGGAACCAGGCGTTGTGATTCGGGAGGGCAGGCATAAGCGGGTAGTTCTTCGACATGAGATCGGTCTCATTTTTCGTAAGCTTTGGGTAGTTGTCCGCTATGAAGGAGACGAACTCCTCTTCAGTTGCGACATTGGCGGCAAAGACGGATCCCTCTGTGGACGGGGTGAGTCACGAAAACATCAAGAGCGTAGAGGGCAGGCTTACCGTCAGTACCAGTGCCGAAGAGCACGGGCACCTTGAGGAAAGACCCCTTTTCGTAAAGCCGGTATGGATAGTCCTGCAGGAGGTCGCCATCTACGCAGGGGGTCCAGTAAAAGCGTGGATTTTCCGACCTCCCCGGAAACGGCGAGCCGATGTTGGCGTCCTGAATGGCCTTGATGTCCTTGCTCCGGAGACACCCCATCTGGTCCTTGTCGTCCTTGCAACCGACCTTCTCCACCGTCTTGTTGAACTGGTACTCGAGCTCGGGTACGCGAGGCTGGGCAGGGAAGAAGACGGACTCTGACATGGCGCCTACGAATAGCTTGTCGTCCCTTCCGCCGTAGGCCGCGAGGTGGAGAGCGACTGAGCCCGCACCCGCCGAAAGTCCATGAATGACGACATGTCCTGGATCTCCCCCGAACTAATTGAGAGAGTTAATATGAGTTTGGCGTGGCGTGTGGCCGTGGGAGCTGGATATCACCTTTGAGATGTGGTTTTGAACCCATTTCATCATCAGTCGCTGGTCCAAAAGCCCCACGTTCAACGCTCCATCCTTCCTAACGCGCTCACTCGCTAGAAACCCCCACAAGCCGACCCTGTAGTTGAAGTTGACAAAGACAATGTTTTGGTCGGAGACGTCGACGACCTGAGAGCCGTTCCAGTTGGGATTGGCATTGGAAGTGTAACCTGGGGTCACGTCAGATAGAGATTCTGGCTAAACGCTCGGCGAAGCTGAGAGAAACATTGGCATGCAAGACTCATTCCGCGAGACGATGTCGCAGCTGAGTGAAGAAAGCTTTACCTCCACCTTGGATAAACAACCATACAGGGAGCTTCGAGTCCGGTGTCGTGTTATTGGGCGACCAGACGTTGACGAACAGACAATCCTCGTCTTGACCCGAGGTTGGATAAGTCACATCCGTCCCGAGGCATATCGGCCCAAACTGGGGATTTGGTCAGCGGGGAGAGCACTCGAATACTGCGAGACAGCAGGACGTCTCACATCGATGGCATCCGTCGTGCCCTCCTTGGGCTCTGGGTCTTGAGGAGCGCGCCATCTCAGGTTTCCTATGGGAGGCGCCGCATATCGCATCCCCAGAAACTGGTTCACGCCGCCGGGGAGTACGTTCCCAGAATACCTCGCATAGCCGAGATCGACCGTCACCCTCGGCAGTTTGGCCTGTCACTCGGCGTTAGCGCTTCCGATACACAACGCACAAAAGGTCATGAGGTAAAAAGAGACATCGAATCGAACCTCATCCCGGACTGTGAGGTATTCACGAATGTTGAAGTAGAGTACGACAGACAGGGCCGCGAGGAACATGCTTGCGATGGCAACTGGCGCAGAGTATCTCCGCCAGTCGATCTTCCTCCTCTTCATGGCGGCGGGCTGGGAGAGGGGGGGACATATTTCGGCGTCATCTGGTCCTGCGGGCTGCGCGGCGCGAACCCACGTGAGAGCCACCGTGGGTACAAGCCCGGCTTGGGGAGAAAAAACCGAGCGGGGGAAGAGATAGACGAGACTGAGATAGCAAGAAAGTGCCTAAACTAGCGGCTGCATGCTGTGTTCCGAGGAGCGATCCGAGCCAATCTCACAGACTCGCTGCAGCAGTGAGATGACGCGGGTAGGATGCCGAAGATGAGTCCTGGGGAACCCGTGGGATAGATCTCCGACTCGCCCTGGATGCGCAGAAGGGTGAGGTTATATCGGTTGGTTCAGAGAGTAGTGGAGGTTGGACTGCAGCCAAGAGAGAAGGAAGGAACCGGGGAAGGTTGAGCCTTGACGGCGTCGAGCATGTCTTCCTCAACTCTCGCCCGACTCGGCCTTCCCCATACTGATGTTTTCCTGCTACGTCTCCTGGCGGGGGAGGTGGGCGTGGATTAGCGAGAGTATTATTACGGTATACCGCCCACTTTACGCAACCTGGGTACCCCAGGGCCTCCCCCCCATGTTGGCTGCGCTACGCCTACACTACGGACTCGGGAAGGGGCACGGCCTGTGTCAGTGCATTGCCAAGTTGCGAGTCGCGGTGACGTCGTCAGATCGACTGGCGCAGCGTTCTGGAAGCCAGAGATACCCTTTGAGGAGATCCAGCGAACCCGCCAAGAACCACATCCAGCAGCACGACTTGGAGGGTGCAGAGCTCGCTGATTTTGGCAACACACTAGGTACCTAAAGGCTAATAACAGTAAGAGAGAGAGACCCGGAGCAAACGAGCGTATGTACTACAGAGTCCGCACAATTTGTTGTCGAGCAAAATCGGCTCAACTCTCGACCCGTGGGAAAACAGAAGGGTTTTCGACGCTCAGACAGCATGGGCAACAGAGAACCTCTGACAAGCTGGTACGAACACGCAACAGACGCGACGGCTCGTCCCTCTGCGCAGGGGACTGCCAGCTTGGCGCTTCATCCGATAGATGATCACGCAACTGGCTGACAAGCTCTCATCCTTGCCCAGGGGGGGGTTGGTTCTCTTGTGCCAAAGACCAAGATACGTGCGTTGATCCTTATCCTATGTCACGGTGTTCTAGTCGCTCTTTGCATATTTGGCGTCACTGCTCTGATTATTGTGGCATTTGGTCGGGGTGAAACTGGGCATCGCCCAGGGAGCCGTGGCCAAGATGAAGCACAGAATACTGGGGAAGTCTCCAGCGGACGCATGGGCAGCTGAACGAAAAAGTAGAACCGGGGACCCGGAGAGACACAAGCCAACTCCGCGGTCTTCAGTGCGGAGTACAAATACACTACGTAGTATCCGTACTCCGTACATAGCTTCTAGGTAGGTACCTACCAGTAGGTATTGTAGAATACCGGCTCGGTGCCGAACGGTGTCCGCGCTTAGGTAAGCTGGCGAGTATAATAAGAAGAGGTGAGGTGCGATGGATCCAAGACATCTGGCTTGTTTCGTGATGCTGTCTGTCCCATAGACTCTTTTCCCTCGACCTGTCCTCTTGTCTCGGCCTGACGAGCGCCAACAAAGGGAGACATAGCCCGGCGGCACATCCGCTTTGCATACGGCGATTGAAGATGACAGCCAAAAATAGCAACAGCGTTCGCCCGGAGGGTGTTTGGCGTATCGTCCTGGTTGGAGGCCAAGAACGGCGGGAACACCCACAACAGCGCCTCATGTGCCTCAGCATTGGGTAATTATGCATCTCATGTAGCGAATCGCGGTGTTTTGTGGAAGTTGTTGACTAGTCGTTGGAGAAAGTCGTACTGGGCAGTCGGGTGCATGAATTTGGGCGAACCGACAAGCCCTGTGGTACGTGATGGTTCCCAACCATGGTCGTGGGAGAATGGGGGAAGTTAATGCCTAGAAGACAGGCGGAGGGTGTTGCTATCAGATCACTTGATAGGCTATATCCCTGCAGATTCGCATGTTGCCGCTCAAGGCATGCATCCACGTTTCAATCCTCGAGACATCAACCAACAGTGGGCAAAAAGAGAAGGAAATAAAGGGGGAGTAGAGTCACAATGAGTACAAACAACACGTATCAGTCCTTGACAAGGTGACTAATAATTCAAAAACAGCCGCAACTAGGTAAGAGCATGGAGTTGTTGGGTTGGTGCAATAGAAAGGCCTATTGGAGGTGGTATCCATGGTGGTGCTGTGGCAGACGACCAACATGGGAGGAATGAAGCAGAGGAAATGTGATTGTTGACAGTTCACAAAGGCTAACCGCCGATGAGAGAGGCATACCCGCCTATGGTATCTGCTGCTGCTACTCGCCATTGAAACTGGACTTGGACTCGGACTAAGCACCCATCGATAGCCCTGTCAAAGAAAGGATCCCCTCCCCTGGTTGTTTATTTGTTTGTGCTTGCCTACTACGTAGCTAGCGGGACAGAAGATGGGGGCAAGGTCGATTTCGGGCTGGTCGGTACCTTCCGATAGGAGGCGTCACTGCCAAATGAGCGGGGTGGGCAGGGGTGGAAGAACAGGCAGACATGAACTGCACCTTGTAACTTTGGGTTTTTTTTGGAGGATGCTAACTTCATTCAGGTGGGCTGTTAGCGTCGCTCTGCCACTGCGTGCGTTCGCGCGCACGTACCCTACTCGCAACAGTAACAGACAGACGGCAAGACCAAAAGAGCTTAGAGACAGAGGGACTCACTCAGCTCACACTGGTGTGCCTCCTGCCACTTTTCTTTCTTTGGCTTCGCTTCACTTCACTTCACTTCGCTTTGCGCTTGCTTTCCTCTTCCGTCCCAACAACGGCCCTTTCTAGAACCTCGGACGATTCATCATGACATCCTCCTCCCGCCCCTCATTCCTTTAGGCCTTGCAGCGACAGCATCGACACTCGGAACGCACAGCAAGCGGGCTGTCCTGGTCCATCATGCACAACGCCACTGGCACTGTCACCAGCACCGGCACCCATCAGCAAGATGAAGGAAAACCACGCTCGTCGACTGATAAAACCCCCATTCTTACCCCGGATCCCGCTTTTGATCGACTGCCTGACGAGATCATCCAACAGTCGGTCCTCACTGCTTGCTGTCAAGCTTGACTCTATCCATAGTCCGTCCACTGACATGACCCTAGGATTCTACAGCTTACTGACCCCGACTCCTTTGCTTCTCTCATCCTCCTCAACTCGAAATGGCGATCCGTATCCCAGCAGGCCCAACTCTATGCCCTCCACCTCTCAAGATGCCAGTCCTACTCCGCGAGCCATCCTCCCCTCCACGAGGCCGACGTCAAGGATGAAGACCTGCCGCGCCTGAGGCGCTTGTTCGCCAAAGAAGTCAAGCGCAACCTCTTCGAAGCCTACTTGCGGCCGCGCGAAACCGTAATCAAACTTATATCCAACTCCATCAGCTCCTCGTCGTGTCCCGGCGGCGAAGGAATGCAGTTCAGCCCGTCTCCCCGCGGCCACCATGTCCTGGCCTACAATTCGTCGCGTGTTTATGTTCTCGACGTACGGGGGAAGGATATAGACGTCAAGAGGGAATTCAAGATACTGCGTCGGCCTGTTTCCACCTGCATCAAGGACGATGGCTCCATGCTGGCTGTCCTGTCTTCCGAGATGCAAGTAGACCTCTACGACCTTGAGCAGTCCCCGCCTCGCCGCACCCAGTCCTTGATCTTGGATAACCCACCGCGCACCATTGCGCTCTCTCCCTGTGGTTCTGTTCTTGCTGCTGCTTACGAAGGAGGCATCGAGGTATCCTTGGTCAACCCGGGCGCCCTGCCCACGGACAGGAGAGCGGTCAAATGCGATGGAGTTGACGCCCTGTCCTTCTCCTTTGATGGCACTCAGATTCTTGGAACCACGGTCCACTCGTCGCCGCCTGCCACTGTCATTCTGACCGCCCCTTACTACGACCCTGGCAACCAAATGGCCGACGATAGCATCAGTGCGCTCTGGACGACGTCGATCCTGTTTCCTAACACGAGCCGCGATTGCAGTCATGCCGTGCTTCTGCAAGACTCGGGCCAAGAGGAAGCGAGCTGGACCTTTACCTATGACCGCAGCTTCGAGACTTTCAGAGCTGTACGCATTGACGATCTGCGGAACGGTACGACCTACTTTACCGGACCCAAACCCGACCCGGGCTCGCAGGCCAAGCTTACACCCTGCACTCTGCCTACGGCCACCTTTCACGGAGACCTCGTCAGCGCCGGATTCCAGGGGAAGGATATCTGGCTGTACGGTGTGCCGGAAGATCTCGATGCTGTGCCCGAGGTCAACGCTGCGGGGCTTGATGGCTTGTCGGTCCTGTCCGGACACGGACGGAGAAGCAGCGGACCTCCGTCGCGTTCGCCATCATCTCGGGCGCAAGAAAACCCTCGGGTACCACAGTGGCAAGTGCTATGCGACAAGCTGAGAAACACCTTCGTCTGGGGCGCCAAGATTGCAGAGCTTGATGGTGTCAGCACGGTGAAATGGGTCGCTGGCTTTGGGGCGACATCGACACAGGAGCGTCTGGTCGTCGCAGCTCGCGGTATCTCACCTGGGAAGTCCATTGTAGAAGAGGATGACATTGATTTCATCGACGGCGGGAGGATCATCCTCCTTGACTTCGACTACAGCCTTGACGATGGCCAAAGGACAGAGATTGAGATCGAGGTGGGGACGAAGGAGCCCGAGATTCTCGAAGAGGAACAGAGAGATATAGACGCCGAGGTGGCCATCGTACGCCGCAGAACAGTGGCTCAAAGGCGCGGAGACCGTGGCGCCTTGATGCGTGCCGCTACAACTGCGGCCATTCGGGGAAACCCCTTGCCCCCGATGCCTTCTATGCCGCCCATGCCACAGTCTAGAGAGGAGCCCGAAGCTAGAATCGAAGACGACGACGATGATGACGACGATCCGCTCGTTCCGAGACGCATTGGGGCACCGCCGCAGATCAACGTTCAAGAGCCAATCTCGTCTTTAACTCCACAAGCAGGCGAAACTGCTTCGATGATTGAGGACGAGGAGGCCGAGGAAGCCGTGGAAGCCCCCTACTCTCATGATGGGCCCCGGTCTACCAACACTCTGCGTCGCGCAGCCACCGCTGTCGCCATAAACCGAAGCCGCAATCCTCAAGCGCCCGCTGCCGGACCGGTAGAGTACCGGCGAGCGGATGGTCGACGCGAGCACCCGCACGAAAGTGACGCGGATAACTGGGTCCCACCACCACCCCCGTACCAAAAAGATGATCCGGGAGACTTGCCTGCATTCCTGCGCAACGCCATCATCACGCCGGGGGGCGTGCGGATTCAGAGCCAGCCGACCCGGATTCAAACGGCCGCGCCGGCCGTGGGGGTATCGACTTGGCCCCTTCCAGAACGGCCGGCCCCTGCTCAGACAACAGACCGTCCACTGAGTTACCACGAGCCTGTTGCCAGCCCGTCGGCGAATGCCACTCATCATCTTCGCATTGCGAGCGACACGACGCTATTGAGCCGCCCGCGCACCGCAGAATCGGCCAGCCCAATGTTCAGCCCACCTGCTGATGTTGATGCCAATGACGATATCTACGACGTCTCACCACCGGAGACACCGTGCGTGGCTGCAACGAGGCCCAGCGATGCTGATGCCATTTCACCCGAAGGCCAACGCACGGCCGGCGAGTCTTTGGCGGTTCAGGCGTCCAACAATGACGCTCTGCAAGATTCTCAGGCAGTGGCAGCAAAAGATTCGTCCGTTGCTTTGGCAGCCCTGCAGGCACAGTCACCTCCGTCCTTGGGCCTGCAAATACCGTCAAGCACGTCTCCGAACGCTGTGGCATCAGGGCAGCCTCAACCGGAATCCGCTGCCGATGTACCGTTGGTGAGGCGTCTATCCAACGCGCAAACGTGGCCAAGGTCTGCTCTGCCGCTGGACGGTCCTCACCTGCATCCAGAGAGTGTGGCTTTGAGTAGCTTCCCATATTCTGCTCCTCCGACTAACGCAGGAGCTGATGAGATCATGGGGGCTGCGTTACCGGCCCCTTTCAGGGCGAAACAACCGGTTCTTCCCCAGGGCAGTGAGCAGCTGTCCCCGTATCGGCCTTGGTCTGGCAATTTCAGCTCTGTTCAGCGTGTCCCAGTTGGCAGTCGCAGGCCCGGTTCTCGACGAGCAACTGTACCACAACCCGCCATGCAGCCTGGGTCGCAGGCTGAGGTGCCAGACGGCCTGTCGCTCGAGGACCAGCCGCTGATCATCAGTACGCCTAGTGGCGTAACGGGGGCATACGACGCGCCTACGCGTCAGCAGTCGAATCGAAGAAGCGAAATGCCACTGTTGGCTCCCATTCCTCGTCACCCACGCCCGACTCAGCCGGGCCCGCACGTGGAACGCCTGGAGACCATTTACAGTGACAACACTGACGCGGAGGCATCTGGCAGCAGAAGCCTTATTCCGGCGTGGTTGCAAGCGCCGCCGACGCCGTCTGCGGGCCGACAGTCACACTCATCGGTAAATAGAAGGCCCAGTCGTGCTGAGCGAAGTGCGGCCAAGAACATCAAAGATGCCAAACGACGGGGCTGGAACGGTACAAAGAAGAAGTCGAAGAGCAAAAAAGTTGATCACGAGGTTGCCAGCTCCGCTGGGTGGACGGATGTTTCCGCGGCTGGCGGAAACGGAATCCATGGCAAGTCAGAAAAGGATAAAAAGTGTGTTGTCATGTGAAACTATTGGGAACCCCCAGATGAGCAGGTTGGCGTGCCCTCTACCTTTTTAGTGCCTGGGCCTCTGCATGGTGGGAAGTTTAGCATCGGAGTTGCGGGATGGAGAAACACGTTTGATAGCCAATTCGGATACCTTTTTGGTCTGGATCATCAAGGCAATGAATGGGTTGGACATGGGAAGGAAAAGAGCCACAGAATGTGCTTTGTTACATCCTCTCCCCTGTGCTGGAACACACAGAACAGCCGCAGCCAGTCACTCGCTTGATACCAATAGAAGGCCGGGTGTGCATCGATCTCAGATACCAAATTCCTTTACCCTGAATACCTCGCATAAGACAAATGGACTCTCAATTCTAAACAAAGATTGCCACTCCATACTAAAGTGTGATGTTGCAACTGGCAACCCTAACGCTGAACCGCGAGTCAGAAGGCCATCTTGCGTTGTAACCTCGTTCCATCTCCGATGCTGCGGCATGACCAGCTGCGCAAAGCTGTCGACAGTACTAAACGCGTTGCAACGGAAGCGACGTGTCATCATCAGTGGAGGGCGCTTCGTAGGTAGTAGCTAGGTCGACGCCGAGGCGGCATCACTGAGGTAGGTAGTGTAAGGTATCCGTTCCGAAAGCGGGGAGGAGGTGGGGAGGGTTGGCCGGAGTTGCGCTGTGCTAGGTACTTATTAGCATAATACGTCATACATCCTAACAAGGTAACTTGGCCGAGCGGTCTAAGGCGCCAGACTCAAGCGTAAGCTTCGTCCTCTTCAGAGGACGTGTATTCTGGTCTCGCAAGAGGCGTGAGTTCGAATCTCACAGTTATCATTTTGCCTGTTGCCCAAAATCCTTTCCCCATTCTCTCTTTTTTTTTTTTTTTGCAACGCATTCCTGAACAGATGCTGGTCCCTTTGTCTTGTTCTACTTTGAACCGTGCCCAGGAAAAAGAGAACGTGAAATGTTGGTGCGGCCTGGTTGTCTACGTCTTGATATTCCGGGGAAATCCTCCTTGATGCGAAGGTCACTAGCACGAAGAAGTAAATGGCCGGCCAGTCCTGGCCAGCGGATTGTTATGAGCTGTCAAGGTGGGGTGGTGAATCGCACAAGCGTCTTGGCTCAGATGCTCTCTATTTGTTACATGTTGACTGCTCCTGGAGCCACAGCCCTTCGTGGAAAGTGGGATTGTACGGAGTGCAGGCCGTCATTACCAATGCTTGACTCCATTGGGCCACACCTCACCCTCCCCCCCCCCTCGCACACCTTGATCCTGCAATACTGCGCGCAGGCTATAGCCGGTGCAAGACATCAGATGAATGACACCTGGGTTGACCTGACCTGAGTGCATACTCTCGTTCCTACCAGACCAAAGCCGGAATCCATCATCGTTCCTCAACTCGCGGTAATCTTCACCCACTCTCTCCACAACCCAGCGGGGGTATTCAAAATCGCACTAGCCCGGCTGCCCCTGCTCCATCAGATAACTTTTTTCTCCCTCATCTGTTCTCGCATCTGATAACCAGCCCGTCGTCAGCTATCCCGCGGAGCCCGAATCTCTGCATCCTTGGTACCGGTCCAGGGTCCAAGGCCCTTCGTTCTTCTCACCTCAAGCTGGGCAGCTGAGTGTCATCTCCAAAGGTTAGGACGGACTCGGTCGAGTCCGTCGAGTCAGCAGCTCTGGTTCGCCCACTACTTTCAGCTGCAGAAGCTTTCGTGCAGGGGCGGGCTCTGTTGACTGCAGAGAGGCTGCCCGGAAGACGCCGCCACAACACATGGACCAGACAGGGCTGTTCCATCGGGGCCCTGGCCGGATGTAACAGAATCGTCTTGTTGCTTTGGCAATTCTCGAGCTCGTATGTTTCCTCCGTTTCGATCCGAACTGGTATGGTAGCTCCACACAACGGGGTCGCTGTATAGTGAAACAGAACGGTAAAGGGTCCAATGCGGCAGCGCTACACGAACGGCTACGGCTGATCAAGCCGGCGCGCTCTGCGGTTCCCGCTGAATAGGTTACAACCGTCTCCATCTCTCCTACCCCCTTCTTCTTCTAACTGCCTGTCGCTCGTTTGACTTCCGTTCTCGCAACCCCCCGTGGTCCTTGAACTATTCGAGACGTGATGAATGGAGGAGCTGCTGTGGGACCGCGCCGAGGACCCCGTGGCGATGTAGCCCGTGCGGCTTGCGAGGCGGTAGGTGATCATCCACCGAAAGCTCGAGATGGAACGTGTCGAGCTGCCGGCGACGGGCAAGAAGGAGAGCGGGTATGTCGTCTTTCGGGCACGGATGAGGCTTCCGACCAACGGATGGAGCACGAGATTCGACCTCGTGCTGGGAAGAAGGGGGGGAGGAGGACAGAGTCGACTTTTCGAAAACGCATTCATGTCGATGTTGGACTTGAGAGATGAGCGCCTCCTCACAGCACCGTCGCCAGTGACATTACCACTACGCTGAGCCAAGTGAGCTTAGAGCATCAACTTCATCTTTCGGAAACGTCGAGTTGTAAAGAAGGCAGGGATGGCACGTACGAATAAAAGATCATGAGCATTGAAATAAGCGCCGGCTCTCTCGCCGGTTTGTTTCGGTGTCAGCTTTCATGTCCTGAAAAGAAGTAGCATGTTGTTCTCCTGCCGGCTCTCGTTTGGCCGGTTACAGCCCTGTTATGCTGATGGAGCTGGTGGGCGGTAGCCCCTTTTTATCCAGACGAGAGCATAAGTCAAGACGCTTTATCGGACCAGCAATCTTGTGACGAATGCAACCATATGCTTAGAACTTGCGAAGGACACCAGGGAGGCAGCGCTGCTTTTCCCTCGAGTACCCGACTATAGCCACGGGCTAGTTTACATCTGGCGGCTGCGACTGATAGAGGCGCCGACAATGACTTACCGAGGCTTAGAAAACATAGCTTGTTCTGGATTTGGCCGTCCCTCGGAACGTCTACTGTTTGAATAAGAGTTCCCACGAGGAAACACGGCAATCACAACCGAGGAACAAGGGCAAGCTGATTAATCGGGTTACAACGTTGAGTTAGCTGCATTAGATAGGCAAGGTGCTTGGCCGGCTTAGCCCGTTTGACCCAAATTTTTATCAGGATAATATACCGTCTTTGACCAATAGCCGAATAGTCGATGCAGAAGGGCTCCGGCGTGTGGGCAGATAGCCTTGAGGCAGGTTTACCCCTCTGCCCCCCTACCAGGAAGGATCCTGCTAGGAGAAGCAGCCAATGTTGTTGAAGAGGTCCTCGTCACACCACCCGAGTCCAAGAGGCAAAAGGCGTGTGACGAGTACTTTGGGGAAACAAACCTGGGGGCGACCACGTTGGCGGTACCCTCAGGGTCTGCTGTTTCTTGGCGCTGAGGTGGGGTTGAACCGGCGATCTGGAGAACATCCCGTGGTGTTGCGTTAAGGACGGGGAGTTGGCCGATGCTTAGGCGAGATAAAGCCTTTAGGATGAAGCACTTTAGGCGAGGCAGGTTGAATAGCAGGTCTGATAGGCCGGGGTCACGTCATACCATGCCACTCCCATACGACGGCCTGGCTGCGCCGCACATCTCACGCAAAGGGAAGGCATCGTGGACAGAAGAACATCCTGTAGTATCTTGCGGTGGCGTTGCGAATACGCCGCGGTAGGGGATAGAAAATCAGTCTGGAACTTGCTGGAAGGGAAGGAAGCGACTCTGGAAGTTGTGAACAGCCGGTATCAGAAGTCGAAAAGGGGAACGGGACAAGGCTCTCCCGGGGATGTGGGCAGTGGTATGCCAACTGCTGTGCTGCAACGCTCTAAAAGATGCATGACTTTCCATTGATGGGCCAGCACTGAACGTTGCCAATGCCTGCCACGGTGGTTTCCCCGTTGGTTTCTGCCGCGAGAGCCAACGGGCAGTCGAATGTTGTAGAGTTTCCATAGCGTGCTCAAGGTATAATGGGATATTGTCGCAAAAACAACGCCGTTAATTGCAAGCAGCAATTAACGCCTTATGTACTACGACAGATATCTAGTTCAGGTTAGTTCGTGAGATGACAGATACCGCGCTGCCAGATTGGCAACTGCATAACCTAGAGTAGCATATTCGCGTTTGTGTCATTTATGCATCTGGCAGGCCCCGACCTCCCTCTCCACCGATCAACTCGATTGTAACCCACTCATATTGGCATCCGGGGCTCAATCTGCCAATGTGCGTGGGCGCAGTAGTATCACAGCGGAGGTGAGTGAGACGGCGAGTACCCCTTGGTGATGAAATGGAAGTATAGATAGGCCATCAAAGCGATGGTGGTCGACGTTGAGGTTAATGTTAAAGCCACCGGCCCAGGGCTAGAAGTGGGCTAGAAGTGGCCGACCTCATCAACAGCCTCGACGTCCACCCCGGCGTGAACACAGTCATCCATCAATCCAACGCACTTGCCACGTTCTGAAGCATACCCCATTTGGCCTAGCGCTGAATCGTTTGGACCCTGGTGTCTGTCCCCTTCGGAGGGGGATTTGGCCAATGGGAAGCCAGCGAAAGCGTGGCAGGCATGGGGTAATAATCCGCGGTGGTCTGATTCTCACTCGATCCTGTCGTGCGCCCAAAGCCCATCATGCCACTTTCTGGAATCGTTTGAAGTACCCGCGAGGCGATCTCTAATTGTGTCGAACCACCACCGAGCTTTCGACCTGCAGTCGCAAAGCTCGTCAGTTCCTGGCCCCCCCCCCTCTTTTTCACCCCCCTCCCCTCTACTTGTGGCATTGATTGGCCTTTTTTTCCCCTTCTTCTTTTCACTCTTCTCTCTTCATCGCCAGTCCAATCCCTCCTTGTATCTGCTGCAGCCACGGCCTACCCTTCGTATTGGTACTGGTCGTTTCGCACCCACTGTTCTGGTCCTGATCCGCCCTGGTCTGGCTGCATACTCAGTGACCCTTACCTATTCCTCCCATTTTATTATATATCATTATATCTCGAGTACCACCATCAGATCCAACATCTTCCCCCCTCGTCGCGCATACAGCCTCGGACGGAAAGACACCACAATACACCACTTAAAACGGCTGGAGACGTGCCTCGCTTTCCGACCTCGCTTCGAGCCCCCCCCACGCCTACTTCAGCGCGTGCCTTTGTGCGCCAGTGTGGTGTAACTCGACCACGCACATTGCATACTTGACCCCAAGCGCGAAACTCTTCAACTCTGCCGTGCAAGCGCGGCCATTCCAATATCGTCCCGGTCATCACCGAAACTCTTCGCACCAGGCCGTCTGTAATAGCCAGCTAGCCAGTTACTTCTGCGCCGCTTGGCATAACCTTGCTGTCTACGAACCCGAACCCGCACTGTCTGTGAGCCTGTGATATCGACAAACGCCGTTGATGATGGCACCCGGTGTACTGAATTCGGACGGTTCAATGCAGGACCAGCACGGTCAAGTCGGCCAGACTGCCCCGGCCGGCAGCGCTGCTGGGCGTTTAAACGCCTTCGACGCCACATTAGACACTCTCACCCACCTACGTAGTCTGCCCGAGCCTCCTACGGAGGCCCAGGTGTGCGTCGTTGGTGCTGGTCCCGCCGGTCTCATGCTGGCTGCCAATCTCAGTCGATTTGGCATCAAGGTTGAGGTCATTGACGATAGGGCCGACCAGACGCCTGTTGGAAGGTAGGTAGAAGAAGTGCAGACCTCCCCTGCATGACAGTCGCAAGCTGACACCACACGTAGAGCAGATGGGCTGCAACCCAAGACTATCGAGACCTTCCGTCAGATGCGCCTGGCAGACCCTTTGCTGCTCCGAGGCGTTCGCGTATACGACATTTCCTTCTGGCGGAGTACCGCCGACGAGCCGCTCCACAGACTGGGCCGTGAGGTCCACTACCCTCCCGTCATCGATGTCCTAGATCCGTACATTCTGCTCGTGCACCAGGGCATGGTTGAAGGCATCTTCATTGACGACCTGAAGAAGCGCGGGGTTGAGGTGCGCAGGAATACGGCGTTCGAGTCCTACAGTGTCCCGGAAAACAAGGCCGGGCCTCTCCAGGTCAATTGTCGCACAAACGTCACCCAAGACCGACGGACGATCCTCACACAGTATCTGGTTGGATGTAAGTAACTTGAGCGAAACTAGCCTTTCTTGCCAACGGGGAACTGACATGGCGCAGGCGATGGTGCCCACTCCAAGGTGCGGAAGAGCATTCCAGATGCGCGGGCCATTGGCCTGTCGCAACCCGCAATCTGGGGCGTTCTCGACGGCGAGCTCATCACCGATTTCCCGGACATTTGGTCCAAGACACTAGTCTACTCTCAGGAGCACGGATCCATCCTCATCATCCCCAGAGAAAGGAACATGACACGCTTCTACATTGAACTCAAGGCAAACCCCAAGGCAGACAAGCGAGACCTTGGCCAGGAGTTTGTCATGGCTCGCGCGAAGAAGATCATGGCACCTTTCGAGGTTGACTGGAAGTACATCGAGTGGTTTGGTCGTTACCAGATTGGTCAGAGAGTGGCCAGCCGATTCGTCGACCCTCATTTGAGGGCCTTCCTTGCGGGTGACGCCAGCCATACACACTCCCCGAAGTCGGCTCAAGGCATGAACACCTCGATGCACGACTCGTGGAACCTTGCCTGGAAGCTGAACCTGTCCATTCGAGGGCTCGCGAAGCAAGCCCTGCTCGAGAGTTACGAGGAGGAGCGAAGAAAGATCGCCATCGATCTGGTCAACTTTGACTACGAGCACGCGAACCAGATTGCTGGCGGTGACGCAGTAGCTCTATCTGAGAACTTCAGGACGAACGTTCGTTTCATTTCTGGTATTGGTGCCGAGTACTCCGAGAGCCCGATAAACAGGGCCGCCCCTCAAGGCCTCATCATGGGAGATGCCAGGCCTGGTTGCCTGCTTCCTCCTGCCAAGGTCACTAGATACATCGACTCGAACCCCGTAGACATCCAGATCGACATTCCGATGCTCGGGCAATTCCGCATCTACCTCCTCATGTGGGACATCCAGGCGTCGAGCCCCTTCCTGGAGACCTTCTGCCAGTCCCTTGCCTCGGCCAACTCTTTTATCAGCAAGTTGTCTGCTTCCGCAAGCGCTTCCTATGCTGCGCAGCCTAGACTGCCGTGCCCGGAGGACATCTACTACCGGCCCGAAAGATACACCGCCGTCAGCCATCTCTTCACTTTTGCCTTGATCAGTAAGTACTCTCCGGTCGACACTGTGGTGTTGTCACTAACATGAGCGCCAGCTACGATGCCCAAAAGCGATGTGGAGATCTCGGACCTTCCGGCTCTGCTGCAGGACAGCCGTTGGACCTTCTACCTGGACGACATTCCAGAACAGGATACACGCGGCCAGCTTTGCACCAATAAGTGGCTTGGCAGCCTCGGACCCGGTGAGCTTGCCATAGTCAACGTACGTCCGGACGGCTACGTAGGCTCCGTCGGTCGATGGGACTCGAGCATGGACGACGCCGGTGAGGAGGCTGCCCGGTGGTTGGACGACTACTACAGCGGCTTCCTTCAGTTGCCTAACGGCTCATCACCTAGTCCTACTCCGACCCCCATGGCAGTCTAGTCGTGTCAACTCTTCAATCTCGAGCCCGCTCTCAGGAGCCACTCGTTCGGCGTTTCTGTAGCATACAAATCTCACATCACGCAACACGCGACACATAAACAGTAGCTTGACGATACCAAGCATTCAAGGAAACGCAGACATGAGATAATCGCTCTCTATCTCTCTATCTCTCTCAACTTATCTAGCAGGTGTTGGGGAGTGTGGCGGTGGTGTGTCTGTTATCACAGCATTTTCAGGAGCTAAAGGGGGGTGGATAATAAGCACAATCTGCTGCAAAGCAGGGGTTTGGTACTGCAATTTTGTCATTTATTCAGCATTCAGCTGAGTGGGAATGGTTTTACCACGTTGGGCAAATACATGTCAATAGATGGGATCTTAATTGCAGATCACAGCTGCTTTTCTTGGCCCTTATCCGCTAGCGCCACAAGCCAGCGCGGGCGCCTGAGGTCTTGGTCGTGAGGAAATGATACCATATTGGGGCCGTTCGTGCGAGTTGTCATCTTCCTCATACACCCACGTTGGCAACTGTTGCCCCCCCCCCCCCCCCTGGTCTGGCCTCTGCCGAAAGAACCGACTGGTATTACCGCAGCCTGCAGATGGCCAGAGGGACATCAAGGCGATGCCTGTCTCTGCCCTCTTTAGACGGCTGGAGTTCAGCGTCTGACGTGAAGCTTCGGAATCCTCTCTAGCTATCGGTCGATGCGCTCACGCCAGGCCCGTCAAAACCGAACCACGCAGACATCTCCCGCAGCGTCCTCCCCGATGACCCACCTCTCGTCGCCCGCCAGCGCAGCGCCCTTCATCAGCGTCTTCCACATGTCGTCCTCGAACTGCGCCTCGCCCCGCACCGCCGTCCCGGCGCCGGCGCCGGCCTCCCCTTCGCCCGGGGCGTCGTCTCTCCCGCGGCCGCCGTCGTCGATGCTGGCGCTGACGGTCGTCATCGCGAAGCACCGCCTCCCGCAGACCCTGACACCTGCTGCGGCGTCGACAGCCTCAGCGACGGTGAGGTAGGGGAACTCCTCGTGACGCCAGCAGGGGGCCCGCCCATGCCACGCCGTTTCTGCCGCGGCCTGGGGCCGTGACCGGGCGATGGGGCAAAAGGACCTCTCGGCGTCGCCGTCGGCGCCGCACTCGTGGACCCACCGCGGCCCGGTCCCAGTGAGCGGGATCCCGACGCTACGCACCGTGTGCCGCGCCGGCGGGTTCTCGGAGGCGTCCGGGCCCGAGGACCAGATGTGGTCTTCCTCCTGGACGAAGACGTGGCCGCGCAGCGCGTCCGTCCCATCCCCGTCGTGCGGAACGGCGTCAAGGGCGAGTCGCATCAGCCGCGGCGTGTGGAGCTGCCTCACGCCCCAGTGGTCCAGCTCACCGTTAGTGAGACGGAGGACGATTTCGGGGCCCGGGTCGGAAGGGGGCTTGTTCGAGCACGACGGGTCGAGGCTGGGTCGGTAGAGCGAGGGTCCGTTCAGCGACCACACGACGAGGCGCTCGAGAGGGGGGTCCTCACCCCAGGGGGAGCGGTTGGGCTGATGGGCGAAGACGGCGTAGTGCGTTGCGTTGTGGGTCGAGAAGATGCGGTCTGGAATGTGGATGGGGAGGCCGAGGTAGTGGATCTTCCATTCCGAGCGGAAGACCACCACGGGGGCCTGGTCACGAGCCGTGTCATTCCCGCCCTCGTCCGTCGCTGCCGGGTTTCCGCCTCCGTCCCGTTTTACTGGCGGCCTGTTGCTCGATGGGCCGAGAGGCGAAGAGACGGTGCGCACGTCGAACGCAGTGGCGAAGTGGCGATGAGCGACCTCGCCCTCGTTCAGCGGGTGGGAACCGTGCGCCTCTGCCCATTCAACAACGAGGAGTCCCTCGGCGAGGCGCACGCGACGAACGACTTTCTCGGCCCAGTCGAAGGGGACCGTCGACTCGTCGCCCGAGTTCAGGTCCAAGGCCTTCAAGACGGGGGGTTCCGAGGACGTCGAGGACGTGGGGGAGGCAGATGACGACTCGGGAGATGTGGCCCCGGAACATGGCCAGGAAGATGCGGCGGAACGAGCTGGAGAGGGAGAAGGGTACACCAGCACCCCGTCGGCGTATGTCCAGTTAGGGTCCGCGAGCGCGAGGTGCGCCAAGTGATCGTCGACAGCGAGCTGGCGGGCCCACGGCGCGAAGCGGCGGAGGGGTGCCGACGGCTTCAGGATCGGGATCGTCGTGAGGGAGTGAAACGCGGCCCTGGAGAGGTTGTAGTAGCGCCTAGCCACGCGCGCAAAGAGGGCGGGCCAATCCGGTTCTGCGCCGGCGCCGGCGCCGGCGGCTTCTGTTGGGGATCCCTCCCGCCGCGGCTGTCCGTGTCCTCGGGGCGGGGGCGGTCGTTCCTGCGCCTGCGAGGACGCCCGCGCCCTCAGCAGCCGGCACTCCAGCGATCGGGGGAAGAATACATGGAGGAGGGCCTGCGAGAGGTCGGGCCTGGTGAGGGCCGCGTGGGAGGCGCGGGAGACGAGGCGGCAGAGGACGATCTCGCGCGGGGTGAGGTGGCAGAGGACCTCGAGGAAGAGAGTGTCGGGGAGATCCGTCAATTGATACATTATTCTACAACTCGCCCCTGCGTCTCGGAAGCGCACAGCCTGACCCGGTGACTATTCCGTCTGGGTGCCGCCCTGATTGATGGGAGATGGCGGAACGGCGTCCGGATGGTAACCATTTAAACTCGGACGCCGGCAAAGTACCTACCCTCCCTCCCTTGGCAAGGGTCAGGAGGCTACAAGAGTACCGAGCCCGTGCCTCGTATACTAATTAGTTATTACGCTCGACGAACAGGGGCTTATAATCGCTAACGCAGTTCATCGCCCAGTGATGGATCTCGCTGACGCTGGAGTCGACGGGGGAGGGGAAGTTGCATTTGAGTTGAACGCAAGAATGTGGTGAAGGTTTGGAAACTGTCTGCAACCATTACTAAGACCCCTAGACAGACTCAACGCACACCCGAATCGAAGCCCCTGTCACCGTCTTCTTTCGGTTTCTGAAGGGGAAAAAAAAAGAAGAAAAAATTGCAAGTCTCTCATATCAAAAGTTGGCAACAACATATAGAAATATGCTTCGTTTGTCGGCTATCCCACCGAGTTTCTAGCAGCCTATGTATGCATTTTTTGTGTGCCTTGCTCATCCGGCCATGCCATTTTCGGTCCAGTGCGCACGCTCTTTTCAAAACAACCGGAAAACGACTAATTTCAGATACATGCCTTAAAGAAGAAAAAAGTCCATTCGGCGGGGTCCGTTTCTCTTGCCCCTCAAGAAGCCTAGGTCAAGCCCAGGTATTCTCTGCGATGCGTACCTGGGCACGTACCTACTGCCCCCTTTTCGCATTCACCTCCATGTTCATGAGTGAGTCGGCATGGCGACGTCAGCCTTTTGAGAAATGGCGTCGGCGCTCTGCCAGAGCGCGGTGACCGTCTTCTGCTGCGTGTAGAAGTTGATGCCGGGCCTTCCGTAGAAGGTGTTCGCGCCGCCGCCGGCGATGCTCTTCTTGTTACCGGTGAAGGAGAACATGGGCAGGGGCACGGGGATGGGCACGTTGATGCCGATCTGGCCGGCCTCGATGTTGCGACGGAAAGCCTCGGCGGTGGCGCCGGAGCGGGTGAAGATGGCCGTGCCGTTGCCGTACTCGTTCTTGTTGATGAGCTCGATGGCGTCGTCCAGCGTCTCGACGTTGAGGCAGACCAAGACCGGCCCGAAGATCTCCTCCGTGTAGCACTTCATGTGGGGCGTCACGTTGGTGATGATGGTGGGGGCGACCCAGTTGCCGTTGGGGTACTTGGCGGGCTTGTAACCGCGGCCGTCGAGGAGGATGGTGGCGCCCTCGTCCTCGGCGCTCTGGATCAGGCTCTCGATGCGCTGCTTGCTCTGGGGGGAGATGACGGGGCCGAGGTCGGCGCCCTCCTCGAAACCGCCGTCGACCTTGAGCTTCTTGGCCAGCTCGGCCAGCTCAGGGAGCCACTCCTTGGTCTCGCCGACGAGGACGAGGGTGCTGAGGGCCATGCAGCGCTGCCCGGCGGCGCCAAACGCGGCACCGACGACGCTGTTGAGGAAGTGGTTCTTGTTGCAGTCCGGGAGGACGGCAGCGTGGTTCTTGGCGCCCAGGTTGGCCTGCACGCGCTTGCCGTGTGCGGAGCCCTTGTTGAAGATGTACTCGCCGGCCTTGTTGCCGCCGACGAAGCTCACGGCCTTGATGACGGGGTCCTCGAGGATGAAGTCGACCGTCTTGTGGGCGCCGTGCACAATGTTGACCACGCCCTCGGGGAAACCGGCCTTCTGGGCGAGCTCGGCGAGGATCATGGCCGCACCGGGGTCCCTTTCGGAGGGCTTCAGGACGAGGGTGTTGCCGGTAACGGTCGCGATGGGGATGCACCAGAGGGGAATCATGGCGGGGAAGTCTAGACAGCGTTAGTCTTGTTGTCTCTTCCTTGGCCGGTTGGGGAATCACTCACTGAAGGGGCAGATGGCAGCCACAACGCCCAATGGCTCGCGGTAGCTCCTCGTCTCCATGTCCTTGGCAACTTCCAACACCTCGCCCTTCAGCAGCTCGGGCGCACCGCAGGCGGCCTCTGCGACCTGCAGACCACGGAGGACGTCACCCTTGGCGTCGGCAAACGTCTTGCCCTGCTCGAGAGTGATGCTCGCGGCCAGGCGGTCCCAGTTCTCGCGGATGAGGGCGACGAACTTGAACATGATCTGCTGGCGGGCCAGCACGCTCATGGCACGCCACTTGGGAAAGGCCTTCTCGGCCGAGTCGACGGCGGCCTGCAGCTCCTCGGTGGTCATCTGCGGCACGCGGGTGACGAGGTTGTTGGTGGCCGGGTCGTGCAGGTCGATGAAGTCGGTGGCGCTTGAGGTGACGAACTTGTTGTCGATGAAGTAGGGGGTATCCTCGGGCTTCGCGATCTTTTCGTGCGTGTTGGGGTACGACTCGGCCGTCGAGGCCAGAGCGGCGTTGAGGTGCCGCGCCGTGGCGTGTATCCTCCTCGCCGCAACGGCGGAGACGGGGGAGCTGGAGGACGTCATGGTCTTTGCTGAGGACAATAGTGAAGAGCGGGCGAGGGACACTCCAGATGTTCGGCCAGCACCGGCAGTAATGCTTCGAGAGATGGCTCGACGCATTGTGAAGGGAAGGGAGAAGAAGAAGAAGGGCAAAGAGCGGGGGGAGAGGTCAGGTGTATGAGAGTTTCTGATGAGAGCAATTGGGCAGCTAGAAACGGCGCTACAGACTATGCAGGTCAGTCCGTTCCGTCTCAGACCAATAACCAGCCACTTCAACCAAGAGAAGACACGACGACGGCGGCCGGGGGCGAGCGACAATGTAGTCCCTTATAAAGCCCCCCAGGGGAACTTGGCGAGCTGCCAGAGTGTGGGGAAAGGTTGGGGTGGGGTAAGAGATAACGCTGTTTACACAGTCACCGGGTCGGATCCCCCGCCGAATTCCCCAACCCTCTGGCACCGAGGTCGGCCTCTATGCCGTCCAATGCCGAAGGGATCCGTGCTGGAAGCAACAAGCAGTGTGGGCACTCTGCGCGCTAGGTAGCGTAAAAGGCGTAAACAGCGTCTCACCTTGGCGGTCTGTGGACCTCAACCCTTCAGAGCAACAGCTCGAGGCACCACAGTCGGCCGCGGAAACTAGCAGTATTTTGTTCTACGATCAATGGTAGAATAGTAGATGGCAGTATAATCACTTTGATACATAACCTCAGAATTATTTGGTCAAATCCCTTTTTTGCGGCAGCTACCTAGAATACACCTACGCCATGCTCTGTCCCTCGATGGCCGAAACAGACGTAATGAGGGAGTTAAACTGAAAAAAGCAGCATCCGGATCTCTCTGTGGTCCTAAATCACCCTGGTGCCATGCTGGCACGAGGCTTCTGGCTATTTGCCTTATTTTTTTTTGTTCCTTCCTTTCCCGCCAACAAGATCAGAGAAAGCCAGCTAATTCACATTTCCACTTCGAGACACTTCAATTTAAGACGAGCTGCGGGTGTTGCGCTTGGTGGCATCCTTCGCGACGTCAGCACCCGAGGCAACAGCCTTGGAAGCCTTGTCCTTGACATCCTTGGCCTTGTCCTTCGCGTCAGCGGCAGCCTTCTTGACAGCCGGAGGGGCACTGCCGGAGCTGGCAATGCCAACAATGATGGCAATGATGGTGACGAGAAGAGCACCGATGCCACCGGCAACCTCGGGAACGAACTTAATGGCCTCGATGGGGTCCTTCTGGGCAATGGTGATGAAGAGGTCGAGCTTCTCCTTGATGAAGTGAACAGGGTCGTCGAGGAACTTGAGGTCGTTAGGAGACTTGGGCTTCTCGGCGTCCTTGGGCTTGTCGGCGAGCTCGAGGAGCTGCTCGACAGGGTGCTTCTCCTTGAATGTCTCCTCGGCGAGCTTGGCGGCATCCTCAACGGAGTGGCCGATGTAGATGTTGTCGAAGAGGATGTCGTTCTGCATGGTCCAGATCTCGAAACCAATCTGTCGGTCTCTTCGTTAGCAAGAGAGGATATTCATCTGGATTATCAGGTCATAAAACTTACAGCGCCCATGGGCTCGAAGTTGGCGGGGGTCTTGTCCTCGTAGTAGTCGGGGTTCTTGATCTTGCGAGGAGCCCAGACGCCCTTGTAGGCAGGGTTGTCGATGTAAGGGGCAGTCCACTTGCCCTTGTAGTCGGGGTTCTTCTTCATGGGCTTCGTCCAGGGACCACAGCCAGAAGCCTCGGCGCACTTGGGGTTAGGGACAGTAGGGGCGACCCAGTCACCATCCTCCTCGTCATCCCAGTCCTCGGGCTTCTGGGCCTCAGGGTCGGGAATGGTAAGGGGCTCATCTTCAAGCCAATCCTCGGGCTTGGTGGCCTCCTCGTCAACGATCTCAAAGGGAGCGTCCTCGTCCCAGTCCTCGGGCTTCTTGGCCTCGGGGTCGGGGATACGGGCCTCGTCAACCCAATCCTCGGGCTTGGAGTCCTTGGGGTCGTCAATCTCCTTCTCGGGGTTGACAGAGGGGGAGAAGTCCTCAAGAAGGGAGCCAGTCTTAACCTGCTCGCCATTCTGCTGGATGATGAAGGTGTTGTTGGGGTGAACAATGAGGGTGTAGAGCTCGGTGGTCTTGACGATGCGAGCGGTAGGAGGAGAGGTGAGGTGCTTCTCCTCGTACTCGCCCGTCTTGGGGTTCTTGTGGTTGAAGATGAAGTGGACCTTGTTGGTGTGGCCGCACTTATCGGGACCAAACATGATCACGTAGGGCGTGGCGTTGGAGAACTCCTCCTGGTGAAGAGCCTTGTTCTCACGAAGGAGCTTGAGGTAAGCACCACCGCACTCGAGGCCGTCTGTAGGAAATGATTGTCAGCATTGGCGACGGCTAGCACGTTGGCGCTAGGTCTTGAAACGTACTCTGAAGCTTAACCTCATACTGAACAACAAGAGTCTGGCCCTTGTTGTCAATCTTCTTGGGGAACTTGGCCGAGATGGCGTGGTGGGCAGCAGGGTTCTTGATGACAAGACCCTTGTCGCCTTCCATGCCCTTGTAGACGGTGGGCTCCTCAACAGACCACTCGCCAACGTAGGCCCATTCCTCGTCGTCCTTCGAGTCTTTCTTGGCGTGAGAAGGTCTCCAGCGAGACTCCCAGTCGTCGGTGAACTGCTCAAGGAAGGGGGCCTTGAGAGAGGTAGGCTGTGTAGGAGGAAAACACAATTGTCAGATACTCGCATACTATTGCTGACAGAACAAGCAGATGCGGTGAAGCTCAAAGGATACTCCAGCCCCCATGCTGGTGTGCTCGAGGCCGTGCGCCAGGCGTGAGATCGCAGCACAGAAGCAGTGAGGGGATCATCCAGAGTAACAAAGAGAAACAAGCCGCCGAGGCGGAGAAGGGGAGAAGCTTACAGTGAAAGTAGGCAGCTGGGGTGCAATCGAGGTTGCGGAATCAGCGGCAGTAGAGCTCTTGTCGTCACTCAGGACTTTCTGAGCATCGTCGGCGTAGGCACCACCAGCAAGCAGAGCCGCGGCGGACAACGCAGCAGCGTTGAACTTCATGATGGACGAAGGGGTATTAGATTCTCGACTTCAAGGGGGTGGAAAGCAGCGTTAAAGCTATTGGGGGTTGAGAGTAGAGAGAGAGAGAGAGATGTTGCCAATTGAATGACAATGAAAGAGTTGCTCCCAGCGCGATAGATGGTGAGGACTAAGTTGTTTCGAGGAGGAATTTCCCAAGGAAAGGGAAAAGAGTTTCGGAAGAAGGAATGGGGCGAGGAAGACGCCGGATTTATCAGTCTGTGAGGCAGGTGCTTGTCGGCGGGTTGTGCTCAACGTGTCCTTTTTTTGTGGTAAAGGTATCCGTACTGGGAGCACCAGCCAGCCGTCAGCACCACCAAAGCACCCAGCAGCTAGGGGAGAGCTCACTATCGCCCTCTCCGGGTAAGGAAAGGTAAGCCATCTGGGCCAATCATCTTGTCATAAAATTGGGGTCTGGGCCCAAGGAAGCAGGAGCAGCAGGAGCAGCAGCAGTTGCCTCGCCAGGGGTTGTAGGGGTCGCACGGGGTCGCTGATGCCCGGCGCACCAATCCGAAAGCGCTGTGATACCTTTTTCAGTGGGCTCTGCTTGTTGAGTTGCGGACTGTGGCTAAGGAAAGTGCGGGGGCCCCTTGGCGGAAGGTAAGGGATCCGCCGGCTGTAACAGTGAGAGGGATTCATGGCGCTTCGACGAGCTTCCAAACCTCAGATGCTCATCCTGGTTTGCGGAACCGAGCTCTTCCCAGTTCAGCCTGCCGCTCTGCTCTGCTCGGGGTATTAAGTGGTGGAATACAAAGAATCCATTGATGCAAGTGCCTAGGCGCAGCGCCTCGCATCTTTTCTAAGCTCGGTCTAAACTACGCCGCACAATTCAACTATGCTTCCATACTGGATCAAGTACCTGTCATCTGCTTCTTAGTAAGCACATGGATTGGTCGATACTCGGAGGACTAGGTTGGTGGCTGATGCCGATATGTCTGGAGACTGGCTGCATTGTCGCTGCGTTATAGCCACCGCTCTTGCATGACAATCGACCCCCGGGAAGCTTTACTATAGCAGAGATGTCAAACAGATTCCCAGAGAGCGCAGATATGCCTCGGCTATGCCAGTGCCTGCAGGATAGCCATCGGCATCAGGCGATCTTGGCTGGGTTTCAGTGCCTCTCGAAGCATTTCTGCTTTGGGCAGGAGGATTCATGGATTTAATTTCAGACAACTCAGACTTCAATTGCACTTATTCATCAGTCCCATCCGTAATATCTCACCAGATCTTAACAGAGCCCTTTCGGCGTCCCCACTCGGGATAAATAGCAACACGGCGGGCGCTGTCGTTGAAAGAGGTTAGGTGTCCTTTTCCCGCATCACCTGCAGGACAACCCCCCATCTGCATCAATCCGGCCGGACTAGCAGCCGATTCTTCACCAGCGTGTCTCATCAGTTCTTAGCCGGTAACTTGTGTCGCTCTGGGTTTCCACTGTCGCATGCCTCTGCTGAAGGCACCGGTCGCACTTGACACCGCAAGTTGAGAGCTTCGATGGGTTTGACCAATGGGAACGAGTCTCTCCCTTTACATTAGCCAACCGTGCCGTACTGGGAAGAGAGCGCTCCGTGCCTTGCGTGCTTTACCATGTGGGGTAGACACAAGGTGCCACTGGCCCAATTCATCCGGCCGATTTCAGCCTCACATGTATGTATGTATGTGGCTCGGGCAGGAAAACTCTGGAGCCTCATTTTGAGTTGTTAATGACGCATTTGGCTCACTGAGACGAGTCAATTCGCCGTCTCGATATTGTTGCGGTTGTTTATGATCCGTGTTTTAGTCCAGTGAAAACTTATCTGTACAGCTTTTTATTTTTATTTTTAAGAATATTCCATCAAGCCAGCTTCGCCTCAGCAAGATCTCGAACTCATCGTCTCCTGAATAACCCCGTCTTCTTTTCTACTCTGCGAACAACCCCTTCCCCTCCGCCTTCAGACATCGTCTCGGAAACAGTTCATAATGGCGTCTGCGAGCAAGATTCAGAACCCCGACCAGCTCATCACCTCGGACGATCCAGAGCACCCAGCGAACCTCATCCCTTCCCTGTGCGCAAAGTTTTGGACCCTCGGCTGGGTCACGGGCACTGGCGGTGGCTGCTCCATCCGAGATGAGTAAGTGAAGCCACAGCCTGCGTTGTTCTCTCATCTTTGTTCGAGCAGATATGCCTCGCAATCTCACTTGCTCGGCTCCCATCTCGTATAAAAGAGACTATAAGCACCACCAACCACCCAGTCGCCCCTGCACAAGAAGCACCAGACCATGGCTCCCACTTACGCACTCCCAGCGACCTCGTCTACCTCGCCCCCTCGGGCGTCCAGAAGGAGCTCATGAAGCCCCAGGATATCTACGTCCTCTCCCTCGCCGCTCAGGAGTCATCCCTCAAGAACCGCGTCTACCTGCGCTCCCCGCCGTCCTACAGGCCCTCTCAGTGCACCCCGCTCTTCCTTGCCGCCTTCACCCGCCGCGGCGCCGGCTGCTGCATCCACACGCACTCCCACTGGGCCGTCCTCGTCACCCTGATTCTCGAGTCCCGCGGTGCCGGCAACGACAAACTTTTCGAGATCAACAACATCGAACAGATCAAGGGCTTCGGCAGGGGCTTCCAGAAGCAGGGCAGCCTCGGCTACCACGACACCCTGCGCATCCCCGTCATCGAGAACACGGCCCACGAAGAGGACCTGACTGAGTTCCTCGAGGAGGCCATGGACAAGTATCCTGACACCTACGCCGTCCTGGTACGGAGGCACGGCGTCTACGTCTGGGGCGACAACGTCCACAAGGCCAAGACGCAATGCGAGAGGTGAGCTTCATTTTGGTTGAGACGACGTCTCTGTTCGAGAGCGACAGATCCCCCGATCCTTGTCTGCCCAAGAGCATCCCTTCCCATCCCTTGTACCTGATCCCCCGCACACCCGCTGTATTGAAAAGGTGCCGAGAAATGCTGACGATCGTCTTGTGTAGCCTGGATTATCTATTCCAATTGGCCGTTGAGATGAAACAGCTGGGCATCCCCTGGATCAGCGACGTTCCAGTCGTTAAGCCCACTCGAACCTAGTCAGCACTGATTATTAGGTGGGATGCAATCGGGTAGTACGGATCTTGTGACCTCAGTATGCGATCGACGCGCCAAGGGTCGAGTTCTAGCGCATTTTACGGTTGAATGAAGACTGCTCTGGTCAAGGTCCTTCATAAACTGTTGTCTCATAAATCCGCCGCTTCAACGTGTCGATAGGGATTTAGCAAGACTTGGTTGATCCAAGCAGCGATGTCAAGGCCAAGATGAACTACAATAGGGAAACTGACCCCGAGGCGCAACTGAATGAGCGAAATGCTGTAATAATTGAGGACAGACGTTGGTGTCCGCTAGTACATAAACACATATCCATGCAATTGCCTATTCATTATTGACCGCATGTACAGCAAACATGCCTCCCCTCCAATTGGTATAAATCCTTCACCCATTCACTCAACATATGCCCTCATTCCCCTTTATACTCATCATTAAATGCCAAAGAAAGGATATTTAAAGAAGGAGAGCGCCGATAATACCGACAACTCCGAACGAGGCAGAGCCAATGAGGGCAGGGGCAGCGTTGGGAGCAGCGTTGGGAGAAGAGCTTCCGCTGGCGGCAGCCTCGGTACCGGAGGCACCGGTGGCGCTGGCCGTGCGGGAAGCAGAGCCAGTGGCGGCAGCAACGGAGCCGGTGGCAGAGGCAGCAGAGCCGCCGGAGCCCGAGCCCGAGCCTGAGCCCGAGCCGGAGCCCGAGCCGCCGGTGGCGGCAGGGGTGCCGCCGCTGCTGAAGAAGTACTCGCTGATGCACTTCTGGGAGCAGTCGGCGTACTTCTGAGTCTGCTCGGGGGAACCGTCACCCTGGGGGCATGCAGCGACACAAGCGGTGGTCTGGTTGACCTGGCTCTCGTTGGGGTTGGGGACCTAGAGGTAAAGTGTTAGTCATTGATTGCTTCTTCCCCGCCCTTCCGCGCGTCCTGCGCCTCTCGACCTGAGGGGATTACGGGGGAAACAATCGCAGGCCTATATCGGGAAACCCATGTGTGGAAGGGGGCGCGGGCTATCGTACCGAAATGCACTTGGACTGGCAGCCGACGTCGGTGGCAGGGCAGGACTTGAGGCAGTCGGCGATGGCAGCCTGCTCGGAAGAGGCAGCGGAGGCAGCGGTGCTGGTGGTCGACTGGGCAGAGGCCAGGATGGCGAGAGCGCCGGTGACGATGATGGAGGTGAAACGCATCTTGAGGTGTTGGTGGGTTTATTGATATTACACGGGTGTATTAAGATGGGTGTAAGTTGTTAATAGTCGAACACAGACAGCGAGAGCAGGCGTTTTGAAACAGGCGTTGAGCAACGAATGGACAGCAGAGGCTAAAGAGGAAGAGGGGAGGGAAGGGAGGTAGAGAGATGAGTGGACGGACTGGAGGTGGGTTTAATAGTATGTGGTGACCCGGAGCGACAGACCATCTCCGTCTCCAACGTCGACCTTTTCCTGCTTGTGGGTTGACAAGCCAAGGCACGCCAACACCCCCCGGTGCCGTGCTATGACTAGTCTTCGGAGTGGCCCCTTTCCCCTCCTCCCACCCCTCCCCCTTTAGCGGCTACTACGTACGAAGTATTTCGTAGGTGTGCATCCCGTCGACACAGTTCTCTTTCCTGTCCGTGGGCCGGGGAACACACTTGTCTGCATGCAAGGGCGGTGGGTATACATGTGGGTCCAATGGGGACCTGGAAAGTTCCCTTCACGCGGTGGGAAAGCGCCAGAAGCGGGCCCAGATGCGAACACAGTACGGATACGGATACCTAACGCCCCCCTTTTCCGATAGTTCAGTTCGATTCAGGTCTGGTGAGAGAGAGCATTTGTTTACTCTCTCCTCTGACTTTTCACTCGACTACGACTAGCCAGTGACCCCGCCTCAACGTCGTGTTGATGTGGGCGAGAGGACCCAAGGGCCAAACACAAGCGAGGAAAGGAAGGGATCAAAGCAAATTTAGAGGGAGGCGGTGATCGAATCGGATCGCGCCATATCTGGGGAAAGCTAGGTTGGTACCTGCGCCTTGGACAGCTACCTAGTATACGGAGTACAGAAGTAGGTACCTGCAAGGCAGGAGGAGACACAGAGCAGACAGGCAGGTTCTCTCCGCTTCGCTTCCTCCTTCCCTGGGACTAGGGTAGAAGGAGGGAAGGGAGAGCGAGAGCAAGAGCGAAAGACACTCGTGCTTCCCGGGCACAGTTCCCTACGACTTGTGCTGCCAGCCAGAGTGGGCCTAGACCAGGTGTTGAACTCAATTTAAGATTGCACTTGTTTTTTTCTTTTTCTTTCTTGCTATCTTTTGATTTGCTGCAGCAGCCAATTACCATCTGTCTCGTCCCCTAGTCCCGTCCCCATCGGGAGAAGATGCCGGGTCCCTATTATTACATCAGTGTGGAGGGCCGTTGGTCGGGTGGTCTGTTCGTATTTGTACGTAGTATTCTGCTGCTCTGCATCTTTTTGTCGAGTCCTCAATCGATCCTTGCCGGAATTGCCATGGGCTCCATTCACCACCGCATTGTCACCATTTGTACATAGCGCACAGTATTTTTTATTTGGTCTTTTCGCCGCAGCATTGATGCCCCATTTCGCTTCTGCCCGATAACAGTACACTACGGCGGCGATCCCGTCGTCTCAGCTCGCTCGACGAGGGTTTGCACTACAGTCATCTGTAAAAAGTCTGGGCTCACTGGCATACCTACTTACTGTAGGGTGAGCCTATCTATACTTTTTACACGTGACTGTACCGCAGGGACGTAAGGAGCAGAGACTTCGGACAATGTTGGGCTGACAGCCAAGCAGCTAAAAACAACAGCAGAAAGACAACAGACGGCAACCACCCCCGTGACACGCAAGGAGCGCGTCTTCTCGGGCAATGCTTGGCTTCCCGGTAAATGTCACCGTATCATTGGCCGAGGCACATGTCCCCTGTCTCAGGGGCCGAACGAACCACCGCCATCGACCAGTGGACAAAGCACTGGGGCGCCACGCCCCATGCCCCCGTGCAGGTCTTCCCTCAGAGCACGAAATAAAAAGGAACGTGAAAGAAGTCTCATCATCTTCTTTTCCACCATCTACCAGCTTCTACCGTTGGGCTTCTACGATCAGTCTCTGCCTTGGATGAGTCTTCTGGGAACAATACGGATAGTCCACCAGGAATACCTCACCTGCTGACCTAGATTCGTTTCGAACTGCATTTAATGACGGCACCTCACAGGAAAGTCTCTCCACACACCCTAGTAGTAATTCTCGTCCAACTTGACATGGACTACGGATACTCTATTCCAAACAGCAGACCATCGCCGTGTTCTCAACCTCCAGTGACCGCTTACACGTCTCATGAGGGCAGCACCCTCCCCAATTGCCACCGCCAGTTGCGGTGAGCATGACTCCAATGAATCCAAGAATAAATATTGCCTCATGTGCCCTCACACGAGCTGCACTTGTGCATGAATACGAGATATCCATCCACCGGCACCATTTCCGCGATCTGCATTCTATGAATAATTGTGCCACCAGCGTGTCCCCCCCAAAAAGCACCGTGCTGTAGGGCCAGCCGATGGCCTTGTGCTACGTGTCCCCCCTCCAAGCCCGACCAGAAGGAAGCGCCATCAAACCTCTCGTGGCGACCCACCACCTCGACTCCGTCCGTTTAGCCGCAACCGAAAGTCGGAGGAATTTCGAACGAATAAGAAATCTCCAGGCCCTTCCATTGTCCGGGTTCGTGTCAACCGTCTCCGAAAGTTGTCTCGTCCGGGCCCCTTTGGACGCTGCCACAACGGCGACGCGCAGGGCTACGATTTCTGCCAATGATAATTATCAAAAACGAAATCTCATGGCTGCCGTGTTTTCTCCCTGTCGTGCAAGACCCAAAGGCCGGAAATTTCACCACGTCATGCCGCCCCCCCCCCCCCCCCCCCTCTTCCACCGTCCGTGCTAGGCCTTCGCCTTGGTTTCTCCTTGGTCGCCAAATTCGAAATTCATGCGGACCTGGGCGGCCAGGCGAGGAAAACTCGCAGGCCCGGCGCCATGTCATTGGCCGTTTCCACCCGGCCGGCTATTTAGGTGCTGACGCTTGGGACAGACAACAAGCCGCCTGTAGGGAGTCGGTTGGGCCGAACGGAGAGAGCTGAAGTAAAACTTCTAGATGCGCCGTCGACGACCGCTGAATTTCGAACCACGGCGGTCTAGCCTCCATATTCCGGAGGGCACCATACTAGAAGGACAAAGAAACTGTTCGTCTCGACTTTCTGAAGGCTTGCAACGGTCTGTGACAGATATGGTACGGGTTATCAGTCGCACAACGACTACAATCACCCAGCAGAAAACACTAACTCGGCGATCTGATGGTTGTTCGTATGATGATTCTTCTTCTTTCACCGAGACCGTTCAGGCTGACGCTTGAATGGCCCCGTTGTGCTTAGTTGCTAGCTTACAGCTCGTCTCGCTGCCTGACTTCCTCTTCCGTCCCTAGCTTCGGCTCGTCGCCGGGCACCTGTTCAACAAGAGTTTCATCCTCTACCGGATTTCCCTCGTTCGTCGTTGTCTTTGTCTCTTCGCCGATCTCTGCCGGCATCTCCTCCACAATTCTACCCACCTTTTCAATCAGCGAGTCGGGATCTCCACCAGCCGCTGATCGTTGCGGCTCCCTCCCGACCTGCACGGTAGGCAACGAATCATCCGGCAAGCCCTCGACATCATTCTTCCCCTCGTTAACCACCACCGCTTCCGACGGTGCCCCAGACCCGGCATACTTGACAACTGCCCCGCCGCCGCCGACTGTGACATTGTAGATCAGTCGCAACGGCAGCCATACTAGCCACCACATGGGTCCATATAACAACCTCCGGAACAGCAGCCATGCGCCCGTCACCATGAGCATGTAGAGAGACGTCTGTAGATACCAAGTGTCGCTCTTCTGAGAGCGGAGTAGCGTTCCCAGCAAATCCTTTGAGCTCGCGAGCATGGTGTCGAGGGAACTGTAAGAGTCGTTGAGCTGCGCCAGCGCCGCCGACGATTCTGTCAGGGTCTGGTGGGCGAACTCGCTGCGGGCTAACTCCGCCGCGATGAGGTCGTGCGTGCGCCGCAGCGCACTTGTGACATTGCTGCTCGCGCCAACCGTTTGCTGGTCGTCTTCGGTCAGAGAGCTTGTGTTCTTGCTGGTCTGATGGACCTGTCGGTGGCGGATCACGTCTGGCTTTTGCACGCCCAGGGACGGGGAGGATACTTCGGAGACGGGTTGCGAGTAGGACTGAAGGAGGAGTTCGCGCTCGAGGCGCTGCGCCTCCAAGAGGTTGCGCTTCGCTGTGAGTTGCGCCTTGCGAAATGTGACTCGTGAACTGCACTTGCATGTCAGTAATCGTATGCTTCTCACCCACCATGGGCTGCTCTGTAAATGTCGATGAGCCCATACCTCTTGAGTTCCTGCCCCAGCCTCTCCACGCCATCCTTCAGGCGGGTCTTGGTATGCTCCGCCTCGCTCCCCGGCCTCCCGTCCCGAAGGTCCTCGACCTCCTCCCTCAGGAGCTCTAAGTCATCCTCCTCTTCCCTGAGGATCTGGCTGATCTCTGAGCTCAGGTCCGCGCTGACGCTATTTTCCTCGTCTGTACCGAGGAGCACCGAGCCCGGCTGGAACTTGAGGTTGTGGAGCCTGTCGATGAGCTCCTTGAGCTGGGCCGTGGTCTCTTGCAGGGCCGTCAGGCGCTCCTGCAGACCTTCGAAGGACATATTCTGCGAGGTCGTTCCGCAGATTCACTGGAAATGCTATTTGTCGATGGGGAGCGCCAACCCTCACTTTTGCAGCAAAATAAGAGGAAACGAAAGGCTGCTTAGGAAGTGGTGCGCATCAAGGTGTGCGGCAGGGAGCAAGATTATTCGTCAAGCTGGCCTTTCTCGGTGACGAAATGATGTGGGATTCGAGTGTCGAACCCCGTTTGGCCGATATGCAACAAAAAAACGCCACACCTGTCCGCCGGGATCAGCGAAGCCACATACGCACCCGCGCGGTCCAAGCTCCCGTCCTCCCGATCCACGCAACACGAGCCACACGACCCAAATTTTTGGCGACAGCTTCGTTGGAACCACCCTCTGAAGAGGCCGCCTCACTACAATCACCAGACAGATCTCCCGCCTCGATGACAAAGCGTTTCGGCAAGGAAACCCCAAAACCAACCACGAGTTCCCGAATTGGCCTGCAAGCCCTTCCCGCCCTTCCCCCCTTCGGAGGTCTCGCAGCCGCAAAAAAATCGCCAAGATGATTACGAAGTTCATGACCGAGATCACTACCAAGTTTAACCCCTTCTCGCGCCAGTCCAAGTCGGCGCGGCTGTTTCTCGCCTTCATCCCGCCCACGGCACGCTCGTCCGGCATGTCGATTAAGACGGTCCTGTTGCCGCGGACGTCGACGGAGCCCCCGTCGCTGCTTGTCAAGTTCAGTACGTTGTGAACACCGTTCAGGCCCTTTGCGGCTCTACTTTTCACATTCCGCAAAGAGGAAGAGGTTGGGATCATTGCTAACATTTTGTTTCTTCCGCGCAGAGGACGGCAAGGAAATGAGTATCGACTGCGAGAAGATGGGTATCAAGAGCATCATTGAGGAGGTTGACAGACACTCCCGCGTTCTGCAGAAGCAGGCCGACTTGACCGACTAGATAAAGGGACAGAGCGACAGATGGAGGAGAGATGTCCTTGTATTATTATGGCATTGCATGTATCGGTACCGGCGTTTATATGGAATGGGAACGATAAACCCAAGGAAATCTCGATTGGCTATCATTGGCGGCTCCTAATATGTTGCATGTGCGAGGGCATATTAGAAGAACGATGCTGATGCAATCTGGTCGATATACAAGGCAACGTAGACGCACTGTTCCAAGATGCCTACGTGTAAATCCACCAAATCACGACTCACGCAAGACGATCATCTCAATGCTGCACATGTGTTTTAGGGTACTTTTTTTTTTTAACTTTTTGGTATTTCTAGTTAACACCCTTCGGCCATTGAGCTTCGGCTTCGTGTTCGATAATAGCATTTACCAACAAAGCGTCATCGAGGCATCCAAGCCCTATCTGGCCTGAGCATCCGCCGTCACTACCATTTTCACCGGCACAAGAGAGGAATTTCCTTATGCGGAGGCACCGCTGATGAAAAACCACTTGTCAATAGAAGCGTCAATCTTCTCGGCGGGGAGCTCCTGGTTAGGAGGCAGAGGAGGGAGCTGGTCAGAGCTGAGACGGGCAGGAGACTGGCTGACGGTAGTGTTGGCGCTGTATTGGAGCTGGTTAGCAAACAGCCGGAATGAGTTGCCAAGGGATGGCGTGATAACTTACGTGGAGACGCTGCCGGCCTGGGTCTTGCCGGTGATGAGTCTCTCCCAAGCCTCGGCGCACTCGCGGACGACGTCCATGGCGTAGCTGCGGCAATTGTTAGCTATTTAGTCATGTCGCATCTTGCGCGGGTGAGAACCAACCTCTTGTTCTTGCACTCGCCGGTGAAGGCGAACTGGTTCTCGGGCTTTCCGTCGGGAATCTTGTAGATGCGGAACCACTCGTTGGTGGCACGTAGGAGACCGGGCAGGTGGCGCTCGACGTCCTCAACGTCGTTGAGCTTGGGAGCCAGGGGGTCGTTCACGTCGATAACGATGACTTTCCAGTCGGTCTCCTCCTCATCGAGCAGGGCCATGACACCGAGGACCTTGACCTGCTTGACCTGGCCGGTGTAGCCGACAAGCTCACCGATCTCGCAGACATCGAGAGGGTCGTTGTCGCCCTTGGCCTTGGTCTCGGGGTGAATGGCGTTGGGGTCCTCCCAGGTCTGGGGCGAGAGGTCAGCTATGGTGTTTCCAAGCATGGGGGTATCAATGAGCGGTCAAGCGTACCTGGGGGAAGGCACCGTAGTTCCAGAGGTAACCCTTGTGGGGGAAGCAGTTGCGGACGTAGCGAAGCTTGCCCTTCTTGATGTCCTGCTTGATGGGGTTGAGGAGCTCCTCCTTGGAGATCTGTCATTGGAGTGTCGGTCAGTACCAATTGTTCAGTTCGCGACCACTAGTGCAGCAGAATACTGCACCAGGGCGAGGCATTGGGAGCGGGGAGGATGATGTTTACCTCGAGCTTGGCGTTGGTCCAGCGGGGGATCTCAACAACCATGTTCAAGATGGTCTGCTCCTGGTTGGCGTAGAGCGGAATGTCGTGGAAGGGGGAAACGGGGATACCATCCTTCTCGATGTAGACACGGTGCTCCAAGGTGTTGGGAGCACCAACCTTGCGGAGGGTGTAAGGGGAAGCCATTGCGGGCGGTGCGTGATGGAAACTTGGGTCAGAGTCCTTTGAGATGGTAGAGAAGTGACGGGCAATCTGAGCGGTGCGTTGGGAGGGAATTTTGGATTTAAAGGCCGGGGCGGCAGCAGTTTGTGACAGGCGAGGAGGGGTGCCGTTGGCGGATGATGCAAGGAGGGATGGAGGGGGAGGGGTAGGCGACCCGGGTGTTAGCTTGGTGTGTGCCGCCAGGGTTGCTGATTGATTGGCCCGGGACGGGGCCTGCATCGGGGGTCGACGAGTGAGAGTGGAAACGGTACTGGGTCGGGGAGAATGCACGCGAAAACTGAGTGCGCGGCGGGCGGTGGAAGGGAATTGCAGTACTGACACGGGGGCAGCAGCTCGACTAACAGTTGTCTTGGGGGGGGGCTGCAGCTTAATCCCTCGTAGGAGCGGCATGTGTGTGCGTGTACAAAGCGACCTGGCGCTGGGCCGGAGGGGGATCGAGCAGCACAAGAGAGAAGAAGGGAAGGAAAGGACTTGATTATGGGGAGAGGCGTTGAGTTTAAGGTTAAAGCGCACGATAGGGGAACTGTATAGCAGGAGACTACAGTGTCAAGCAGTCTTTGCCTTGCATCCGAGGTTCGTTCGGTTCAATGGCGAGGTAGGTAGCCGTGACCTGGCTTCAGCTGTCGACTGTCTTGAGGTCGAGGTACTCGCGGCTATCGGGGTAGCAAATTGACAGCAGGTGTTTTCTGGGTCGGGGAGAAACCGGAAGAAGCTCTCAGGCTGCCCCGTCGCGACAGCAACCAGGGAAAATTTCTTTACTAGCCTCACCGTGGCTGGAGCTCGCCCAAAGGAAACAACCCCCTGCTCTTTCGCCCCTCCTTTACCCCTCCTCCAACGGCTGCTGCATCGATCAGCGTTCGTCCTATTTACTATTGAGTAGCCTAGCAGGAAGGTTGGGGCGTCTATTGCGTCTTCGCAACAGTCGAGAAAGTGTCCACCGCTTCTGAGTGGGGAAGTTATCATGATGTCAAATTTGTGACTGGGGCAGATTGCTGTTTCACAAGAGACGGAGCTGTGTCCGTCACGTTACAAGTTCCCGGTTCCATTCCTCTAACATACTGTGTCTAGCTCTGTTACCAACATATTCTTCTTGACTCTCAGTTACGTCCAAAACTGTCACTTTCTTTGCCCTAGGGCTTCCCCAACAAGCAGCCGTGATTACGAGATTCAACTCACTTCGCCCAAAGCCCGATCTCTGTTTTTGAGACCTTCAACGGCGCAATGACTATACGAGAGGGCTTCGTCGAAACTCGCATATTTGTCATTTCAGATACCCATGGCCTTCGGCTTCCCTACATACCGCATGCGGACGTGGTCATCCATTGCGGTGACCTTACAAATGAGTCCGAACTCCAAGAATACCGAAATCTAATCCAAGACTTGAGTTCTGTTGAAGCACCCCTCAAATTGGTCGTCCCCGGCAACCATGACTTCACTTTAGACATACCCACGTTCAAGAGACGGATTGTCGAGGTACAGCAGGGCAATCCAGAGGTGAATGAAAAATACACGGAAAAGTACGGAAATCCTGGAGATGCCCGCAGTTTGTTCGAGGCGGCCAGGAACGCGGGCATAGTCCTGCTTGAGGAAGGGACGCATATCTTCAAGTTGGCCAACGGCGCTCGCCTGAAGGTATACACGAGTCCTTACACTCCAGCCGCCGGAGGCTTCCCCGGTTTCCAATACCAGCCCGAAGACAGCCACGACTTTGCCATCGAGAAGGGAACAGATATTGCCATTACGCATGGTCCGGCTTTGGGTATGCTAGACCATACTGAGGCTAATCCCAAGGCAGGTTGTCCAGACCTACTCGACGCCATCGCCCGGGCCCGGCCTCAATTGCATTGTTGTGGTCATATCCATGAAAGCGCGGGTGCCAGAATGGTGACATGGAGCGAACATCCGGCCGAGGAGTCAACACGCACAGGTGAGGATGGCTTCAAAGACTCCTCAGTTATTGTAACCCTGCGTGACATCAAATCATTACCGACCAACTCTATAAAGGAAACCGTACGCAAAAGACACCTTGTCAAGCAAAGTTCTTTTAATATGTGCTTTGAAATTAGTCTCTGTCAGGGCGATTGGCGTCCGCTTGACTTCAAGAGTCAAACGCTCTTTGTCAATGCCGCAATACAGGGTGCACCAGGCGAGGCAGAGCTTTACTGTCCGTGGATGATTGACATCGAACTTCCCAAGGCATGTTGAGTGGCGAGGGTAGAGATGTGGAAAGTGGTAGTTATACGTTAGATGCATAAATCGAAGGGGCATATATATCTGATAGAAGCTTATCGATAAGATACCATACTTTTCTCCGTATTCTAACCCCGTCAGGGCATCGCCGAAGAGTCAACCATCGGATTGCGCCGAATGCTTTGACTTCTTTTGGCGAAAGCCATGTAGCTTCAGTTTCTTTTCTTGCCATGTCCCTTCGCACGCTGCTCAAGACCATGGGCTCAGACATTAAAAAAGTCCCTATTCCCCGTCGTGGGGTTGACTATAGGGGTAAGATCGTTCTTGCGCCGATGGTCCGCTCTGGCGAGCTTCCTTCCCGCCTCCTGGCCCTGCACTATGGTGCAGACTTGGTATGGGGTAAGTTGTAAAACTTCTGGCGACATAGGAATTTCACTCACGGGTCTTCCAGGCCCCGAAACCGTTGATAAGGCCATGCTCGGCACTACTCGCAGAGTGAACCCCGTCACGAAGACGATCGACTGGACCAAGATCCCCTCCTTCGGGCAGAAGAACCCGCCAAAGACGATACCCGAGGCCCTGGTCTTTAGCACACACCCCGAGAAAGAGGCGGGCAAGCTGATCTTTCAGATCGGAACGGCCGACCCGGACTTGGCTGTCCAGGCGGCCAGACTTGTCGCAGGGGACGTGGCTGGTATTGACGTCAATGCTGGCTGTCCCAAGCCCTTTAGCATTAGTGGCGGAATGGGCGCGGCTCTTTTGAAGACACCCGACAAACTCTGTGCGATATTAGAGGCTTTGGTGGCAAACATCATGCCAGAGTTCGAAATTGGCATCAGCGTCAAGATTCGCCTCTTGGATACCCCGGAGCAGACAGAGGCCCTTGTGCGGAAACTTTGCGCCACCGGTATCACTGGCCTCACGATTCACTGCCGAACGACTCCAATGAGACCCAGGGAGCGAGCGATCCGTGAGCAACTCCGCATGGTCGCGGAAGTCTGCCATGAGGCTGGCGTTGCTTGCATCATGAACGGCGACGTCGAGAGCCGAGACCACGCAGTGGACCTGATCAAAGAATACGGTGTCGATGGCGCCATGATTGCGACCGCGGCAGAGGCGAACTCGAGCTGCTTCAGGTCGAAAGTGGACGGAGGCCTTGCGTCCTGGCAGGAAATCGCGGCGACTTATGTCAAGTACGCCTTGGAAGTTGACAACAAATACGGCAACACTAAGTATTTGCTATGTCAGATTGTGCCGGGCAGGAGTGAGATGTACCAGAAGATGCACCAGTGCAAGAGCTACACGCAGGTATGTCGCGCCCTCGGACTCGAGGACCTCGTCGAGCTTGCCCAACAGGCAGACCTGAACAAGGGCGTCGACCCGGAGAAGGGGCCAAACAAGGGCGGCAAAAAGAGCAATCCAAGCGCCATGGCGGCTGGGGGCAAAATGGCCGAGAGCCGTGCCAACCAGGCTCCTCGCAACAAGTCTCAACGGGGCGTCAACGCCCCGACGGAAGCGCCCCCGGCCCAGCCAGTTCAGTCGACTGCTGCTCCTTTCCAGATATAAATGACGGATCTTGATACCTCAAGAGGGTGGTTTGCATATAAAGGCGTTCGGGTCCGGTCGGAACAAAGCATAGCAATATGTCAGGCCGTTTTGACGAGCAACCCAAGAATATTGGGACGAGGGATAATCGAAAATAGAACCTTTCCACATACATAATACATATCATCGGAACTGGGCAGCTTGGCTCGAAACACAGCAGTGTCAAAGCTGATGAAATGTGTGGATTACAAAGGAACCCTTTGCAGCAACTCTCTTCGCCTCTATGATACAGTCCCAACCTTGTTTTATTTGCCCTTCTTCACCCAGTCCTCAACGGTTTCCCGGGCGTCCGTGACCTTCTCATCAACATATCGTACACCAATCTCGCTGTGGAGCCTCGCCATCCGCCAGTTGTTCTCGATGCTCTCACGGAGCTTGAGGTGGCCCTGGGCGATGACTGGGAAGCGCTGCTCGTACTTCCACGCGAGGTTGGAGACGTTGCCCATGGTGATGGGCAGGACGGTCCAGCCGGCGGTGATGCCGAGGGCCAGAGGAGCGGTGGCACGCAGGACGATGCTACGGTTGCGCGTGATGATGCTGCCGGCCATGGCAGCGACGAGGACGTAGATGGCGCCGGGCATCAGCTTCTCGCCGCTCTCGCGGGGAGGGGCGAGGGAAGCGACCGTGGTGGTGAAGGACTGCTCGAGGTTGAAAGCCTTGTCCATCGTCCGGTTGACGGCATCCTCGGCGCCGACTGCGTACTGGTAGAGGGCCAGGCGCGCCTTGCCGATCTGGACGGCGAGACGGTCGGTGGGAGTAGGCCCGCGGGTCTTGGGTTCTTCGACCGGAGGAGGCTGCTCGGTCCAGGGGATCGGAGGGAGAGTTCCGCTCGTCGCAGGGAGCTCCGGGTCGTCGTAGATGGGCTTCTTGGACTATTTCGATGTCAGCGCACCGTGCCTTGCAACAGCTTCTGTCTCCTGCGGGCGTACCCGGCCGCTCTCGGGAGCTTCAGCGTAGGCATTTCGGGGGGCCAGGGCGAATCCTCCCAGCATCACCGTCGCTGCTAACGGCGCGGCGCGCTATCCGGTCAATATCAGCAGTCAAATCAAACGGAAGATAATCGACGAGAAATGCTTACCCGTTGTAGCAACACTCTAGCAGCCATGGTCCACTCAATTGGTCGATTGAGGGAATTGGTTCTTGGTCTCGCGAGAATTATTTGGATGTCATGGAATGATGCACAGGCGCCTTCCAAGTAGCCAATGCCAGGCCCACGCTGCGGCTATTTCCGGAGCTCGGGAATTCGATTATGCACTTGCACACCCTTGCACAAAAAAAAAAAAGTCCCATCCTCGATCGAGTCCGGATGACATCCCGGCAATGCCTTGGTTATTCCCAATAATTTTCCCTACGTATTTCTCCAGCTGCGGTTCTTGGTCATTTTTACCATCGCCCTCGCTCTTTCTTGCTGCTTGTTTTTGTACTGCCTCTTAGTCCGCACCTGCTGCAATGGTTGTCATCTCGACGTGCTGCAAATAATGTTCAAGTCTCCAAGCCGCAGCCTTTGGGTCTGCACCCGATGTGTTCGGCAAGCTTCCCGGGGCCAGCCGCGCCGATGGATGGCCGCCGTCTCCGGCGCCGCGCCCTCGAGTATCACCGCCGACCACTCACCCCCGGGTAGGAATACCGACGATGCAATCCTGCGCGAGCTATTCGACTCCCCCGACCGGGTCGCGAAAGCATTCAAGGCTGCCGGGCCCAGCGTCGGCCTGTTCAAGAACCGATATCTCACCAGCCCGAACGGCTTTTATGTCTTCGCCCGCAGGAGCTTGGAGAAGGCGCAGAAGATCGTCCATCGTGTCCTCCATGCGTCAAGCGTATCCGAGTACCAGGCCATCGTCAAGGACCTTGACCGCCTAAGCGACCTCCTTTGCCGAGTCCTCGATCTCTCCGACTTTGTCAGAATGACGCACCCAGACCCTCGATTCCAACAAGCAGCTGCCGGCGCCTGGTCCATGGTTTATCAGTACATGAACCAGCTGAACACGATGACCGGGCTGAGCGATCAGCTGGTGAAGGCCATGGGGCAGCCCGACGTTGTTGCGGTATGGTCGGAGGAGGAGAGGACTGTTGCGGAGATTCTCAAGTTGGACTTCACCAAGTCGGCTGTCGACTTGCCGCAACAGGAGCGAGATCGTTTCGTCGACCTCTCGCAACAGATCAGCGAGGTTGGTTCTATGTTTGTCTCGGAAATGTCGCCTGCGAAGAGGGAAATCGTCCTCCCTTCGTCCAACTTTTACGGGTTGTATCCCGGAATCGCTCGCGCGCTCACCATGAGGGGCAAGTTGCGCCTCCCGACCACCGGACCTGAAGCTCAGGCCGCGCTCCGTAGCGTTAAGGACGATGGGACGCGGAAGGAGGTGTACACCGCGATGCGCACCGCCTCAAAGCAGACAGTTCGTCTGCTGGAGACGATGCTCAAACTCCGGTCCGAGCTGGCGAACCTGGCGGGCTTCTCGAGCTACGCTCACCTTTCATTGAAAGACAGGATGATGGCGAAGTCCCCCGGCGCTGTCATGCAATTTCTTCAGGCGCTGCAAAAGTATAACAGCCCTATCGTCCAGGAGGAAATGGCGGATCTCTTAAAGCTGAAGCAGACTCGACTGGACGCCTCTGCTACGCAAGTTCACCCCTGGGACAAGGATTTCCTGATGGACGGCGTGCGGTCCGAAATGAGGCTTCCAGTCCGTCATCCCGATCATCTCCCTTCTTTCTTCTCAATCGGAACCGTCATGCAGGGCATGTCCAGGTTATTCACCCGTCTCTACGGTATCCAGTTTAAGCCTAAGGAGTCCCAGCCGGGCGAGACATGGCACGAGGACGTGCGGCGACTTGATGTTGTTACGGATACCGGCGATCTGATTGCCGTCCTGTACTGCGATCTGTTCTTCAGGGAGGACAAGTCGCCCAACCCTGCCCACTTTACAGTGCGCTGCTCCCGAGCCATCGCCCCGTACGAAGTCCAAGAGGCCGCGGAAGACTTGCATAATGCCACCGCCGACATGCCCAAGTTCGAGAGACCCGAGCAAGCTGCCAACGACGGTATGGAGAGCTTGCAGCAGGATGGCGTGCTGATGCAGCTGCCCACCATTGCGCTTGTTTGCGACTTCCCCAAGCACGACGCTGGCAGCTCCGCGCCGGCGCTTCTCTCATACTACCAGGTCGAGACCCTCTTTCACGAGATGGGGCATGCCATTCACTCGATCTTGGCCCGCACCAAGCTCCAGAACGTTTCGGGCACGAGATGCGCGACCGACTTTGCCGAGCTCCCGTCTACGCTGATGGAGCACTTCGCAGCCGACCCGTCAGTGTTGGGACTCTTCGCAAGACACTGGAAGACGGACGAGCCCCTGCCATACCAGATGGTTGCCGAGAGGATCCGTCTGGCGAAGCGCTTCGAGGGCATCGACACGGAAAACCAAATCCTCCTCTCCCTCCTTGATCAGTCTTATCACGCACCCGAGGTCGCCAGCCCGTCGTTTGACTCCACTCAGGTCTACCACAACCTGCAGAGACAGTACTCCCAGGGCGGCCCCGACCCCCCGGGGACGTGCTGGCAGGGGTTCTTCGGCCACTTGCACGGGTACGGCAGCACCTACTACAGCTACGTCTTCGACCGCGTCCTGGCCGAGCGGGTCTGGCGCGTGGTGTTCCGCGCTGGGTCGGACGGCAAGGCGCTCGATCGCGCCAACGGCGAGCGGCTCAAGGAGAACCTCCTGAAGTGGGGAGGCAGCCGCGACCCGTGGCAGTGTCTGGCGGATACCCTGCAGGACGACCGTCTTGCCCGGGGCGATGACAAGGCGATGGCGTTGGTCGGCAGCTGGGGCATCAAGGATGACCACGCTTGACCGGTGCAGCTACGCCGATGTAAATTATATGTAACGCAATCTCCGCATCGTCATGCGACTGAAACTATAGACAATAGAACATGTATCAATAAGCGGCCATACTAAGCTTGGTCGATCCGATGAAATCCAGTCGCGTCGACTGGAGGGGTTTCAGAGCATCGTCTCCCCAGACTGGGCGTGCCCCCATCGGACGACGTGGCTGCCCATTCCCCAGCCGGTTTTGGATGTACCACCTTGACTGACTAGCTACACTCGGACGCGACCAACTTCGCTGCGCGCCCCGAGCCCCATTCTCCTGAGCAAGGCGGCTGTCGTTCAGTCCATGCAGAGGAGGCCCTCATGTCTGTCAGGGGGGCTCTGCCATTGCTGTTCACCCCGCTGAGCGGATCCGAGGACGCCTTGGAAAGGAAGCTTGTCATCCACCAAACAGAGTCAGGCCTCCTGGCTACGGTAGCCGTTATTCTTCAGCTGAGCTGCATACCAGCCAAGGATGTTTGCACCTCCCTCCCCCCATCACGAGCTATCTCAAGCAATAAGATTGCGAGAGACGAGAGTCGAGACCCTTGCCTCCTTTATAGGTGCTGCCGCCTTGCGATTGATATATTCTAGGCCGTTGGTCTGTAGGGGAGGGCAAACAACCCGCGGAACGGAAATGGAATACGTGGAGAACGTGAATCTGGCAGTGAAAGCTGGTGGTTTTTATCCGGAAACCCACGTATCAAGATTATATGACCTGTATAGTTCCTTAAATGGATTGCATGATTGTAGTGGTATCTGAGAAGCATATATAAACGCAACATGAATAGCCCTTTCTGGCGTTGCTTACACCTTGTTCCTTTTTCCCTATCTTGCCTCACTGTGTCGTTTGACAGCCCCGAGTCACCAATCCAGCGTACCTTTACCGAAAGTGCCTGTTCTTGTCCCGATTCCCGTTTACGTCCCCAGCCCTCCTCGTTACGCCCCCCTCCCTCCCCCCTCCCTTCGGTCGTTCCACGGTAACAGTCAAACCGTCCCACCCCACCCGCGCGTTCTCTCATCCCCAGCCTCAGACCAGACAGCCACGGTCCTCAGCCCGTCCCCCCTCTCCCTCACTGCCCTTATCACAAACTTCCCCCCAAGAATATCCCATCGATGTGACACTCCGGGAAGCGGTAGCCGAGCTGTTCAACACTGGCTGGGATAAGTCTCTCTCTGTTCGATACCCGCTTCAGGCAGGGTCCGCTTACAGCTGGGGTAGAACTCTGAGACCGAACTTTCTGGTCGTTTTCTAGCCTGGGGGTTTTTTTTAATGGTTTAATATCTTTACATTCAAGCTTATTTCAATGCTCCCCTGTATACCGGTTGATGGGTTGGATTATGTTGTGCTTGGATAGGCAGTGTAGTGTGGCCTATGCTTGTCTTCTGCTAGGTTAGGGTGGAGGGTGAGGTATACCAGATGGGGAAGGGGCGTCTTCAGGTTGTGAGATACCCAGTGCCCATCTTGTTATCCTGTCCGTTTGCACTGTGAATAAGCAAGCACACGGAAAAGGGACAGTAGCGTACCACCTCGACGATCCCGTTCCTCATTCACCATGAAACACCCATTACCGCCCACACAGGTAGGCTAACGGAAGCCGTCGGAGAATCACTTGACTACCTATAGTACAGAGATCATAAAGTCAACCATGATGTTGCAAGGTATTCTGTACGTTTCACCTTCCACCTTGACGTGTAAGTTTTCCAGCTTACCCGGGGAGGTAGAGTAGGGAGGGCTTGCATGTTCTTCCCAGCTTATCTTTTACCTACCGCATTATCACCGGGGAGAACAAAGGCGCCTACTAAAAGGGGTTTTTTTGCAAGAGAAATTGTATCCTGACCTTGTACTCATCGTCAGGCCTCCAAATGAGAAAACGTCGCGACTGCCGACTATAAAGGAAGAAAGCGACCGTGGGTATATAATCCTAAGGTATCCGAAAGAAAACACAAGAACGCCCAGTTGCCCGGTAAGGTAAAACCATCTCCCCCCAACGCTCTAAAAAAAAAACATCTATGAAACATGAATAAAGCGATTGTCTAATACATCTGCCCCCCTTTCCCTTCCCGCAAATCCATGAACCCAGCATGTCTCTTCACCAAAAAAAGAGGGAAAAAAACAGAAAAGAATCGAAGGACAGTGTACGAATATTACAAAAAGACAGTATCGTGGAAGCACACACACAACCCCCTGCACCTTACCAGAGACAGATATCCCGTCTTACTTTCCCTTTCAGATTACATGGTTCATCTTCGAAGGCATCTGCGGCGTCTGCAGAACGTAGGGCTTCCCCCTCCTCACCTCCCCGAGCTCCGCCTCCTCCATCATGTCGGTGAACGTCGTCATCCTCTTCGCACCGGGCCTCTCGCCCCCGACTGTCCGCGGGTCCGCGAACACATTGATGCTCTCGCTGCTTGGCTCGCGCGGGATGTACCCCGGCTTCGGTGGGGAGAGCGGGCTCGGAACACTTGAAGGGTGGTGTCGCCGGGATCCGGAGTTGGGGCGCATGCCGCGGATAGGTGGAACGGGGACACCGCGCTCCGGCGTCTTGTTTGGCGGCGTCCGCGGTGCGGAGTCGCTGCGGGCGAGGCCAATGGGCTGGTGCGCCAGCGTCGTCGCCGTCGACGACAGTCGGGTGTGGTGTCCGGCGCCGCTGGCTCCGTAACGAGTCGGGGACGTGGTAAACCCGCGGGAGTTAACTGTGGACGGGGTCTTGAGGATGAAATCGGTCCGGACTGTGGAGTCGGATATGGGGATGGGGTCGGAGATGATGTTGCCAAAGGACGAGGTTGACGTCGAGGGCCGCGGGGCGCCGCTGCGCTTCTTCTCATTTTGGAACGGAGCGTTGCGGCGACGGCGGCGGGCGAGGAAGAGAAGGAGGGCAACGCCGAGACCTACACCCACCAGCACGCCGCAGAGGACGCCGATAACGATGGCGGTGGGGAAGGCGTTGCCGTCCGCGTTGTTGTCGTTGCCGTTGTTGTTGATGTTGTCGGGAGTTGCGCTGGCGGCGATGGTGGTGGGAATGACGGTAGGGCTGACGGTAGGGACGACGGTAGGGATGACGGTAGGGATGTCGGTAGGGATGACGGTCGGGGCGGCGCCTGTGGATGTTGGGCCGGGGATGGAGGTGGACACAATCTCGGGCTTCTTGGTCTGGTCCGGGTCTATCACACACTGCTGGTTCTGATTGCAGGTGTACCCGAAGGGACAGCACTTGTCGACGCCGCAGGTGGCGAGCTTGCCGGTGAGAGCTGTTGTCTTGATCTGCGCATCGGGATGCGTCGCGGGGTCCTGCAGGTCGATGTTGCAGGTGATGGGCGAGATTCTATCGCAGGTGCTCCCTTCCGGGCAGCAGAGCACGGTCGTGTTCCCGGCCAGGGTGATGCACTTTGTCCCTGTCCCGCAGCAAAAGTTGCCTGGGAGGCCATTGCCGCAGGGGGAGAAGCCGTTGGCGGCGCATGTTTCTTGCCGTGCCAAGACGGAGGGGATGGAAGCGGCGTGGGCGGAGGCGAGGAGAAGTGAGAGCACCGTGGCTCGTGTGCGTTTTCGTAGTCTCGCCATGGCCACACTTGATATGAAGTAAAGTATTAAAGTAGCGGTGATCTTTCAGCTATGTGTTTCTCGCCGGCGTTGGAGCGCTCGTGTTGGACACGGCTCTTGCGGCGGAGTCAGTCGCGTTTGTTGGGAGGCGTGTAAGTCGGAGAGTCAGGCAGCGAGCTGTGTCAACGAGTGCATGACAAAAGACGGGTGGGAGGCTCCGATACGCTCGTCGTATAGGGGACACAGAGGTATAGAAATAAATCGAGCTCGGGAGATGTTTCGTGTGAGATTGTTCGCGAGCGCACAATGAATTTGTCGTTATTCCCAGACAATGATATGTCAGACAAGGAACGACCACGCAGTAGTACACGGGTGTGGGCGAGAGGCCACAAAAAAGGATCGATGGCAAGACGAACAGGCAATGATGACTTCAGAAGGAAGACGTCAATAGAAAGATTTGGCAAGCAAAGTGAAGAGAAGAGTCAGGCGATGGCCCGACGGATGACGATTCTGTTTCCACTGGGCACCGCGCAGAACTCACCCAAACCCAATCTTTCTGGGTGTGGGCTTGATATCGCGGTAAGGCGGCAAGGGCCATTATTTTCGACCCCTACCTCTGCCACTCGGCGGAGGGCTCCCAAGGTAAGCGGGGGAAAAAGAAGAAGCACTGCAGACTCAGCGCTCATCCTCTTGCACGGCTCGAAACGAAGGAGCATCACCTCTGCCCAAAGGGAGGTGCCACTCAACCTCGCCTCCGAGGTAGGCTGTACGGTGGCCAACCAAGCGGCCGCTGGGCGGCATGACGGCGACTTGCGAGGGGCCTGTCTGCAAATAGTCGTCGTATGCAGGCGCGATGGGAACGCAGGGCCACTGCCGCCCATCCGTTCGTTCGCCTGGCCGGGGTCGGTCGGGCTATGGGCAGGGAGATGGTGGAGAAATGGTGTTGCGCAGGCCGTACGTCGCCAGTGCCGAAGCAAACAAGCCCCGTGAAGTCATCGTGAGAGAGAGTTGATAGGGCGTCAAGGGCCCGATATTCGACCTCTGATCATCCGAAGTCGCAAAACCATTGGCGGAAAAGGAGAAGAGCAAATGAGCGGCAGCGGTGACAAGGGTGTTTCTAATTGCAGTTTATCAACCACCTACCGCCTTCACATTGGGCGGCACGACGTCTGGCCATGAGGCAGTGCTGGTATGGGTAGTCGCTGGGTTGGGGAAAACAAGAGGCTGTCGACGAAGGGCGAGGGCCTCCGTTGTGGGGCCACGGGGTACGTTGTACAAAGTACCTATGCGCTCCTCGTGTCGCCAAATGGCCGACGCCTTTTTTTCGTTGGCGAGAAACGGGCCATGAGAGGTCGACAAAGTCGCAGTGAAGAAACAAGCGGCACTAAGAACCCAAGAGTTGTGTCCCCAAAAACAGTCATTGAGTGCCAGAGTGTAGCCGCGC